CAAAATGTCACTCATTAGCAAACTTCATGCCCGTCTTTGTCCGGTTGGTGCAGGATATAAATGATACAAATCTGTTAATGTGGGTTGTTTATTTTATAAAAAGTTTGTTTACTGATAAAACATGTGTTCAGGCCACTCTAATTAAAATCTCTGGTCTTCAGGAACAACCATTAAATATTCTACCACCAAGACTAACTTCTTCTTTGAGCGGCATTTAGCAATTGACACACTAATAAACACAAAAACATGGCACACAATTACTATTTTAATTAAAGCGATGTTTCACTCAACGTTTTCAAGCAAATGATGATGAAAATATATGTGTGAAATAGCTTTATTTAAACACCGCTTCCACCCAGGTGATATCACAGATAAGTGATGAAAATAATGTAGAGAAGGTTTAAATACAAAAACAAGTAACAAATAATTAACCGAAGTTGAGAGAACGCTCAGCGAAACATCGGTTTAATTAAAATAGTAAATGGGTTCCATATGATAGTTTTGTTTTTTAAAAAGACTAATTGTTAATGTAGCTAAGTCTCTAACTCAATATCATCCAAAGTCTTACACGTTGAAAATATGAATTATTTGTCAATTCAAATCAACATTGATGTTGTAATCTTACCAGGAAAAGATAGGCTTCTGATGTCCAATATTTAAGACAAAATAAACATTTTACCATTGGTACACGAATCGTGTACCATAGTGCGTTTCAACGTCATTTGTAACAAGTGACCAGAAAGAACGAGAGCATGCGCAATAGACGCTAGAAATTTCAATTCGGTTGAGACGCGTGCCATATTTCGCTGGACATAACTGATTTGAAATTAGAGTAAAAACGGAAACAATTGAATGTTAATCAGTTTATTATATGCGTTGCGACCCATTTTAGTCAATTTCTAGGTCCCAAATATTAGCGATTTAGCTCCTTTAATAAAAATACCTTGTTGCTCTTCTCAAAAGTTTTAAGTTCCAATTATTTAAGTCTTGAAATTTTAACAAAACATCGTACACAAGAATTGAGTGCGGTATTAATTGATCAAGAAGTAAAAATTAAATTTGGTTTGGCCTAACTGTTGTTTATCTAGACATAGATAAATAGATTTATATATAAGTAGGTACATGTAATATATATAAATGCTGAGTAAGACATTATTTAGTAGTAATAGTGTATAGTATATATAGGTAAGTAAGTAGTGGTTATTAGTCAGTTGATAATAATAACAGGTATGTCATATACTATATTATAGTATACAGTGTATATATAGATAAGTAGTAGTGGTTATAAGCCAGTTGATATTAATAACAACATGATGGTATGTCATATACTATATTATACTACTTACATGTTTGTAGATAAACATTCTCAGATAAAATAAAGGATGAATAAAAACATGATTTATGTTGATGTTTGTAAAGGTCAAAATTCTTAGATGGAATGAAGGATGAATAAAATACAGAAACATGATTTATGCTGATGTTTGTGAAGGTCAAAATTCTTAGATGGAATGAAGGATGAATAAAATACAGAAACATCATAATTTATGTCCATGTTCCTACATTAGTGCTTTAGTGCTTATACATAGGTCAAAGGTCAACATTTATAGATAGAATGAAGGATGCATAATAGACAGGCTATGATTTATATTGATGTTCCTGCATTAGTTGGTATAGTACTTATACATAGGTCATAGGTCAACATTTTTTAGATACAATGAAGGAAGAATAAAAGACAAGATATGATTTATATTGCTATAGTGATTATACATAGGTCATAGGTCAACATTCTGTGAAAAAGACATGAACACCAATTAACTGTTGATGTAAATGTGGGTGTGTTACTGTAAACATAGGTCATCATAGGTCAACATTCGTCTATAGAATGAAGGATGAATAGATTCCAGAAACATGACTTATATTGATGTTGGTATTTGCTATAATGCTTATACAGTACATACATGTAAGTCATAGGTCAACATTGCTAGATAGAATGAAGGATGAATAAAAGACAGGAAGGTTATTTATATTGATGTAGATGGTATACTATAGGTCATAGGTCAATATTGTTAGATAGAATGAAGGATGAATAAAATCTAGGAACATGATTTATGTTGATGCAGATAGTATACTATAGGTCATTGGTCAGTATTCTTAGATGGAATGAAGGATGAATAAAAGCCAGGAACATGATTTATGTTGATATATTGTTGATAGTTTGTAGGTTACTGGATTTTTATATAGAACTATGAGTGAGAGATCTGAGCTAATATGATGAATGAAAGATCTGATCTAAAATGATGGATGAATGAATGAATGATCTGAGATAATATAATGAATGAATAAGCTGAGCTAATAACATGGATGAATGATCTGAACTAATCAGATGGATGGATGAATGAATGATTATAGCTAATACATGTAAGATGGATGGATGGATGAATGATCTAAGTGATAAGATAGATGAATAAATACAACATGTCTATGTAAAATATTAAAGGGTATACATCAAGTTTGTCCTTCAACATGTTATACTGTTAAATACCTTGATCTTTATAACATCACATACTAACACCTGTATTACCTGTAGGTGATCAGGTAAAGTGGACTAATGAAATGAAATGGGATTTAATGTTCTACTGTTCTACTCTAACTGGATTTGACATCGACATCCACTCGACACCATCCAGGTTATTTCGGAACTATCACATGATACAATTATATTTCAATAATTCGCTTGTGGTAGCTAGGGGTCTTTAGAAGTGGTAGGAAACCTGAGGACCCAGAGAAAACCCACAATTTTAAGGTTGGACAGACAACCCTACTCCTTGTCACATATACAACCGGGGATCAAAACAATGTCAGACTTTGTGATTTAAAGTGACACCGAATCCCCACATTATGGGTTTCCTCACACTGCTAAAGCCCCCTACACGCAAGGGAATTATTGAAATAACATTCAACCATTTGTTAGTCCTGAAATAACCTAGTTTGTGTCAGTTGGATGTTAAACCCCATTTCTCCTTCTGTCTCTCCCCCATTAATGACTGAATAATGAATGAATGAATGGATCTGAGGATGTAGATAATAACATATATATACATGTATGTATTAATTACTCTATCTGTCTATCTGTCAGTATATGACAGAATATATCTATCAACAATTAAACCTGGTGACCTCAGACGGTGCAGGCTATTATTTGTAATTAGTGAGTCAAAAGACAGAAGAATCTTGGTGTCCTCTGATATATAAACACAATCACACATATTTAATTGGCACAAATTATTTACATCTGTAAGGCCAACTGCTGACCCTAAACGTTTTTCTCTCATTTTCCAGGCCCTAAAACTCGGTCTTGGCGTGATTTTCTTAGTATAAATGCCAACACTGAAATTTAAGTATTAAAACCTTACTCACTAATTAACCTAGAAATGCCAGGAAATAAAAAATACAAACCCTACCCAAAAAAAATTAAAAATTAAAAAGATTTTCCAACCGACCAAGTCATCAACATCCTTTTTACTGTGGAAACAAAACAATTATTTAACTGAGAACTATCCAATTAACAAATGGCATGACTACTAACATAGGTTAATGTGGTGCGTATAAAATTACATATAGATGAAGGAGGGTTGGATGGCGGAATGGTTAGCACATGCGCGTTGTATCATAAGGTCTGTCATTGAGTCAACTGGCGTGGTTTCAAATCTCCGGTTGTACGTGACAAGGAGTAGGGTCACCTGTCCAACCTCGTGGGTTTTCTCTGGGTCCTCCGGTTTCCTCCCACTGCTAAAGACCCCCTATGCACAAGTGCATAATTGAAAGAAAATTGAACCATATGTTGGTCCTGAAATGACCTAGTTTGTGTCAAGTGGACGTTAAACCCCATTTCTCTCTCTAGCTGTCACATATACATGTAGATGAAGATTCCAGGGGAAGATCGATCTAAGTCACATTTTTGTCTTTTTGCATAAATATATACGGCAAAACAGACTTTTGGACGAGAATGCTTGATGCGAACAGAACAACGAATGGGTTTAATTACAACTTCAAAATGATGTTTAATACAAATCATAGTTACCAGTACAACAACTGACTTCCACTTTTCAGCCAAATTATGGTCAAATAAAGGGTACGATGGACTTATATTTGTCCAGAAGGCCATTTTAGAAGGGCCTTGGTTCAATGTGACTCCGATTGTTTTTACCTGAAATAGAATGTTCCACAGAAAGCTTATACAATTTACTACCAGATGGCACCATTAACTGGGGTTCATTGAAAAAATGACTTAGATCGTTCTTCCCCGGGGCTCTTCATATACATGTAGAGATAACAATTACTAGTCTTAGTCGATATAGAAATAACAATTACTATAGTCTTGGTTGATATGGAAATAACAATTACTAGTCTTGGTCGATATGGAAATAACAATTACTTGTCTTGGTCGATATGGAAATAACAATTATTAGCCTTAGTCGATATGGATATAATGATGTATTCAGATAACTTTCTCTTCTATTCTACTTTTAAGGAATCGGTGGATTTGGAAATAAAAAGATCGAATTACCAGAGGCAGATCTAGGAATTTTTGCATTGCAGGAGAGGGCTTGACAGGCTCCTGTTAAGGATATTTGACAGTTGACAATGCATGATGCCATCATTGTCTCCAAATTATGTAGGCATACATGCACATTGGGCTTTTTTTTCCGAGAGAAATCCATCACCTCGTTTGATGTCAATTTTGACAATGAGTAAATAGGATTAATTGTGATAAAACACATTTCTACATGTATATTATTATTTCACGCTTTGAATGCCAATCCCAACCCCACTATCTGATGGTAAAGGATAAAGCACACAACCGTTACACTTTTCTCATAAAGTGTTGTTTTACAAAACTTTTTATGTAGCTGAGCAGGGTGAGGTTTGGACCCCCCCAACCCTTTTGGACCTGCCCCCGATTAAGTATTTTAACTTATCATTATGTTTTGTATTTTCAGGTGTGACAGGTGTCAAGATGAGTCAGAAGAACATATCTAATCATGTGGTCCTGTATGTCAAGGCGGGAATGGACGGAGAATGTTACGGAGCATGCCCATTCTGTCAGAGATTCTACATGGTACTAGACTTGAAAGCCAAGGGCGGGTCGTTAACCTATAACATAAACACCGTCAATATGGCACGACCGTTACCTGAATTCAAACAATACGCTAATAGGCTACCTGTGTTTAAACACGGAGATGAAGTGGTCATCGACTCCGATGAAATCGTTCAATATATAGATGAGAATTTTCTGAAACCTGATCTACGCTATGATAACCTACAAGCCCACTCCCAGTGTCTGGACATTTTCTCAAAATTTAACTTTTTTATTAAAAATGTGAGTAGCACAGCAGAGGGACTTTTAAATGAGATTAAATCAATTAACGATTACCTGGCGAGGACGGAAACGAAATACCTGGCAGGTAACTCCATCACGCACCTAGATTGTCTGGTAATGCCCAAATTACAGCACATCCGCATCGCAGCCGAAGCCTTCAAAGATTTCCTGATACCTCGAAAATATACGCATTTTTGGCGCTACATGGAAACCGCTTACAATAACGACACCTTCCGTAAGACATGCCCGTCTGATCAAGAGATAGTTTTTCACTGGAGCTCTAAAAGGGAGACAACTCCTTTACCAGAGAAGAAAAGGCGATTTTATACGATTGATACAGAACCCAAGTTTACCCTGACTGTTCCGCATTAAATATATTAGATTATTTGAGGATGGAATGTTTTATTTTTTTATTTAAAGGATCTCTTTTATCATAAACCTGTAGTAAACCCTGTCGTATTCACCAGGGTTGCGATCAGGAGTATGGACCTTAGGTATTTATAGCATTACTTTAATTATTGAAAGACATAAACATCATCTTGTGTCGGAAGCAGTTTTACAATAAAACCTGTTTTTGCATGAAAAGTGAAGATATTATAATATACCTGTTTTGTTTATAAAATGCATGGACAGTTTCAGCTTTAGTGTGGCCAGAATTTTTATAACAAGAGAGGATTGTTCCATGGGCAGAAGTATTAATGTTTGAATGTTTGGCAGAGATGGAGGTGAAAATTATTGGTGTACAAACATGTTTTGGATAAGGAACTCGATCAGCAGAAATAATTGTATCTTAGCGTTGATCATAACAAGAGAAAATAGAGCGTGGATATAGCGAACTTTGATTGAAAAGTATATCTTCACCCAAAGACACCCTCAACCCCACACCTAGAGATACCCACTGCCCCCCCCCCCCCCTTGCCACCATTACTGTGTAATTTACTTAAGTGACTTGATCAAAATAATTTATATACATGATTGTACAAACTGATGTCTAAATCTACACAACTCCAGTTTCAGTGGACATCAAACTATTAGACTTAAGTATTACTAGATCCATTTTCAGTTCCCTATATTATCTAGTCAAAGCTTGTATTCTAGTTACCATGGATACCAGACTCTAGTTACTATGGATACCAGACTCTAGTTACTATGGATACCACACATCTATTTTTAGTTAAATATGCCTATTTCATTTCTGGGAAGTTTCTACTTCCCGTATATAATCTAGTCAAAACTAAGATTCTAGTCGTATATAATTTAAATGGCTGTCTAAGTTATATTCTAGTCATATATAATTTAAAAGGCTGTCTAAATTAACTATATTTCAATTTGTAAATTAAAGCCGCTGACCGCCATTTAAAGTATAATTGTATGAATCCCTTGTAGATTGTGATATTTGAGTGTGTCAAAGGAATATTAGTCCTATCTATGGTTCAGTTTTGTGACTGTCTGAGTATATATACATGTATAGTCCTTAAATAGTTTACAGGTGTTCATGTGACCCTAGGTGGAACTATAGTTTAGGGCTGTCCATGCAGGTACTAATTAAGTGTTAATAACATTGGTGGCATTCAGAGGGGGTGATGGCCTTTGGCATTTATTTCATGAGGGCATCCAATCAAAGAGTGAAATTAATATTAAGGGGTTAACATTTGTTGTACAAATTGCCCTATTCAATTTCAATAAAAGTTTATGTCATCTAATTTTACATTTTAGAATTGTCTCCCTTTGTTAGTACTGAACCACTAGAATCCAGTCTTAATGGTTTACACCGTCATGGAGTTGGCTCTAGGCATTACCAAAACTATGCATGTCACTGCATTTCTGAGATTGTAAGGATGCTTTTGTCATCTGTTTAATGAAGTTAGGGAGATTTTGATTTCTGCACGAAATTAAACTAGGACTAGCCAACTTTTTTGTTTTATTAATTACAAATTATATACTTTTAACATTTTTGCAATTTATAATATATATATTTTATCAATTTTATTATCTAGTCAACAATATGTTTTACTGCTAATTAATAATATTTACAAGATTTTTAAGATGTTTATGTTTTATCTAGTCACAAATATTTGCCATTTTAAGTGTCTTGCGTCCTAAGAATCTCGTGACATGTCTAGTGTCCAGTAACAACCCTGTAAATTTCGAAGCATTTATCTCATAGGTATTATGTAATGTTTATCAAGTTAAGCCCCCCTGACACAATTTTCTTTCCGCAATGGCGTGCACTTTGGCATATCAATGATTATAGACTTCGGGAACGAGCATGAGGAGTGCGTGAAGAGTGCAGGCGTGCGTGCCATGTCGTAGAAAAATTTTTGAAATTTTCTAAAATTCGGCATTGCATCGATGTTCGTACCTCTTGTGTGAACCATGTGTACAAACACGGCTGACAGTGCGTATCAATGCAGGAAGACAGTGGGAACTATGCGTGTTGTGCAGGACACTGCGTTAGGGCAGACATGGACTATGTAAAAACAATAGTTAACCTATGCGTAAACAAATAGTGGTTGAACGACCCTGCACGTATGACGTCATTTGTGGATTGTGCGTTAGGGTAAGGCTTGGTCCAGGGTTAGGGTTAGCGCTAGCCCTGTTTACATCTCTAGACTTTGACTAAATCTGCAGGTCCTAACCCTTACCCTAACCCTAACACATAATCCTACACAGTGCACAATGGGCCAACAGGGTGCAAAGAGGCCTTCACCGAAATGGCACGTCTTGCCACGACATATTGCGTGGCATTGCGGTGACAAAAATCGCGGAAGTGTCTATGATGTTTTATTGTTTATCTAGTTGTTCACCATAGTGACACCAGCTAGTTTTATAAAAGTTCAAACATGGTTTCTTATTTGACAGCCCCGCTTGTACGTGACAAGGAGTAGGGTCGTGGGTTTTCTCCGAGTCTTCTGGTTTCCTCCCAATGCTAAAGACCCCTACGCGCAAACGAATTATTGAAATAAAAAAATAAAGCACATGTTAGTCCCGAAATGACCTAGTTTGTGTCGATTGCTCTCTCTCTCTCTCTCTCTCTCTCTCTCATTTGACAGATTTTGGAATTTTGCATCTCTAGCAAACTTCAATTATCATGAAAGTTAAGTCTCTAGGTGGAATATGGAGTTCTCCTGTAAACTTATATAAGTTCATTATCATTCAGGACATATTTAAAGTTATCGCTCTGGGCCCGTTTCTCGAAATCTTAACTAAAGATAAAATCCAAATTTTAGTAGATACTTTAATTTTGATTGGCTAAGCACTAAAATCAGTCTAATATTATTCAATCAAATTAATAAAGTTTGGATTTTATCTTAGTTAAAATTTAATGAAACAGGCCCCAGGTTGGAAGTATAAACCACTAAACCTATCACATAATTAGGTCTTAGTTTTTAGGGTTGCATAAATATTGATCGTATAAAATGTACGACTGGCAAAGTTTTCAAACATAAACCTTGTTTGAAACATAAATAAATTCATTATGCTCTGGTTTCAATCACCCTTGACAGCTGTGTCAGACCACTAATTATTTCATTATCAAGTGTAATGTAAAGTTTATATACTGATTAACAACTTTACTTTCAGTTTGTATATTTTGTTATATTTCTGTCAGAATATTGACTTAATCTTAAATCAACATTACCTGTTGCACACTTGACACCAGATGGTGCACTTATAGCAACTATTTTTATAATTTTATGACATATAGCAACTAGTTTTATAATTTTAGGACTTGGTAAGATGTTATAATAGACATTTTACTGGGGTTTAACATATCCTACTGTTCTGTTCAGACCAGAGAGAGAGAGAGAGAGAAATGGGGTTTAATGTCCACTGGACACAAACTAGGTCATTTTGGGACTAACACATGGTTCAATTTTATTTCAATAATTTGCTTGCACAGGGGTCTTTAGCAGTGGGAGGAAACCGGAGGACCCGGAGTAAACCCATGGTTGGCTCAATGACAGACCGTATGATACAGCGCAGCATGCATGTGCTAACCATTTTGGGACTAACACATGGTTCAATTTTATTTCAATAATTCACTTGCACATAGGGGTCTTTAGCAGTGGGAGGAAACTGGAGGACACGGAGAAAACCCATGAGGTTCGACAGGCGACCCTATTCCTTGTCACATACAACCGGGGAATCGAAACCCCGCCATGGTTGGCTCAATGACAGACCGTATGATACAGGACAGCACGCATGTGCTAGGGATTCGACCATCCAACCCTCCCTGTTCAGACTGGACTAATGACGACAGACACACCATTCGAGGGTGCTAAGGTGAAGATTTTGCCCAGAAAGTCGCACTATATAATGGCCTGCTCTTATTTTAAATTCCAACTTTCATGGGTTCTTTCTTGTGTGCACCCCAACAACTTGACAGTGCCCTTTGCCAGGCCCGCCTGCCTGCACCACTGACAAGGGGGAGCCATTCTATAAAAATATCATGAACTGTCTCGACCGACACCTGTGGGCTGGAACACAAGACTTTATTTGAATTTAAACATTTGTCTAACTTGTGCAGGACTTTTAGAAATGTTTGATACCGGGCTTACTCTTTAAAATTAGTTGTGGGAATTTTCTATATTTAAAATAATCATTGATCGATAAAAACCAATTCAGTAATTTATTTTTAATTTGGGGCTGGTGCAGAAAAATAGGACATTAAACCACATTTTATTTAAATTTAAATTTGAAGCTGAAAAATAGGATGTAAAACCCAATTATATTTAAAAATAGAGATTAGTGCAAAATCAAAAAAGTAGGACATTAAACTCCATTCCATTTAAATTTGGGGCTAGTGCAAAAAACTAGGATGTTAAAAAAACGCATTTAATTAAATTTGGGGCTAGTGCAAAAAAGTAGGATGTCGTAAAACCGCCTTTTATTTAAATTTGGGGCTAGTGCAAAAAAGTAGGATGTCGTAAAACCGCCTTAATTTTATTTAAATTTGGGGCTAGTACAGAAGAGTAGGATGTTAAAGGCCATTTTATTTAAAATGAAGTGAATGAGTTGGTATAGAAAGTATTTATATGTTTATCATGTGAGAGTTATTGTATCATGGTGGATGACATGTGTTATAGATTTATTTATATCATGACAGGAAATAAAACAGGTTGTCTAGTATTATACTAATACTATATATACCATACTTATACTGACATATATATACATATTACATACTCATGTTGTCACAGGATTCTAACCACAACTATATATAGAGTCAGTCTGTCCAACTATAATAGGTGACAAGGAGTAGGGTCACCTGTCCAACCTCGTGGGATTCCCTCACACTGCTAACAGAATTATTGAAATAAAATTAAACCATATGTTAGTCTGGAAATAACCTAGTTTGTGTCAAGTGGACCTTAAACCCCGTCTCTCTCTCTCTCTCTCTCTCTCTCTCTCTCTCTGTATCTCTCTCTCTCTCTGCAGGTCTAAGGAAATTTAGTCTTCCAAATTTTACCACTACATATATTTTATTAATAAAAAAACATGACGGTGTAGAATTTCAATGAAAAATTTAATACATCATATTCAATAATGTTTCCATTTTAGGAAATCTTTCAATTTTCAGTTTTTCTGTTTGTACAGTTTGTAATTTGAACAATTTTCAGTTAGAATAGTTATCAATATAGATCTGATATGTGAATAATTCCTAAAAATATCAAAACCAATATCAATGGTCTACATGTAAAAATTATTTTTTAACAACCTAAAAATCTGATGAAGGGGTTTGATGGATGGATAGATTGAACCTTAACGAATCTAAACCTCTAACTCAATAATACAGCCATAGACCCTTTCCATATGCCCTTGTCATCCTTAAACTTAGTGATTTTTTCGAGAATGTAGTTTTGATTTTTGAATCAAAATGAAGTTGTGATGTGATAAAAGTTTTTTTTTCTGTTTTATTTTATTTTTAAAGATGCATTATGTAAGAGGAAAATCTGTCTATTGCAGGGTTTTTATTTTGGCTTCAAATGTTATATAAATTATTTTTTAGACATTTATTAACGTGACCAGCTTATAATCAACTCTCTAGACCATCAGATGACACAGATGTAAACAGACTATAATCAACTCTCTAGACCATCAGATGACACAGATGTAAACAGACTATAATCAACTCTCTAGAGCATCAGATGACACAGATGTAAACAGACTATAATCAACTCTCTAGACCATCAGATGACACAGATGTAAACAGACTATAATCAACTCTCTAGACCATCAGATGGCACAGATGTAAACAGATTAAAATATGATTGCCATTTAATGATTTAATTTAAAAACTAGTGAAGCAAGCAAGGCTAAGTCTTGATTTACAAGTGACGTTGGTGCGATAATAAACTCAGAATAAAGTAATTCGAATGAAATTTTTTATATATTAATTTTGAATTATCTATTTTGGAACAATTAAAGCAAGAACATCCAGCTCTTTATCTAAATTTTACATAATGCATCTTTAAGGAAAGAGATTTGAATTGATTGTTTTATTGTCTTGAAGTAATTTTAGAAAAAAAATATAACATTTTTAAAATATATAAATTATATGCAATAATAAAAAGTTTACAATATATATTATAAATATTTAGATAGTTTAGTATATTGAATGTAGACATGAAAAACTTGTTTACCAAAATACTCTAAATGCCATTTGGGAAAAGGAACAGTTTTGGTCAATATTAATTTAGTAACTAAGGAATACCGAAAGGCTCATATAAAAGGGAATTCCCCATTGGTATTTATCGTTTTTTGGAAACAAGTTCGTCACAATTAGTATGTAGTGAATATAGCCTATATTTTTTTATGGAGAAATAAAAAGTCAAATAAAATTAATCAATAACCAAAATTTTAAATTAAAATATTATTATTTTTTTTTTAGAAAATACAATATTTTCAGTTTCCATGATAGGTTACTGTTTATCTAGTGGGGTGAAAATAAAACTTTCAACATTTTTCAAACCTAGGTTTTACTTGTCCTCGGAAAGAATGTCTGCTTGTTTGGATCTATTAAGGACCAGTGCATATAATAAATGATTCCCATTGGTATTACCGAAAATGTGGCCACTCTCGAAGTTCTGCAACTAAATGTAGGCCCTAACACTACTTCACCCAAGAACTGCCCCCCCCCCCCCCTCCATGAATACCATATTCTCACGTGCAGGGATAAGAAAACAGGGGAATATTAGTAATGATGTTACACTGAATTATGTCTGATGGATAGTAGCCGTCAAGGGAATATTTGCTGCTGATCATTTGGACGATCAAGTAATACAGATAACCGGCACTCGCCAAACCTCGGTAGATTCCGGTACCCTACATCGTAGAATCTGACGGGGATTGCCGAATGAGATAACCGGAAGTTATATTTCTAAGTAATGGTGGATGCTGTTTAGACACAGATCACTAAAGATTTCCCCATTGACTCCAATGTTAATTCTCGTATCTTAGACCGGCTCTAACTTTTTCCCAAATTTTCGTTGGGTAGAACGCTTTCTACCACAGATGGAGCAACATGTGGCAACCACTTGCCCAAAAGCACGTATGAGGTTTTTCATGAAAAACTTGAGATACACAAGCTGGAAGTAGAGACAAATAAACATGCAATTTCAGGCCCTACATTTCAACGTAACCAACCTCTCAACTCTTGTATCCTTCCGCATCAAAATTATGAATATTCACCAAAACCTGGCAGAAAATGTATTTTCAAACCCTTTTCCTCAATTCTACACCAAAAAGTCAACAAAAATCGCCATGCAAAAGGGGGAAAAAGGAAAAGGGAGAGGAAGACTAAAAATAGCTTTGGCCCCTGTAGTGGCTGTAGGAATATTTGGTGATCTGTGTCCGTTTGTAACATCGTAGTAAGGGACATAGACAGCATACAGCCAGCTGTGTGAAAAAAAAATCATTGCTTTATAGTATTAGTATACAATCTGGCTATCAACAAAGTGGTCGTTTACGAGTAGGCCCCTATAGACTTGAATATCCTGTTTGTATTACGTGTTTGTTAGAAGACGGATATATTTCGGTACCCTAAATCGTAAATTCCGCCGAGGTTTGCCGAATGAGATAAGCGGAAGTTATGTATCTTCAGTGAAAGTGAAAATGAAAGTAGATTATTCTTAGTAATGGTGGAGGCTCTTTGTTTAAATGACTTTCACGAACCTAAAATTATCAACTGTCAACATTCTTTCTGCTACAACTGTCTAGAAGATTACGTTCACAGAACGTCGACTAATGGTCAGTTTCTTTGTCCACTTTGTCGCCAGAATATTATTGTTCCTTCATGGTATGGATCAATTTTCATCTAAGCAGCAAATGGAGAATAACTCAATTCTACAAATTCAACAATGTGATGTGTGTTTAAATACTCAAGCAACATGCCGATGTCATGATTTTTTTATGTAGAAAAAAAAAGTCAAATAAAATTAATCAATAAGCCACCGTCTGGATGATCAAGTAACATAGATAACCTAGAGATTCCGGTATTCATAATTCGTAGAATCCGCCGAGGTTAGCCGATTGAGATAAGCGGAAGTTATATAATTTCTGTGAAAGTGAAAATGAAAGTAGATTATTCTTAGTAATGGTGGAGTCTCTTTGTAACATCATATTACATGTACTTATATTGAACAATCATTGTTGATATTGTAGTCGTGTAAAATATTATTATGTGTCGGGATGTTATAGACTGAAGGTAAGGGACATAGACAGCATCCAGCCAACAGTGTGTGAACGAAATGAGGCAATGTTTTATACAATTTAGCCATCAACAAAGTGGTGGTTGACGTGTAGAGACTTGAATATCCTGTTTGTGTCACGTGTTTGTTTAAGAGGGGCTAATATAGGATATTACCAGGATTTATTACTGTACAATAATACTTGATAAACATTCATTTTAATAAAACACAATGGCTGAACAGACAGATCATGAAGTATGCAGTATTTGTTTAAATGACTTTCAGGAACCTAAAATTATTGAATGTCAACACTCTTTCTGTTACAACTGTCTAGAGGATTACGTTCACCGAACGTCAACTAATGGGCAGTTTCTTTGTCCACTTTGCCGTCAGAATATTATTGTTCCTTTAGGTGGTATGAATGAATTTTCATCTAAGCAGCAAATGGCGAATGACTCAACTCTACAATTTCACCAATGTGATGTGTGTTTAGATATTCAAGCAACATGTCGATGTCGCGATTGTCAACAACATTTATGTGAGTCGTGTAAATCAACACATGATAAGTTTGTTGGTTGTAAAAGACACATCGTTGTCAAGTTACATGTAGATGGAATTTCAGACCATAGCTCCGAGACACATGATGTTGATATATCTGAGAATTCAAGAGGCGCGCCCGTACACCCCGCCGATTTCTGTCCAAATCACCGGAAAAAGAAAATAGAAATCTGCTGTAAAGATTGTTTGGTGGCGGTTTGCTTTAAATGCTTTGCTCAAGATCACAACGGACATTCATTTCTGGATCTACAAGAAGATGATGTGCGAGAACAAATCAGAGGTGAACTAAAAACACTGAAAGTAGAACTAGAAAAATATATCATCAAACTTCAAAACCTTTCTTCATCTTTACAAAGTACATTATCTGAAGTGCAAGAAGCAGCCAAATCGGCTTGTGAGAACGTTGATACGCATGTCAGAAACATTTGTGCTAAAGTTCATGAAATGGGAGAAAACATAAAAGAAGAAATCCAAACAACCTGCAACGAAGAAAATGAAAAATTTACAAAGCTGATGACCGACATTAAAACTCTGACTGAAGATTTGCAATCTGGTGACAAATTTTCCACGAGTATTCTGGAAGATAATTCTATTGTTCAAGTTTTGGAGAGACTGCCAAGAGTGTTCCAGGAAGCGGAACAATGCCGTTCCAGAAAGTTTAATATCCCGGATGTAATGTATCTATCATTTAAAAGAACGGAGATAAATGAGACAGTTCTACGAGAACAACTGGGTGAAGTAGATACATGTATACAACATGAAACAAGATTTATTACAACATTTAATATAAATCAGTTCAAACCCGCTGAAATAGTATATGGTTCTGTTAAAACATTTCACGGTTTACCATGGTGTGTCTCTGCATCTAAAATGTTGCCAGACGAATCAATAAAACCTGAAATGTTGGATGTTTTTCTACGTTTAATCAAAACAGGCCGACGTTCAGATATTTTATCATGTCAAGTTGATTTCTCCCTGGAACTGATCAACCATAAAGATGAAAATAGATCGATGACAAGGCACAGTACATGTAGTTTAAAAGACTTTCATGATGCCATAGGATGGGGATTTAACACTTTTACTACCTGGGACATATTAACAAACCAAGACAGTGGTTTTCTTGATTCTAACAACAACTTCAACATACAAGTTATATTGAAACTAATGGATGTTAAAAGGGACTTACGTCTTTGGAATGTGGCAACTGTATTACCTGGAACATATTAACAAACCAAGAAAATGGATTTCTTGATTCTAACAACAACTTCAACATACAAGTTATATTGAAACTAATGGATGTTAAATGGGACTAACGTCTTTGAAATATAAATAAATCTAGCAGAAATATAATGTGTGTTTCTTTGTTGTCAGAGTCGTTAGTAACTAGATTGTGTTGATTTCCTTTTTTTGGACCAGGAACTTGTCTCCAAGAGCTACTCATCTTCGTTGTCATTGGACAATTGTGGATTGAATGACGGACTTCAATTCTTGAAATGATACTATTAGAAGACGGCTGTGATGACATCATTCTCTGTTCCAGATCTACAGTTTGGCGGTATTTGTTCTTAAATATTTGGGCTAGATTTAATTATTTCAGAGCATTTCTAACCATTCTGATAATAGCACTGATTTGGAAAATAGGGTTTTGAATTGGTGTTATCGGAGTTTGGACACATGATTTGTAAAGGAGAATTCGGTGATTTCAACTTTAATTGTGTTCTAGCATTTTATACATCGTGTCCTTTCACTTGATTCATGGGGTCAAATTCGACGATTTTGTTTTTAATTGTAGGTTTTAACGCTGTGCAGGATCGATAACTCGATTCACCATTAAAAATGTGAGTAGCACAGCAGAGGGACTTTTAAATGAGATTAAATCAATTAACGATTACCTGGCGAGGACGGAAATGAAATACCTGGCAGGTAACTCCATCACGCACCTAGATTGTCTGGTAATGCCCAAATTACAGCACATCCGCATCGCAGCCGAAGCCTTCAAAGATTTCCTGATACCTCGAAAATATACGCATTTTTGGCGCTACATGGAAACCGCTTACAATAACGACACCTTCCGTAAGACATGCCCATCTGATCAAGAGATAGTTTTTCACTGGAGCTCTAAAAGGGAGACAACTCCTTTACCAGAGAAGAAAAGGCGATTTTATACGATTGATACAGAACCCAAGTTTACCCTGACTGTTCCGCATTAAATATATGAGATTATTTGAGGATGGAATGTTTTATTTTTTTATTTAAAGGATCTCTTTTATCGTAAACCTGTAGTAAACCCTGTCGTATTCACCAGGGTTGCGATCAGGAGTATGGACCTTAGGTATTTATAGCATTACTTTAATTATTGAAAGACATAAACATCATCTTGTGTCGGAAGCAGTTTTACAATAAAACCTGTTTTTGCATGAAAAGTGAAGATATTATAATATACCTGTTTTGTTTATAAAATGGATGGACAGTTTCAGCTTTAGTGTGGCCAGGATTTTTATAACAAGAGAGGATTGTTCCATGGGCAGAAGTATTAATGTTTGAATGTTTGGCAGAGATGGAGGTGAAAATTATTGGTGTACAAACATGTTTTGGATAAGGAACTCGATCAGCAGAAATAACGATATCTTAGCGTTGATCATAACAAGAGAAAATAGAGCATGGATATAGCTATCTTCGATTGAAAAGTATATCTTCACCCACAGACACCCTCAACCCTACACCTAGAGACACCCACTGCCCCCCCCCCCTTTGCCACCATTACTGTGTAATTTACTTAAGTGACTTGATCAAAATAATTTATATACTTGATTGTACAAACTGATGTCTAAATCTACACAACTCCAGTTTCAGTGGACATCAAACTATTAGACTTAAGTATTACTACATGTAGATCCATTTTCAGTTCCCTAAATTATCTAGTCAAAGCTTGTATTCTAGTTACCATGGATACCAGACTCTAGTTACTATGGATACCAGACTCTATATGGATACCACACATCTATTTTTAGTTAAATATGCATATTTCATTTCTGGGAAGTTTCTACTTCCCGTATATAATCTAGTCAAAACTAAGATTCTAGTCGTATATAATTTAAATGGCTGTCTAAGTTATATTCTAGTCATATATAATTTAAAAGGCTGTCTAAATTAACTATATTTCAATTTGTAAATTAAAGCCGCTGACCGCCATTTGTATGAATCCCTTGTAGATTGTGATATATGAGTGTGTCAAAGGAATATTAGTCCTATCTATGGTTCAGCTTTGTGACTGTCTGAGTATATATACATGTATAGTCCTTAAATAGTTTACAGGTGTTCATGTGACCCTAGGTGGAACTATAGTTTAGGGCTGTCCATGCAGGTACTAATTAAGTGTTAATAACATTGGTGGCATTCAGAGGGGGTGATGGCCTTTGGCATTTATTTCATGAGGGCATCCAATCAAAGAGTGAAATTAATATTAAGGTGTTAACATTTGTTGTACAAATTGCCCTATTCAATTTCAAGAAAAGTTTATGTCATCTAATTTTACATTTTAGAATTGTCTCCCTTTGTTAGTACTGAACCACTAGAATCCAGTCTTAATGGTTTACACCGTCATGGAGTTGGCTCTAGGCATTACCAAAACTATGCATGTCACTGCATTTCTGAGATTGTAAGGATGCTTTTGTCATCTGTTTAATGAAGTTAGGGAGATTTTGATTTCTGCACGAAATTAAACTAGGACTAGCCAACTTTTTTGTTTTATTAATTACAAATTATATACTTTTAACATTTTTGCAATTTATAATATATATATTTTATCAATTTTATTATCTAGTCAACAATATGTTTTACTGCTAATTAATAATATTTACAAGATTTTTAAGATGTTTATGTTTTATCTAGTCACAAATATTTGCCATTTTAAGTGTCTTGCGTCCTAAGAATCTCGTGACATGTCTAGTGTCCAGTAACAACCCTGTAAATTTCGAAGCATTCATCTCATAGGTATTATGTAATGTTTATCAAGTTAAGCCCCCCTGACACAATTTTCTTTCCGCAATGGCGTGCACTTTGGCATATCAATGATTATAGACTTCGGGAACGAGCATGAGGAGTGCGTGAAGAGTGCAGGCGTGCGTGCCATGTCGTAGAAAAAATTTTGAAATTTTCTAAAATTCGGCATTGCATCGATGTTCGTACCTCTTGTGTGAACCATGTGTACAAACATGGCTGACAGTGCGTATCAATGCAGGAAGACAGTGGGAACTATGCGTGTTGTGCAGGACACTGCGTTAGGGCAGACATGGACTATGTAAAAACAATAGTTAACCTATGCGTAAACAAATAGTGGTTGAACGACCCTGCACGTATGACGTCATTTGTGGATTGTGCGTTAGGGTAAGGCTTGGTCCAGGGTTAGGGTTAGCGCTAGCCCTGTTTACATCTCTAGACTTTGACTAAATCTGCAGGTCCTAACCCTTGCCCTAACCCTAACACATAATCCTACACAGTGCACAATGGGCCAACAGGGTGCAAAGAGGCCTTCACCGAAATGGCACGTCTTGCCACGACATATTGCGTGGCATTGCGGTGACAAAAATCGCTGAATTGTCGGGTTGGTATTATATTTTATCTAGTCACAAATATTGACCATTTTAATCTTTTAAAATGAACGATGTTTCTATGATGTTTTATTGTTTATCTAGTTGTTTATCATGTTAGTGACACAAGTTAGTTTTATAAAAGTTCAAACATGGTTTCTTATTTGACAGCCCCGCTTGTACGTGACAAGGAGTAGGGTCGTGGGTTTTCTCCGAGTCTTCTGGTTTCCTCCCAATGCTAAAGACCCCTACGCGCAAACGAATTATTGAAATAAAAAAATAAAGCACATGTTAGTCCCGAAATGACCTAGTTTGTGTCGATTGCTCTCGCTCTCTCTCTCTCTCTCTCTCTCTCTCTCTCTCTCTCTCTCATTTGACAGATTTTGGAATTTTGCATCTCTAGCAAACTTCAATTATCATGAAAGTTAAGTCTCTAGGTGGAATATGGAGTTCTCCTGTAAACTTATATAAGTTCATTATCATTCAGGACATATTTAAAGTTATCGCTCTGGGCCCGTTTCTCGAAATCTTAACTAAAGATAAAATCCAAATTTTAGTAGATACTTTAATTTTGATTGGCTAAGCACTAAAATCAGTCTAATATTATTCAATCAAATTAATAAAGTTTGGATTTTATCTTAGTTAAAATTTAATGAAACAGGCCCCAGGTTGGAAGTATAAACCACTAAACCTATCACATAATTAGGTCTTAGTTTTTAGGGTTGCATAAATATTGATCGTATAAAATGTACGACTGGCAAAGTTTTCAAACATAAACCTTGTTTGAAACATAAATAAATTCATTATGCTCTGGTTTCAATCACCCTTAATGGCAGCTGTGTCAGACCACTAATTAAGTCATTATCAAGTGTTATGTAAAGTTTATATACTGATTAACAACTCTACTTTCAGTTTGTATATTTTGTTATATTTCTGTCAGAATATTGACTTAATCTTAAATCAATATTATCTGTTGCACACTTGACACCAGATGGTGCACTTATAGCAACTATTTTTATAATTTTATGACATATAGCAACTAGTTTGATGTTATAATAGACATTTTACTGGGGTCTGTTCTGTTCAGACTGGAGAGAGAGAGAGAGAGAGAGAGAGAGAGAGAAATGGGGTTTAATGTCCACTCACACGAACTAGGTCATTTCTGGACTAACACATGGTTCAATTTTATTTCAATAATTTGCTTGCACAGGGGTCTTTAGCAGTGGGAGGAAACCGGAGGACCCGGAGAAAACTCATGGTTGGCTCAATGACAGACCGTATGATACAGGACAGCATGCATGTGCTAGGGATTCGACCATCCAACCCGCTGTTCAGACTCGACTAATGACGACAGACACACCATTCGAGGGTGCTAAGGTGAAGATTTTGCCCAGAAAGTGACACAATGGCCTGCTCTTATTTTAAATTCCAACTTTCATGGGTTCTTTCTTATGTGCACCCCAACAACTTGACATTGCCCCTTGCCAGGCCCGTCTGCATGCACCACTGACAAGGGGGAGCCATTCTAGAAAAATACCATGAACTCTCTCGACCGACAACTGTGGGCTCAAACACAGGACGTTATTTGAATTTAAACATCTGTCTACCATGTGCAGGACTTTAAAAATGTTTGATACAGGGCTTACTCTTCAAAATTAGTTGTGGGAATTTGATTGATATAAATCCATTGAATATTAGATTTTAATTTTATATATTTAAAATAATCATTGGTCAATATACATGTAAATCCATTCAGTAATTTATTTTAATTTGGGGCTGGTGCTGAAAAATAGGACATTAAACCTCATTTTATTTAAATTTAAATTTAAATGTAAAACCCAATTTTACTTGAAAATAGAGATTAGTGCAAAATCAGAAAAGTAGGATATTAAACCCCATTTCATTTAAATTTAGGTCTAGTGCAGAAAAGTAGGATGTATTAAACAGCATTTAATTAAATTTGGGGCTAGTGCAAAAAAGTAGGATGTCGTAAAACGGCCTTTTATTTAAATTTGGGGCTAGTGTTAAGTAGGATGTTAGAGGCCATTTTATTTAAAATGAAGTGAATCAGTTGGTAAAGAAAGTATTTATATGTTTATCATGTGAGAGTTATTGTATCATGGTGGATGACATGTGTTATAGATTTATTTATATCATGACAGGAAATAAAACAGGTTGTCTAGTATTATACTAATACTATATATACCATACTTATACTGACATATATATACATATTACATACTCATGTTGTCACAGGGTTCTAACCACAACTATATATAGAGTCAGTCTGTCCAACTATAATATGTGACAAGGAGTAGGGTCGCCTGTCCAACCGCGTGGGATTCCCTCACACTGCTAACAGAATTATTGAAATAAAATTAAACCATATGTTAGTCTGGAAATAACCTAGTTTGTGTCAAGTGGACCTTAAACCCCGTTTCTCTCTCTCTCTCTCTCTCTCTCTCTCTCTCTCTCTCTGTATCTCTCTCTCTCTCTGCAGGTCTAAGGAAATTTAGTCTTCCAATTTTTACCACTACATATATTTTATTAATAAAAAAAACATGACGGTGTAGAATTTCAATGACAAATTTAATATATTATATTCAATAATGTTTACATTTTAGGAAATCTTTCAATTTTCAGTTTTTCTGTTTGTACAGTTTGTAATTTGAAGCAAGAGATTTGAATTGATTGTTTTATTGTCTTTATGTTATTTTAGAAAAAAAAAAATATAAAATTTTTAAAATATGTAAATTATATGAAATAATAAAAAGTTTACAATATATTTTAGAAATATTTAGATAGTTTAGTATATTGAATGTAAAACTTGTTTACCAAAATACCAAAAGGCTCATATAAAAGGGAATTCCCCATTGGTGTTTACCGTTTTTGGGAAACAAGTTCGTCACAATTAGTATGTAGTGAATATAGCCTATATTTTTTTATGTAGAAATAAGAAGTCAAATAAGATTAATCAATAACCAAAATTGTATATTAAATATTATTATTTTTTTTTAGAAAATACAATATTTTCAGTTTCCATGATGTGTTACTGTTTATCTAGTGGGGCGAAATAAAACTTTCAAGATTTTTCAAACCTAGATTTTACTTGCCCTCGGAAAGTATGTCTGCTTGTTTAGATATATTAAGTACCAGTGCATATAAATGATTCCCATTACCGACAATTTGGCCTCTCTCCAAGTTCTGCAATAGGCCCTGACACTACTTCACCCAAGAACTGCCCCCCCCCACACTACTTCACCCAAGAACTGCCCCCCTCAAGCGGCCACACCACGCCCCCACCCATGAATACCATATTCTCCCGTGCAATGATAAGAAAACAGGGGAATATTAGTAATGATGTTACACTGAATTATATCTGAGGGGTATTAGCAGTCAAGGGAATATTTGCTGCTGATCATTTGGACGATCAAGTAATATAGATAACCGGCACTCGGGAAACCTCGGCAGATTCCCGTACCCTACATCGTAGAATCTGCTGAGGTTTGCCGAATGAGATAACCGGAAGTTACATATTTCCAGTGAAAGTGAAAGTAAAAGTAGATTATTCTTAGTAATGATGGATACTGTTTGTAAAATCATAGTACTTATATTTGACAATTTTTGTTGATATTGTAGTCGCGTGAAATATTATTCTGTGTCGAATATCCTGTTTGTGTTACGTGTTTGTTTGAAGAGGGACTGAAAATTGGATATTGCCAGGTTTTAGGACAATAACTTGTTATAGCATTCATTTTAATAAAACACAATGGCAGAAAAGACAGATAAGGAAGTATGTAGTATTTGTTTAAATGACTTTCAGGAACCTAAAATTATCGACTGTCAACATTCTTTCTGCTACAACTGTCTAGAAGATTACGTTCACAGAACGTCAACTAATGGTCAGTTTCTTTGCCCACTTTGTCGACAGAATATTATTGTTCCTTTAGGTGGTATGAATCAATTTTCATCTAAGCATCAAATGACAAATGACTCCACTCTACAGATTCAACAATGTGACGTGTGTTTAAACAATGAAGCAACATGTCGATGTCGCGATTGTCAACAACATTTATGTGATTCATGTAAATCAACGCATGATAAGTTGGCTGTTTGTAAAGGACACGTCGTTGTCAAGATAGATGGAATTTCCGAACAAGGATTAAAGGAAATTACCTTTGGGAAAACCAATTACTAATGTGAAAGAAGATATATCCGAGAATTCAAGAGTCGCATCCGTACACCCTGCAGATTTCTGTCCAAATCACCCGAGCAAGAAAACAAAAATCTATTGTAAAGATTGTTTGGTGGCGGTCTGCTTTAAATGCTTTGTCAATGATCACAATGGACATACATATCTGGATCTACAAGAAGATGATGTGCGAGAACAAATCAGAGACGAACTAAATAAACTGAAAGTAGAAATAGAAGAACATATCAACAAACTTCAAAATCATTCAACATCTTTACAAAGTAAATTATCTGAAGTGGAAGAAGCAGCCAAATCGGCTTGTGAGAACGTTGATACGCATGTCAGAAACATTTGTGATAAAGTTCACGAAATGGGAGAAAACGTAAAAGAAGAAATCAAAAAAACCTACAGCGATGAAAATGAAAAATTCACAAAGCTGATGACAGACATTAAAGGTTTAACTGAAGATTTGCAATCTGGTGTCAAACTTTCCACCAGTATTCTAGAAGATAATTCTATTGTTCAAGTTTTGGAGAGATTGCCAAATGTGCGCCAGGAAGCAGACGAATGCCGTTCCAGAAAGTTAAATATCCCTGATGTATTGTATCCATCTTTTAAAGAAGCGGAGATAAATGAGACAGTTCTACGAGAACAACTCGGTGAAGTACATGTAGATACATGTATACAACATGAAACAAGATTTATTAATACATTTAATATAAATCAGTTCAAATCTGCTAAAAATGTATATGGTTCTGTTACAACATTTCACGGTTTACCGTGGTGTGTCTATATAAAAAAACAGCCTTCTGGCGTTCTAGGTTTTTTTTTATCTTTGAACGAAACAGGCCGACGTTCAGATATATTATCATGTCAAGTTGATTATTCCCTGAAACTGATCAACCATACAGATGAAAATAAATCGTCGATGACCAAACAGTTTACACGTAGTTTAAAAGAGTTTCAAGATAAACCAGGAATGGGAGTGGTCAATTTGATTAAATGGGACATATTAACAAACCAAGACAGTGGTTTTCTAGATTCCAGCAACAACTTCAACATACAAGTTATATTGAAATTAATGCATGTTAAAAGGGACAAGCAATGCCATACAAAGAAACAAACACTATACGCCCTATAACTGATCTATATTTAGTATCTTATCACTACGACTGATCTATATTTAGCACAACTGTTATATATTTGGAGGATTTGAGAGGGGGGGGGGGGGGTCCAAAGAGATCATGTGTTGAGCATAGTCACTACCTGCTGTTCATTGATCACCCACTTTTTTTCTGGGAATTGCCGCTCATGGTCTACAGTGGTATTGTCGCTTTCTGGAACATGAACTTTGACACCAATCGTCACAGGTTTTGTTCATACTAATAAAAGACTTTGACCGTTACATTAAATGACTAGTTCCAAGGAAAGATTTATTATAGATATACAGAATCTTCACATCATAGTCTTGTCCCCTGGTAGAAAACAGGTGATCAGTACCAACATCATCTATTGTCTTCTACCTGGCATCAGTACTTGGTACCAGTGCTGTGTCACAGGCTACTACAAGGTTATACTAATGATTATGAATCGTGGTGATATAAATAGTCTTACTATAAATAGAACTGATATTTCACGTTTAAATAAAACACCTGTTACATGTATATATTGACTGGTAAGTTGAAATAAAGGTGAATATAGTCACATTTCTTACATCTCAACGTCATTATTCGGCAAGATACCCCTGCCCCCCCCCCATCACCACCTCAATTACCTTTTTTGCACGTGCAATTAAAAAGAGATAATGTTCAGGTAATGTATACCTCAGTTGTCAGTGGTGCCTGACAAGGACAGTTGTCTAGTCGTTCAGATGGGACGAGAAAGATTCCTTCAATATAAGAGTAGGCCACAGTACCACTGCCCGGTCAAAATTTCAACATAGCACATTGCCCGTCTTCATAAGCCCAGTCAGAGCAGAACAGTAGGACGTCAAACCCCGTTTCATTTTCGTTTTTTTTTTTATAAAATCATAACAGTTTATGAACATTGTTGTTGAAGAGTTATGTCCCTTGAATATTTCGGGGAAAATATACCAGCTGCTGCCATGGAGGATACGCCCACATTTTCGAGAGATGGATAGAGAACAAGCTAAAAAGAAAGTGATTTTTCCTACAATCAAGGGCCATAATTCAGGAAATTACAATTCGATATGCGCAAATATTTAAAGGATCCGAGATCTTTGGGTTATAAACTTACATTTCAAGTTTCAACAAAATCGGATAAAAATTGTGACCTCTATACGGTACGATATTTTTACGCTATTTGAGAACGAGGGGCGGCCATTTTGTCTGTTATTTTTGGGCCGTTTTTCACGAAATTCGAACTCAGCCGTCCTTAGGGTGTAACGGTGATATAATAATACGTTTTTTTTAAATCGCATAATAAATTATGACCTCTATAGGGTCCACAAGCTAAAAACGCGATTTTTCGTACAATCAGGGGGCCATAATTCAGGAAGTTACATTCCGATATGCGCGAATATCGAAAGGAACCGAGATCTTTGGGTTACAAGCATACATTTCAAGTTTAAACCAAATCGGATAAAAATTGTGACCTCTACAGTGTTCACAAGCTAAAAACGTGATTTTTCGTACAATCAGGGGCCATAATCCATGAAGTTACAGTCCAATACATGCTAATATCGACAGGAAGCGAGCTCTTAGGGTGATAAACCCATATTTAAAGTTTTATTGAAATCGGATAAAAATTGTGACCCGTAGACTGTTCACAAACAATTGTGGACGGACCGACGTACAGGGGCGACGACAATATACGTCCACATGAAAATGTGGGCGTATAAAAACAGGTTATTGAGATGAACATATAAGATAAGTTTTATTGTATAGAAACACCATCCATTTCTATATATTATACGTCGTTTATATTATATACAATAATGGGCGCGGCTATATAACACATCTAGGACACCATAATTACTATATATGCAAGTAGTTTATATATTAGGCAGCAAAAGAAACGTCAGATTGGTATGTTACTCTGAATAGACGCATTGCATAAAACTTGCCAAATGTTTTTTATTGTATATTTGTGACTACATCTCCAACTTTACCTGAGCAATAAGGCTCCTTCCCAAACACAGATTTGAACCACAATTGTGTCAACATAGTGTTCACAAAAAGTTGCTTTGATCCATTTAGTAAGTCGTCTGCTAACATGATTTGATTAAAGTACATCTCTGATTTTGAAATCGTACTGACGTTTTTTTGTGTGTTTTTTTTGCTGTTTAGTATATTGAATACACTGGCGAGGTTATGTGACAAATAAACAGGTTAATACCAGTAGTGATGATGGATTGAACATCTAGTGGATTTTAAGATTCGATGCACAATATTGAAATGACAGTTACTAACATGACATTCATGGTGTGTGAAGCAGGCTTATTTTCCGCCTGCTTTCACTGAAGTGATGTCACCTGAGATGAGAGATTATAGATACAATTTTACATGGTGATTAACATGAATGCTCATTCACCATACTGTTTAATATATAAGACATGTTATCTCCACCCTACGTAGATAGACTGCTGTTATATATATATAGCAAGTGAAAGTAGATTATTTTCGTTAATGGTGGAGACACTTTGAAACATCACTAGTACGTATATTGAACATTTATACAAATTAGTGTAAAAGTAAGTGTCATAGACAGCTGTGTGGAGGAAATGAAGCCATGCGTTAAACCATCAAGCTATCAACAAGGTGATCGTTTGGTTATGATTTGTATTTTAGTCGTGTAAAATAATATATTGTGATCTGGCCTGATCTAAAAGACTCAAAGTAAGAGACAGCATACAGGTGTATGGGAAAGAAATGAAGTCTTGTTTTATACAATTATAAAAAAACGTGATCGTTCATGTGGAAAGACCTAAATATCCTGTCTGTAACAAATGTTTGTATGGAAAGATAAGGGGCTGAATATTTGATATTGTCAGAACATTTTACGGGATAATAACTTGATAAATATTCTGTCTTAATTCATTTTGATAAAATACAATGGCTGAACAGACATACAGGGAAGTATGCAGTATTTGTTTAAACGACTTTCAGGAACCTAAAATTATTGACTGTCAACATTCTTTCTGTTACAACTGTCTAGAGGACTATGTTCACAGAACGTCAACTAATGGTCAGTTTCTTTGTCCACTGTGCCGTCAGAATATTAACCTCCCTGAAGGTGTTGTGAAGCAAATGGCAAATAACTCAAATCTACAGATTCAACAATGTGACGTGTGTCCAAACATTCAAGCAACATGTCGATGTCGTGATTGTCAACAACATTTATGTGATTCATGTAAATCAACGCATGATAAGTTTGTTGGTTGTAAAGGACACAGTGTGGTCACGATAGATGAAATTTCAAAACAATACTTGCAGGAAAAGTGCTCTGAGATTCCAGATGATGATATAAAAGAAAATATATCTGAGAATTCAGGAAGCGCGCCCGTTCACCCTGCAGATTTTTGTCCAAAACACTCGGAAAATAAAATAGAAATTCACTGTAAAGATTGTTTGGTGGCCGTTTGCTTTAAATGCTTTGTTAAAGATCACAACGGTCATACATTTCTGGATCTACAAGAAGACGATGTACGTGAAAAAATTAAAGACGAACTAAAAACACTGAAAGTAGAAGTAGAAGAACATATCAACAAACTTCAAAATCATTCTATATCTTTACAAAGTAAATTATCTGAAGTGGAAGAAGTGGCAAAAGTAGCTTGTGCGAACGTTGATACGCATGTCAAAAACATTTGCGATAAAATTCACGAAATTGGAGAAAACATAAAATTAGAAATTCAAAAAACCTGCAACGCAGAAAATGAAAAATTCACAAAGTTGATGACAGACATTAAAAGTCTGACGGAATATTTACAATTTGGTGTCAAATTTTCTACGAATATTTTAGAAAATACTTCAATTGTTCGAGTTTTGGAGAGACTGCCAAAAGTGCGCCAGGAAGCAGACAAATGTCGATCCAGAAAGTTTAATATCCCGGATATAATGTATCCATCATTTACAGAAACGGAGATGAATGAAAGAGTGCTTCGAAACCAAATCGGTGAAGTAGATATACACCATGAAACAAGATTTATTAAGACATTTCAAATCAATTCGTTCAGATATGTTGATGGGTTCTACAGTTCTGTTACAACATTTCAGGGTTTACGGTGGTATGTCAAGGCACAAAAATGTTCACATGGCAATCCAGGCTTTTATCTATGTCTGAAAGACACAGGCCGACGTTCAGATATTTTATCATGTCAAGTTGATTACTCCCTGAAACTGATCAACCATAAAGATGAAAATAAATCGGTGACAAGGCACCGTACACGTAATTTGAACCATTTTGAAGACCACACAGGATGGGGATTTGACAATTTTATTCAATGGGATATATTCAAAAACCAAGAAAGTGGGTTTATCGATTCCACCAACCACTTCAATATACAATTAATTTTGAAACTAACAGATATTAAAAGAGCAAAACCACGTCGTAGAAATAAACACTATCGTTATCGCTATCAGCACTATAATTGATCTATATTTTCACTTATCACTACAACTAACATATATTTAATAATTCATCACTACAACTGATCTATATGTATTAGTAACCCATCACTATAGCTGATCTATATATGGCAATTCATCACTATATGTGATCTGTATTAAGTAATTCATCACCAAAAAACCCTTAACTGCAGCCTTACGGAAACCCTTCATGACTACAGTACATATTGTTCAAGCTAACAAACTGTCTTCCCTCAGCGGATCAGTGACAAGTGTCATCTTATTTTCAATAAAGTTGATGCACGCCCCACCCGATCACTTGAAAGTTGTCATAAACCTTGAGGAAAACAAAATGACAAAGCCATTGTCAATTACAAGTGATGGTATGGGTGAGTGGGGGATCTCCAAAGAGGTCACAGCGTGGGGTGATCAAGTGTGTGCATAACCCCACAGTCACTATCTGCCTTTCCCCCTCCTTATCTACAGTGACATTGTCTCTTTTCTGAAATCCCAACTTTGGCACCAGTTGTCACCTAGATATAAGTTTTGTTCATAATATTCAACGAAAAGGACCGATAAGAGTGTTTATTGGCCAATAGCGCTCAAAGTATTACATTAAGTGACTAATTCATAGTCCTTAATTCTTTTTTCTTCATTTGTATGTATACTAAAATTACAATTTGTATCCTAAAATTATCATTTGTATCTTAAAATTAACATTTGTATCTTAAAATTGTCATTTGTATCGTAAAATTAATATTTGATTTACAAATCAGACCTTTGTTATATCAGATTTGTAAATTAATTTTTTATGAACGCTCACACAATCAATTGTTACATTATAAATATGTATTCCAGTTAATGGTGATAGTAATGAAATTACTTGCCTTCGATAAAGAAAATAATTAAAAGTAGTCTATTCTTAGAAATTATTCTACATAAAGAGCTGTATGGTTATAATACAGATCATGAATGTAACTGATAAATAGAACTGATATCTCACGTTTAAGTAAAAGATCTGTTATGTATTGTCTGGAAAGTTTAAATAAGGATGAATAAACGTAAATCTACTTTAGTTTTGGTCAAAATATGACCCCCATTGCAATTAAAATTATGGGAGCAGTTTTACCCAGACAGAGGCCTATTTTTATTTCAAATTTCAATTATTAAGAATTCTTTTATGTGAACGCCAACGTGTTCCCTGGACCTGTGTGGTTTTCCCTATCCGAACGACTAGACATTGTACTTGTTAGACCCTCTCTAAGTTTCTCGATCAACTCCGGGACCGAACCCCGCCCCCTCCTGGTTATTGAGCCATTTTCGGAAGCTAGTTTGTCCGTTTGCACTAATACAACGGAATTTTGTTAGTTACCTAAGCTACAGCGAATTCCACACCAACTCACCCTTCTGAAAATGCACTGTGTTTTGTCTGGAGAGTAATTGTACCACGCTTAAATTAAATCAAGACCGTTCAGTGAGAATCTAGTCGTGGTGCGCATAGGTTGGCCGACTCAATGCTGTACAGGTCACAGATCGCAATGTACAATGACGGTCAGATCTGAATATTAAGGCCGCCTGCAGAATTCGTCAAGATCTCGAGAGGTAGAGGTAGGGTTAGGCTTAGTGCTAGCCCTTTTTACATCTCGTGACCTTGAGATCAGCAGGTGGCTTTAATTAGACCCAACCGTACAATGAAAGCGGGAAGCCCCCCCCCCCCCGGCGATATCCATTACCTTTGGATCCGTCCTTGCCGTGTTTGAAGAGTTATTTCGAGACCTGATCAAACAGGTTTTTAAGATGAACATAAAAGATAAGTTTTATTGTACAGACCAACCCATAACATCTAAGATACCATACATTACTATATTTTTTATATACAATAATAAAAATCGTTTTCTAGCGCTGATCATTCAGTCAGTCTGAATGGTACAGGGCAGTACAAATACAGGGCCGATGGAAGCAACTTTTGATTGGGGGCGGGGCTGGGGTGGGGTCTGACATTCTAGGACTTTAGGCGAATAGGGATCTAGAGGCGCTTTCTGGCGAATGAAATTATTCAGCCATGAAGTGAAATTCTATTTCTTTTCTAAATCCCTTACTATGCAAGCACATTCGATAGTGGTTTCCTGCGATGCTGAACGTGGCAAAATATATGCATAATAATTCCAAGGTTGTGGACACTCTAGATGTCACAATTTGTATACGATTTGGATTAAACTGACAATATATGTTTATAACTGAAAGATCTCGACATTTTTAGCTTGTGGATCCTCTAGAGCTCACAGTTTTTATTTGATTGTCAAAACCGTTCAAATATATCACCGTAGCACCATAATTACGACAGAGTGCCAATTTCGTGGAAATCGGACTGAAACTGCCCGACAAAATGACCGCTACCCTTAAAAGCATGTTATAACCAAGTTTGAAGGTCAGAGGTTCGAATTTTCATCCAATTGTGATATATCCTAAAGGCCTGGGTTCGTTTCGATATTGGCCCGTATTGGATAGTAGCTTTCTGGATTATGACCCCCTTATTTATGAAATATCACGTTTTATCTTGTGGACCCTGTCGATGTCTCCATTTGTTTATCTTGTTTTCAAAACTGTTCAAATCTATCACCGTTACATCATAATCGGACCGAAACGTTCAGTCAAATGGCCACTCTCCTTAAGGCTGTGGACCATCTAGAGGTCAGATGTTTTATCCGATTTAGATGAATTTAAAATGAGTATCACTAGCTCTTAGATGAGTTCAGTTTTGGTGCTCATTGGCCAGCGGCCTTTTACGCAAAATGTGAAATATGAATGAAATTTGTGGACCTTCCAGAGGCAACAATTTTTGCTTGATTCATGAGATGAAACTTAAACTATGTGTTAAGGATCGAAAATTCTTGGATGATTTCGACTTTGGTACACAGCTGACCTCACATTCTAAAGCTATAACCCCTGCTTTTTATGCACGATGTGAAATATGTATGAATTTTTAGGCCATCCATTTTAACTTGTCATAATTTGTAGCAGGGAATTATTTGATAGATAGGGACACAGGGGAAGAGTTAAGAAAAAAACTATATCCCGTCGATTTGTTTCATTACCTAATCCGTCATAGATACGGAAGTGAGATGGGGTTGAAATAAACATCGACTGTTCAGTTAACTAATCCTGACCCTCGCAACCATAGGCGTAGAAGCCAGGGGGATGGGGCCGGGCGGGGTGCCCTCTAACTTTCAGGCAACCTTATTTTTCGGGCAGACGGGTTAAGTGAAAAGAAAAATTAATATTTCATCGAGTTGGCAAAATAAAGTGCCCGAAATCTTATAACACACTAATGTAACTTTTCTTTTAATTGAATACCACGAATTTGTACTGAATTGACGATGGATTAAAGCATTTTGTCTGGCGTCACTCTACTTTGTGCGGCATCTTTTCGGTCATTATTATTTGTGAATGCAGCTGCAACAGTCTGATAGGATGGTTGGAATTCAAGTCGGCATAGAGTGGGATTTCGGTTGAAAACCGAGAGAGAAATGGGGTTTAACGTCCACTCGACACAAACTAGGTCATTTCGGGACTAACGTATGGTTTAATTTAATTTCAATAATTCGCTTGCGCGTAGGGGTCTTTAACAGTGGGAGGAAACCGGAGGACCCGGAGAAAACCCACGAGGTTGGACAGGCGACCCTGTTCCTTGCCACGTACAAGCGGGGAATCGAAACCACGCCAGTTGACTCAATGACAGACTTTATGATACAGCGTGCACACGCTAACCATTCAGTCTCCCCCCCCCCTCTTGCCCCGGTTGAAAACCGATTGGAAACTGGCTCGAATTGCAGAAAAACGCATTTTTTGCGGTCAAATTTTCAAATTTTTCTTGGAGAGCGTGAGGACCCCATACACGGCGACGACTGATTGATTATTTGGGATTTGGGATTCAGGTAAGTCTCCTACCATAGGCTATATTGGTCCACATTGAAGCATCTGTATTCACAGGCTGGTCCAGCAGGAAAACGCGTTTGCGCTGCAGATAAATTTTCAAACATTCACCGAGCTCGTACGCCTTTTCATCACGGGACTATTTTATGTATAGATTTAACTGATATTTCTAGATGTATCTTGATAAAAGGACAGCGGTGAAACGTGAAACACCCTTCATAAAAGGCTTTTGATTAAAAATTTTAAAAATCACGTCATGCTCCAAATGTATAAAGAATTTATTTATCGTTGATGTTATACATACGTATACAATTTCATACACCGTCATCTTTATATTATATATTATTATTAGCATACTTATTCAACAAGGGCGTTACTCACATGTTTTTAAACATAGGGGCATAAACGGTCTGACAATTAATTTTATTTGCGCAAACCAGTGAGGTGTTACATAGAAATAGAAGATGTTAATACAACCAGTGAGGTGTTACATAGAAATAGAAGATGTTAATACAACCGTCTTAATCCAATATCCCACTATCATGATTCGCGCCAGGAAAACGTGTCTACGGCCGTCAAATTTTCCAAAATATCTTTAAGGGGGCGGGGGGGGGGGGGTCCTACACGGTAAGGTTTGCTCTTTCCCCTCTCGCAGCCGACCGGCACCACCATCTATAACCCAAAAATAAATTTTGGGGGCATTTCAGGTTCTGCGCCCCTAACAGTTATCGAGCCCGTACGTCTTTGCTCGCAACTGGGGATCTCTCAACCCAGGGATCAGTAAAGAGCATAATAGGGTTTTCTTCTGAAAGTCTAGGCTCTAGACGTGTCACTTCAATGTTAAAATCAGACCTCTTTGTATCTAACGGCATAATTACTTACGTGCAATAAGCCGGAGAAACAAGTACTTGCCGCCAAATTATTGAGGGTGGGGGGACCCCGTAGCCCCCCCCCCCCACTCCGCCGCGCCTGAAATAATGATGTTGGACTGAATACGTGGTTTAACATACACTAATGGGTGCGGCTATGTGATTACAAATAATAATGCTCGACTGAATATAAATATATGGCAGTGATAGTAACAGTCACTTCAATGTGTGTGTGAAATAGATTACAGATATATATGGTGATTAACGTGAATGCTCGTTCACCATACTGTTTAGACACGGCGTCTCCATCGTACGTAGATATAATGATGTTAAATATCTTAAGTGAAAGTGAAAGCAGACTATTCTCGCTACTGGTGGAGGCTCTTTGAAACATCACTAGTACGTATATTATTTTGTGACCTAAAGTTATAGACTGAAAGTAAGGGACATAGTCAGCAACCGCCAGGTGTATAGAAAGAAATGAGGCCATCCTTTATTGTGCCATTTAGCTATCAACACAGTGATCGTTCATGTGTATAGACTTGAATATCCTGTATGTATTAAATGGAGAAGAAATGGCAGGATATTGGATATTACCAGGATTTATTACTGGACAATAACCGGATAAACATTCATTTTAATAAAACACAATGGCTGAACAGACATATAAGGAAGTATGTAGTATTTGTTTAAACGACTTTCAGGAACCCAAAATTATTGAATGTCAACACTCTTTCTGTTACAACTGTCTAGATGATTACGTTCACAGAACGTCATCTAATGGTCAGTTTCTTTGTCCACTTTGCCGTCAGAATATTAAACTTCCTGAAGCTGGTGTGAAGCAAATGGCAAATAACTCAACTCTACAAATTCAACAATGTGACGTGTGTTCAAACAATCAAGCAACATGTCGATGTTGCGATTGTCAACAACATATATGTGATTCATGTAAATCAAAGCATGATAAGTTTGTTGGTTGTAAAGGTCACCTTGTTGTCAGCGTACATGAAATTTCAAAACAAGACTTACAGCAAAATAGCACTGAGAATCCAGACGCAGGTGTAAAGGAAGACATTTCAGAGCAATCGAGCAGGAAGTACATTCACCCTGAAGATAACTGCTCAAAACACTCCGAAAAGAAGATTGAAATCTACTGTAAAGATTGTTTGGTGGCGGTCTGCTTTAAATGCTTTGTCAACGAGCACAACGGACATACATATCTGGATCTACAAGAAGACGATGTGCGTGAACAAATCAGAGACGAACTAAAAACATTGAAAATAGAAATAGAAAAACATATCAACAAACTTCAAAATCATTCAACATCTTTACAAAGTAAATTATCTGACGTGGAAGTAGCAGCCAAATCGGCTTGTGAGAACGTTGATACGCATGTTAGAAACATTTGTGCTAAAGTTCACGAAATGGGAGAAAACGTAAAAGCAGAAATCCAGAAAACATACAGCGATGAAAATGAAAAATTCACAAAGCTGATGACAGACATAAGCAATCTAACTGAAGATTTGCTATCTGGTTTTAAATGTTCCACCAATATTCTAGAAGATACCTCAATTGTTCAAGTTTTGGAGAGATTGCCAAATGTGCGCCAGGAAGCGGACGAATGCCGTTCCAGAAATTTTAATATCCCTGATGTAATGTATCCATCGTTTTCAGAAATGGAGATAAATGAAAGAGTTCTACGAGAACAACTCGGTGAAGTAAATATACACCATGAAACAAGATTTATTAACACGTTTAATATAAATCAGTTAAAATCTGCTGAAAGAGTATTTAGTTCTGTTACAACATTTCACGGGTTACCGTGGTGTGTCTATGCATCTAAAATGTTGCCTGACGAATCAAGAAAACATGAAATGTTGGGAGTTTTTCTATGTTCAAATAAAACAGGTCCACGTTCAGATATTTTATCATGTCAAGTTGATATCTCCCTGGAACTGATCAACCAAACAGATGAAAACAGATCGATAAGAAGACACGGTATAAGTAGTTTAAAAGACTTTCAAGATAGTCAAGTGTTGGGATGTGGCAATTGTATTACCTGGGACATATTAACAAACGAAGACAGTGGGTTTATAGATTCTAACAACAACTTCAACATACAAGTTATATTGAAACTAATGAATGTTGAATTGGACTAAAGTCTTTGAAATATAAATAAATCTAGCAGATATATAATACTTATTTCTTTGTTGTTCAGATTGTGTTGATTTCCTTTTTAGGCCAGGAACTTGTCTCCAAGAGCTACTCAACTTCGTTGCCATTGGACAATTGTGCATTGAACGACGGACTTCGATTCTTGAAATGACACTATTAGAAGACGTCTGTGATTGGAGTAATAGTAGGTCTCATTACACCCCCCACTGTACGTTCAGGAACCATCCTATTGACTCCTTGTCGAAAAGTTTTCAGTTCAGAGCTGAACTAATGGCAAAGCAGCCATTGCATCGAGTACCCTGTCCAACTTATTAATTATTATTGAAGAAAAATCCTGATAGCTGAGGCTACTTCAACTGAGATGAAAACAGATGACACAATTCCCAACTGGGGTTCCGAGTTTTAGAAAATCACACAATTCTGATTTTTATTCTGCTACTTTTGTGTGTCTAGTTTTCAAACTCAAACTGCAGTTCCAGAAAATTCGCTCCATGTAGATTCATGTTTGGGCCAAAAATGATACCCCCCACCCAACCCCAGGAAAATCGGCCCCTTACGCCTATGGTTATCGTTTCTACCAATAACTGACAAGGACAGATCAGGACTGATAAGAGAGTTGTTTGGTCATTAGCGTTCAATGTTTTGCATCAAGTCACCGACAAGGAATGATATACATATGCAGTTGTCGGCCCTTGTCCGTGATAAGTAGGACCATTTAGTATCCTTGTCTGTCAGAAACTGGATAATTAGCAGGCATCGATATTTCCGCGCACATGCGCACGGCGTGCGCAGGCACAATCTTTTCAAAAAAATTTTTGCAGGCACATTTTTAAAAATGTAGCCACGCCGGGCGGCGCCTGCGCCCGGCAATATTTTTTGCCGCCCAGCACAAAGAAAAAATCGAAGAAAGCCGCCCAGTCGTATTTAGACCCCTTCGTCCTTCTCTGTACACAAACTCGGCGCTCGAAATTTACCACGGCAAAAACGGCAAAGCCATAATAAAAGCCAACGTACGTACGTAAACCATGTCACGGCACAATTTATTTTTGTGTGCCGTAGTAGACCCTATCATCTCAAATTAGTTTAAAGAAAGATGTATTGGTATTTTGTTTATTTAGACTTAGAAGATGTGTAGGCCTTGGTCTATTCATTTTACAATTAATCTACGGTCTTTATAATTGTTTATTTGCCGTAAATAGGTCACCCAGACCAAATTACGGCACTCCAATGTTAAAGGTTTGAATGTCGTAATTGTCCAACACGTGCCTGCAAATTTTCACGGCGTTTCTGCCTGACCTGATTCTCATTCCACCGTAATAATAATAATATTCGTGAGACACGTACAACAACTTTACAAACAAGTCAAATAATACAACGTGTTTTAATTATCAATATCTACCTGTTGTCATAGTTCGTTGTACTCAAATAAAAGTAATAAAGTAATAAAGTAATATTTGAAAAAAACCCCAACAAAACAACAAATACCGAAAGGTCCTCAACTTATCTATCCAGAGAAACAGAGTGGGGCGGGACAATTTAATGCTCGGTCGGGTGGTGTCAAAAAGTTTTTAGATCCCTGTATCATTGATGAAAATTAAGTGAATTTGTTAAAATTTGAATATATAAATGGAAATTTGATTTGCACTGAACCAAATACAAAAGGCAGCAGATGCTCTGAAAATACACAAAGAAGGGTTTAATTTTCATAAAAGACCACGCCCCCCTCCCAAAATTTTTTTGGGCTCGCTCAGCTCACCAAATCATGGCTACATCCCTGTGTTTCAGTATGACCCTGCAGGCACATTTTCAAGTGTGTGCGCAGGCACACTCAACTTTTATAGAGCCCTGATAATTAGTACCACCAATTGTAGATATACCGGACTTCTCTGTTGTGTTTCTTTCTTGATCGTAAATAGTTTGTTTCTACAATTTTATTAAAACTGCTGGGTTTCGATATTCCTCGTTCTCAATAAAGTATAGATAATGGCTGCTCGGAAAATCTGTTTTATAACGCCCTAATTCCTTTACGTCATTGGGGAGTTGGATGGCCCAATGGTTAGCACGTGTGAGCTGTATCATAAGGTCTGTTATTGAGTCAACTGTCGTTGCCTGTGCAACCTCGTGGGTTTTTCTCCGGGTCCTCCGGTTTCCTCCCACTGCTAAAGACCCCTACGCGCTAGCGAATTGTTGAAATAAAATTGAACCATGTGTTAGTCCCGAAATGACCTAGTTTGTGTCGAGTGGACGTTAAATCCCACTTCTCTATTTTTCTCTTTTCCGAAATATTCCGGATGAATATTGCCTGGTATCAGTACTTGGCACCAACACCGTGTCGAACGATTAGACGCTGTACTTGTCAGACGCCCTGTCTGAAAAATTCAGGGAAACTTTCTCGACCCTCCATTTTTGGAAGCTAGATTGTCTGCTTGCAATGCACCCACTACATTATAACAACAGACGTTTTTTTAAAAACTACCTAACCTACAACCCCAGCCCTCTAACGAGTAAATCGTACATGATTGAATTAAATAACATCGTTTTTTTTTATTATATAAAAACATAACTGTTGAAGATCATTGTAGTTGAAGAGTTGTGTCCCTTGAATATGATAAAACAGTTTATTGAGACTGATGAATGAAATGAAAGGGAGTTTAACGTCCTACTGTTCTGCTCCTAACTAGGCTAATGAAGACGGGCAAACGCCATACAGTGTGCTATGAGGGAAATTTTGCCCGGACAAGGATCTATTACGTGCATGCCAATGTGTACACGGGACCTCGGTTAGTTTGATAAGACAGGTGTGGTCGCCACCGCCTGGACGATCGAGTAATATAGATAAGCGAAAGTTATATTCATTTCCAGCGAAAGTGAAAGTGAAAGTAGACTATTCTCTGTACCAGTAGAGATCCTCGGTAACGTTCATAGTATTTATATTGAACATTTATACAATTTAGTGTAAAATATTATTCTGTGTCGGGATGATATAGACTGAAAGTAGAGGATATAAACACCATACAGCCAGCAGTGTGAGAACGAAATGAAGTCATGCTTTTTACAGCTATCAACAAGGTGATCATTTATGGGGATAGACTTGAATATCCTGTCTGTGTTAAATGTTTGTATGGTGTGGAAGGGGGTGGATCTTGTCATTAGTTGTAATGGACAATAACTTGATAAATATTCTGTCTTAGCTTATTTTAATAAAACATAATGGCTGAACAGACAGATCGTGAAGTATGCAGTATTTGTTTAAATGACTTTCATGAACCTAAAATTATCGACTGTCAACATTCTTTCTGCTACAACTGTCTAGAAGATTACGTTCACAGAACATCAACTAATGGCCAGTTTCTTTGTCCAGTTTGTCGGCAGAATATTATTGTTCCTTTAGGTGGTGTGAATGAATTTTCATCTAAGCAGCAAATGGAGAATGCCTCAACTCTACAGATTCAACAATGTGATGTGTGCTTAAATATTCAAGCAACATGTCGATGTCGCGACTGTCAACAACATTTATGTGAGTCATGTAAATCAACGCATGATAAGTTGGCTGTTTGTAAAGGACACGTCGTTGTCAAGATAGATGGAATTTCCGAACAAGGATTAAAGGAAATTACCACTGAGAAACCAGTTTCTGATTTGAAAGAAGATATATCTGAGAATTCAAGAGGCGCACCCGTACACCCCGCCGATTTCTGTCCAAATCACCCGAAAAAGAAAACAAAAACCTACTGTAAAGATTGTTTGGTGGCGGTCTGCTTTAAATGCTTTCTCAAGGACCACAACGGACATACCTATCTGGATCTACAAGAAGATGATGTGCGAGAACAAATCAGAGACGAACTAAAAACATTAAAAGTAGAAATAGAAGAACATATCAACAAACTTCAAAATCATTCTACATCTTTACAAAGTAAATTATCTGAAGTGGAAGAAGCAGCCAAATCGGCTTGTGAGAATGTTGATACGCATGTCAGAAACATTTGTGATAAAGTTCACGAAATGGGAGAAAACGTAAAAGAAGAAATCCAGAAAACCTACAGCGATGAAAATGAAAAATTCACAAAGCTGATGACAGACATTAAAACCCTGACTGAAGATTTGGAATCTGGTGTCAAACTTTCCACCAGTATTTTAGAAGATACCTCAATTGTTCAAGTTTTGGAGAGATTGCCAAACGTGCGCCAGGAAGCGGACCAATGTCGTTCCAGAAAGTTTAATATCCCGGATGTAATGTATCCATTGTTTACAGAAACGGAGATAAATGAGACAGTTCTACGAGAACAACTTGGTAAAGTAGATGTAGATACAAGTATACACCATGAAACAAGATTTATTAATACATTTAATATTAATCAGTTCAAATCTGGTAATGATTTATATAGTTCTGTTACAACATTTCATGGTTTACCGTGGTGTGTCTCTGCAGAGAAAATGTTGCCTTACGAATCAAGAAAACCTGAAATGTTGGGTGTTTATCTATGTTTAAATAAAACAGGTCAAATTTCAGATATTTTATCATGTCAAGTTGATTTCTCACTGGAACTGATCAACCATACAGATGAAAATAAATCGATGACAAGACACGGTAAACGTAGTTTAAAATACTTTCAAGATAGCCCAGGGCGGGGATGTAACAATCTTATTACCTGGGACATATTAACAAACCAAGGCAATGGTTTTCTAGATTCCGACAACAACTTCAACATACAAGTTATATTGAAACTAATGGATGTTAAAAAGAGACAAACGTTGTTGAAATATAAATAATTATAAATCTACTGTTTAAACATACATTATGCAAGAGCTAAATCTGTCTATTGCAGGTCTTTCTTTAGGCCTGAAATGTTTTCTAAATTATTAATTAGACATTAATTAACTTATCCAGGCCATAATCAATTCCAGATGGCATCGGATTTCTCCGATATTAAACAGATTAGAACAGTTCAGCGATATTTTGATTTAAGCTAAAAATGGAGGAGCAAGACGTAGCTTCAAACAACCAGTGGGGTGGTTGAAATAATTGCACACGTCATGTCAAACCTTCAAAGGCTCGCAATAGGGTCATTTGAATGAATTTTTCTATATATTCATTTTACATCATCTATTTTCGAACTATTATAGCACGAATGTCCAGTTCTTTATCTATATCTTACATAATGTATCTTTAATTAGCAGAAATATAATTTAATTAACAGAAATATAATTTAATTAGCAGAAATATAATTTAATTAACAGAAATATAATTTAATTAACAGAAATATAATTTAATTAGCAGAAATATAATTTAATTAACAGAAATATAATTTAATTAACAGAAATATAATACATGTATACATATGTGTCTGTGTTGTTAGGGTCAATATTAACTAGATTGCGTTGATTTCATTTTTTTAGACCAGGAACTTGACATGTTTTGGATATGAGTTATCCAGAAGTAATATATTCTAGATGATTATAGCCTATATTTGTTTATATAGAAAAACAAAAGTCAAGTAAAATCTAATGAATAAATCTAAAATAATTTGTTATAAAATACGATATTGTCAACCTTCCTGTTTGATTACTGTTTATCTATAGTGTGGCCAGATAAACTTTTATCATATTCAAATCATGGGTCCACTTGATTTAGTAATAGTTATAAAATGACCGTTTCAAATATTATAGATTATCTAAATAGCGCTTATCGTTTTAATTTATTATCTAATATAATACTATCTCAATTTCCAAAAGGAAAATGCCTATTGGTTTTCGGCTGTGTTGTATTTTTTTTAAAGCGGCGCATTTAAAATAATATTCATTATTTATGTGTGTTTCTGATATATTAGATATTTCTTACATATGTTTTCAGGGGCGGATCCAGGAATTTTTGCAGGAGGGGGTTTGCCAGGTTCCTAAGACAATGTATCTCCCCCCCCCCCCACGCATTGCCTCTATCGTCATTATGGCGTATATACACACACACATTGAGCTTTTTAAACCGGGAAATTGTTATTATGAATTAATACAATGACATTGTGATTCAATTTCATGGATGCAAAGCATCAATTGTGATATCACATAATGTCTATATCATTATCTCGCGCTTTGAGTGCCCATCCTGTCCCACATCTGACGATAAAGGATAAAGCACACGGTAGAGAAACTTCTCATAAAAAGATTTGATTTACAAAAAAAAAATATGTAGCTGAACAGGGGGGGGGGGGGGGGGTCGACCCCCAAACCCCCCGTCTGGATCCGCCCCTGATTTTGAAATTACAACAGATTAAGCTGCTTTCCTTTTCCTTGAAGATCTTGACATAGACGGCAAATAACCCCAGTTGTTATTGAATAATGATGAATTCTATTTAATCAACTAAACGTAGAAGCATGATAATAATATTATAAATACATAAATGTTTATTTATCCTTGTCGATTGTTATTCTTATATTTGCCTATGGAAGATGGATGGTGATAGGTGACAGGATGAATATAAGGTTGGGTCACGCGCCAGTGAAAATCAGAGACTCCGCACCGGGGCAACTGTGAACCGCGGTTTCTCAGTTAATGAGACTAACCAGAAGGTCCGGGCTCCACCAAGAAAGGTCCTGGTGATTGTCCAGGTTGATTTATTTGCACTCTCAGTGGTGCAGGAAGGAGAGTCTAGCCAGGAAGACCGTCTAGTTGCCTGGATGGTACGATAAACCGTGGTCCCGTGTATACGTTGGAATTCCATGAAGAGTAGGAGGAAATGTCCGCCCACATGTCCTTCATAGCACATTGCATGGAGTTGGTGTTGAAAAGGGGAGGAGGTGGGGGGGGGAGTAAACCTAATTTCATTTCCAGAGGATTGACTTATAAAATTATGCACGAGGACTTTCACCTATAGCATTCTGACCAAACGTTAGAGGTCAGTTTATCTCCACGTACTAAAACCGTACCATTATCACCATGTTTTTCTTTTGTCCCCCTCAGCCACACCCTTCCCGACTGTGGCAGTAAACAAATAATCTTTAATACACCCTACGATATAAAATAATCATTCCTAATGTATGTGAGAACTATTACATGCGGTGATTTGTAATAGACAAATTTATCTCGTAGTAATTACCGCGTAGATTTAATTTTAAAGGCGAAGTCCCAAACCAAATCGGCATAAGTCATACCCATTGCAATAAGTCATTCTAATTAAGACATGTTTTGCTGTAACTGAGACTCTTTACTACACGGAAAGTAGGATTTATTTTTAAAAAAACAACACCGGTATAAGGGGGGTAACTCCTATCTAGCTAATGGGATGCACACCACACAAGCCATTCGAATGACTTGATTTAATGTTCGTTCTTGAGACAAACCTTTTATGAAGTTGACCATGGTCATTTTCAGATGCACAAATTTGAAATTACCTACCCGACATACACCAATATTCCCCAGAAAATTTAAATTTTATGCCTCGTTTTTTTATTGTATCACAAAAAGCAATTGCATTTTTGCGCTTGCCTCAAAAATAAACTTTTAAGATGAAAAGACCAAAAGTGGTATTTTTTCTTCCCTAGTTGGCACTTCTGAGATTTCAGACTTCTCCAATAGTAAATTGCGAAATAAATACTTTTAAAAATATACATCTCCTCGATTATTATAAAATCTAGAGATAATAACACTAATATCCACATCTCCTGTTAAATTTCCACACGCAAATATAATCGATAGATAAAACTAATTTGAAGTGATATCTAGTTTATAATCTGGTGATTATTTAGAATGGCTATAAAGATAGTTGGAACTGGATATAAATAGTTATCATACTATTCGATTCTCCCAATAATTCGTCCTTGTCTATTGACCATTAATTCGTTCTTGTCTATTCAAGCAATAATTCGTCTTTGGATATTGACCAATAAAATGGCCGTATCAAATATTATAGATTATCTAAACAGCGCTTATTGTTTTAATCTACGTTTCGAAAACCCCTTAAAACCGTCCTTTTCCAGAGTGCCGTCAAGTGTTGATTTATATATTGAGTATTTTATATGTGCTACAATCGCTTGTCTCTGAGTGTAAAATGTATTATGTTTGTGTATTTTTCGATTTTACAAATTGTATTTGTAAAGCGCCACTGAGCAACACTTGTGTTGGATATTCGGCCCTATATAAATGATAAATTATTATATTATTATTATTAACTTGATGTCTACAATAAAACTGTTCCGTCCTTATTTATATGTTATTTCAATTTTAATAAATAAAATGTCAATTGGCTTTACTCTGTTTTTGTCTACATTTAAAATAATAACCTGCGTGTATTTTCGATATGTTTGATATTTGACACATATTCGTTGAAATTATAACAGATTAAGCTCGTTTCTTATTCCATGAAGATGTTGACATGTTAATATCGTCTTCTTGTTCTGAATTAGCGAACGAGAATCTCAAGTCATTCGAATTAGAAGATTTAGGAATTGTTTTATCATTTTCTAAGCCCAATTGATGATATTCAAAATGCTGTGTTTTTCCCAGTGTCTCTACAGAAATATATTCTGGTCATAATTAAAAGGCCTGGAACCCACTCTGCTCTTCAAAGCAAAAACAAATCATACAACGCGATATTATGTTGATATGACTAGTCTACTCTGATGGATATTGTACTGTAATACAGAGCTGAACCCCATTTCATTTCATATCTGTAATTCAGTTTCTATATAATGTGAGCCACAGTGACTCTGGTATATGGAATTATATTACACAGATTTTATGGACATTTCTGTCATAAGAATTCTTTGGACCATATCTACATTTTGATCGTTTAATCCTGGTTAATATGTAGTCAAACTATTTACCATCTAATTCAAGAATGAAAACCGTAAGATAATCTGGCTTGGATTCAGTCGGATTAACACTAGGTCCACTTTAAGTATGTTACTATATTTCCTTTTCATCATGTCTATGTACTGTTCCTTGCCAGACCAGCAGTCATGTACCGCCGACTGCAACCGGGATCACACCTGGGAACCCATGCAGTTCCACCAGAGCATATCCAAGGATAATATCAGCCAGTGAATACTTCAGTCCGCTTGTGGTTTCGTTTCGTTTTAAGTTCCCAAATAAACTTAAGCAAAATTCACTAGAAAAGACAAAGCAGATAAACTAATAATATCCATATTCTTTAAGTGGCATTTAGTAACTGGGTAGATACATAAACTACATGTATAAACATACGTATGGAAAACAGCTACTGATTTATTTCTCTGTCATATCTTGGTATGTAATAAGTGTCATATCTTGACTTCAAATAGATTCTAATACTCTTTATCGTATCTTCAGCAATGATAATTAATTCATAATTTGATCTACATTTTGACACTACCTTCGTGGCGAATATTTGATCTGCATTTTGAAAAGATCGCCTATGGCGCTGTCGTATTTGTGAAGTTGATGTTCACTCTTTGTGTCTACATTATGCATTCATAGACTTTGTAATTGTATGTAGGGATCCGCGGTGGCTCTGCGAGTAAGACGCTGGCTCGCTAGACTAAAGGTCTCCATCAGGCCCGGCGAAGGAGGGGGGCTTTAGCCCCCCCAAGCTCTCCCCCCCCAATATTTTGGCCGCAAACGCAAGTAACCATTCTATTAAAAACAAAAAGGTTTGAATTTAACATAGAAGTGAGTAGAAGTGAGACTTCTAAAACGTAGACTTTCAGAAGAAGAAAACCTTGTCATGCTCTATACCAGGGGCGGATCTAAGAATTTTGAAAAAGGGGGCGCCGCAAAATGAGGGCACTGACCGCGGAGACGGGGCACGCCGCTGAAAGGGGAATTTTTTTTTGTTTTTTTTTTGGGGGGGGGGGGGGAGGTCCCCCCAAGGAATTAATCCGTCATTTCCTTGCATCTGTAGCCATTCCAAGAGCTATTTGGCTGATATTTTCGTCAAAGTAAACGTTCGGAACTCGTTGAAAAAGAGCCTTAAAATCGACCCAAAAAGCCAGTTGAACATGCGACTCGAAAATTGTCAAGGCGAGCGAGGCATTATGATGGGAAAAAAGACGAATCTATTCCCTAGCCACTTCACTATTTAAGCCTTGTAACTTGTACTTTGTACTGTCCACACATAAAACAATGCTACATCAAGTTGCACCCATGCGTGTCGGTGATGGACATGAGTGTATACGCCGCCGATTTCACAAGATGTCTGTCTATAGTCACTCTATAGGATAAGGGCACCGTCAGCTAAACAACAAGAATTCGTTTGAAAGTGGAAGCATTAATTAGACCAGACTGGTGTGTTTGAATCGATGGTTAGAGTCATTTGGGATCCCTGCAACGGGTTGGGAACGGACATATTTGGGTCTGAGAAAAGGCACTTTCAGCAGTAAAAAAAGGGCCTCTGTATACTGTTCTCAGGGTTAAGAGACCCGCGGTTGCGAGGGTCGCGATTAGATAACTGAACGGTCGATCTTTATTTCAAGTCCATCTCATGTCTGTTGTATCTATGACATATTAGGTAATTAGAAAAACGACGGGATAGAGTTTTATTTATACTCTTTCCTTGTGCCCCTTACCCATCAAATAATTCACTGCTATTGTCAGTTGAAACAAGGGGTTGCCATGCAAGATATGTCCACATTTTGTAAGAAATGGACGGGGAACGATCAAGTAATATAGATATTCGGCACTCGGCAAACATCAGCAGATTTCGGTACCCTACATCGTAGAATCTGCCGAGGTTTGCCGAATGAGATAACCGGAAGTTTTATATTTTCAGAGAAAGTGAAAGTAAAAGTAGATTTTCTTAGTAATGGTGGATGTTGTTTTCATAACATCATAGTACTTATATTGGACAATTATTGTTGATATAGTAGTCGTGTAAAACATTATTATGTGTCGGGATGTAATGGACTGAAAGTAAAGGACATAGACAGCATACAGCCAACTGTGTGAAAAGAAGTCATTGCTTTAAAGTATTAGTATACAATTAAGCTATCAACAAAGTGGACGTTCACGTGTCTAGACTTGTATATCTTGTTTGTGCTACGTGTTTGTTTGAAGATGGCTGAAAATTGGATATTACCAGGATTTATTACTGTACAATAACTTGATAAACAATCATTTTAATAAAACACAATGGCTGAACAGACAGATCATGAAGTATGCAGTATTTGTTTAAATGACTTTCAGGAACCTAAAATTATTGACTGTCAACATTCTTTCTGTTACAACTGTCTAGAGGATTACGTTCACAAAATCTCAACTAATGGTCAGTTTCCTTGCCCACTGTGCCGTCAGAATATTATTGTTCCTTTAGGTGGTGTGAATCAATTTTCATCTAAGCAGCAAATGGAGAATGACTCAACTCTACAAATTCACCAATGTGATGTGTGTTTTAATATTCAAGCAACATGTCGATGTCGCGATTGTCAACAACATTTATGTGAATCGTGTAAATCAACACACGATAAGTTGGTTGGCTGTAAAGGACACATCGTTGTCAAGATAGATGGAATTTCAGAACAAGGATTAAAGGAAAGTACCTTTGAGCAACCAGCTTGTGATGTTAAAGAAGATATATCTGAGAATTCAAGAGGCGCACCCGTACACCCCGCCGATTTCTGTCCAAATCACCCGAAAAAGAAAACTAAAACCTACTGTAAAGATTGTTTGGTGGCGGTCTGCTTTAAATGCTTTCTCAAGGACCACAACGGACATACCTATCTGGATCTACAAGAAGATGATGTGCGAGAACAAATCAGAGACGAACTAAATAAACTGAAAGTAGAAATAGAAGAACATATCAACAAACTTCAAAATCATTCAACATCTTTACAAAGTAAATTATCTGAAGTGGAAGAAGCAGCCAAATCGGCTTGTGAGAACGTTGATACGCATGTCAGAAACATTTGTGATAAAGTTCACGAAATGGGAGAAAACGTAAAAGAAGAAATCCAGAAAACCTACAGCGATGAAAATGAAAAATTCACAAAGCTGATGACCGACATTAAAGGTCTAACTGAAGATTTGCAATCTGGTGTCAAACTTTCCACCAGTATTCTAGAAGATACCTCAATTGTTCAAGTTTTGGAGAGATTGCCAAACGTGCGCCAGGAAGCGGATGAATGTCGTTCCAGAAAGTTAAATATCCCTGATGTATTGTATCCATCTTTTAAAGAAGCGGAGATAAATGAGACAGTTCTACGAGAACAACTCGGTGAAGTACATGTAGATACATGTATACAACATGAAACAAGATTTATTACGACATTTAATATAAATCAGTTCAAATCTGCTGAAAGTGTATATAGTTCTGTTACAACGTTTCATGGTTTACCGTGGTGTGTCTTGGTACAGAAAATGCCGACTATCGATCCAGGCTTTTATCTATGTTTAAATAAAACAGGTCGATGTTCAGATATTCTATCATGTCAAGTTGATTTCTTCCTGGAACTGATCAACCATAGAGATGAAAATAAATCGGTGACAGAACACGGTACAAATAGTTTAAAAGACTTTCAAGATGACCTAGGGCGGGGATTTGAGAATTGTATTACCTGGGACATATTAACAAACCAAGGCAATGGTTTTCTAGATTCCGACAACAACTTCAACATACAAGTTATATTGAAACTAATGGATGTTAAAAAGAGACAAACGTTGTTGAAATATAAATAATTATAAATCTACTGTTTAAACATACATTATGCAAGAGCTAAATCTGTCTATTGCAGGTCTTTCTTTAGGCCTGAAATGTTTTCTAAATTATTAATTAGACATTAATTAACTTATCCAGGCCATAATCAATTCCAGATGGCATCGGATTTCTCCGATATTAAACAGATTAGAACAGTTCAGCGGTATTTTGATTTAAGCTAAAAATGGAGGAGCAAGACTTAGCTTCAAACAACCAGTGGGGTGGTTGAAATAATTGCACACGTCTGGTCAAACCTTCAAAGGCTCGCAATAGGGTCATTCGAATGAAATTTTCTATATATTCATTTTACATTATCTATTTTCGAACTATTATAGCAAGAATTGCCAGTTCTTTATCTAGATTTTACATAATGTATCTTTAATTAGCAGAAATATAATTTAATTAACAGAAATATAATTTAATTAACAGAAATATAATTTAATTAACAGAAATATAATACATGTATACATATGTGTCTGTGTTGTTAGGGTCAATATTAACTAGATTGCGTTGATTTCATTTTTTTAGACCAGGAACATGTCATGTTTTGGATATGAGTTATCCAGAAGTAATATAATTATAGATGAATATAGCCTATATTTGTTTATATAGAAAAACAAAAGTCAAGTAAAATCTAATGAATAAATCTAAAATAATTTGTTATAAAATACGATATTGTCAGCCTTCCTGTTTGATTACTGTTTATCTATAGTGTGGCCAGATAAACTTTTATCATATTCAAATCATGGGTCCACTTGATTTAGTAATAGTTATAAAATGACCGTTTCAAATATTATAGCTTATCTAAATAGCGCTTATCGTTTTAATTTATTATCTAATATAATACTATCTCAATTTCCAAAAGGAAAATGCCTATTGGTTTTCGGCTGTGTTGTATTTTTTTTAAAGCGGCGCATTTAAAATAATATTCATTATTTATGTGTGTTTCTGATATATTAGATATTTCTTACATATGTTTTCAGGGGCGGATCCAGGAATTTTTGCAGGAGGGGGTTTGCCAGGTTCCTAAGACAATGTATCTCCCCCCCCCCCCACGCATTGCCTCTATCGTCATTATGGCGTGTATACACACACACATTGAGCTTTTTAAACCGGGAAATTGTTATTATGAATTAATACAATGACATTGTGATTCAATTTCATGGATGCAAAGCATCAATTGTGATATCACATAATGTCTATTTCATTATCTCGCGCTTTGAGTGCCCATCCTGTCCCACATCTGACGATAAAGGATAAAGCACACGGTAGAGAAACTTCTCATAAAAAGATTTGATTTACCAAAAAAAAATATGTAGCTGAACAGGGGGGGGGGGGGGGGGGGGGGTCGACCCCCAAACCCCCCGTCTGGATCCGCCCCTGATTTTGAAATTACAACAGATTAAGCTGCTTTCCTTTTCCTTGAAGATCTTGACATAGACGGCAAATAACCCCAGTTGTTATTGAATAATGATGAATTCTATTTAATCAACTAAACGTAGAAGCATGATAATAATATTATAAATACATAAATGTTTATTTATCCTTGTCGATTGTTATTCTTATATTTGCCTATGGAAGATGGATGGTGATAGGTGACAGGATGAATATAAGGTTGGGTCACGCGCCAGTGAAAATCAGAGACTCCGCACCGGGGCAACTGTGAACCGCGGTTTCTCAGTTAATGAGACTAACCAGAAGGTCCGGGCTCCACCAAGAAAGGTCCTGGTGATTGTCCAGGTTGATTTATTTGCACTCTCAGTGGTGCAGGAAGGAGAGTCTAGCCAGGAAGACCGTCTAGTTGCCTGGATGGGACGATAAACCGTGGTCCCGTGTATACGTTGGAATTCCATGAAGAGTAGGAGGAAATGTCCGCCCACATGTCCTTCATAGCACATTGCATGGAGTATACACGTCTTCATTATCTGGGTTGGTGTTGAAAAGGGGAGGAGGTGGGGGGGGGGGGGGAGTAAACCTAATTTCATTTCCAGAGGATTGACTTATAAAATTATGCACGAGGACTTTCACCTATAGCATTCTGACCAAACGTTAGAGGTCAGTTTATCTCCACGTACTAAAACCGTACCATTATCACCATGTTTTTCTTTAGTCCCCCTCAGCCACACCCTTCCCCACTGTGGCAGTAAACAAATAATCTTTAATACACCCTACAATATAAAATAATCATTCCTAATGTATGTGAGAACTATTACATGCGGTGATTTGTAACAGACAAATTTATCTCGTAGTAATTACCGCGTAGATTTAATTTTAAAGGCGAAGTCCCAAACCAAATCGGCATAAGTCATACCCATTGCAATAAGTCATTCTAATTAAGACATGTTTTGCTGTAACTGAGACTCTTTACTACACGGAAAGTAGGATTTATTTAAAAAAAACAACAACACCGGTATAAGGGGGGTAACTCCTATCTAGCTAATGGGATGCACACCACACAAGCCATTCGAATGACTTGATTTAATGTTCGTTCTTGAGACAAACCTTTTCTGAAGTTGACCATGGTCATTTTCAGATGCACAAATTTGAAATTACCTACCCGACATACACCAATATTCCCCAGAAAATTTAAATTTTATGCCTCGTTTTTTTATTGTATCACAAAAAGCAATTGCATTTCTGCGCTTGCCTCAAAAATAAACTTTTAAGATGAAAAGACCAAAAGTGGTATTTTTTCTTCCCTAGTTGGCACTTCTGAGATTTCAGACTTCTCCAATAGTAAATTGCGAAATAAATACTTTTAAAAATATACATCTCCTCGATTATTATAAAATCTAGAGATAATAACACTAATATCCACATCTCCTGTTAAATTTCCACACGCAAATATAATCGATAGATAAAACTAATTTGAAGTGATATCTAGTTTATAATCTGGTGATTATTTAGAATGGCTATAAAGATAGTTGGAACTGGATATAAATAGTTATCATACTATTCGATTCTCCCAATAATTCGTCCTTGTCTATTGACCATTAATTCGTTCTTGTCTATTCAAGCAATAATTCGTCTTTGGATATTGACCAATAAAATGGCCGTATCAAATATTATAGATTATCTAAACAGCGCTTATTGTTTTAATCTACGTTTCGAAAACCCCTTAAAACCGTCCTTTTCCAGAGTGCCTTCAAGTGTTGATTTATATATTGAGTGTTTTATATGTGCTACAATCGCTTGTCTCTGAGTGTAAAATGTATTATGTTTGTGTATTTTTCGATTTTACAAATTGTATTTGTAAAGCGCCACTGAGCAACACTTGCGTTGGATATTCGGCCCTATATAAATGATAAATTATTATATTATTATTATTAACCTGATGTCTACAATAAAACTGTTCCGTCCTTATTTATATGTTATCTCAATTTTAATAAATAAAATGTCAATTGGCTTTACTCTGTTTTGTCTACATTTAAAATAATAACCTGCGTGTATTTTCGATATGTTTGATATTTGACACATATTCGTTGAAATTATAACAGATTAAGCTCGTTTCTTATTCCATGAAGATGTTGACATGTTAATATCGTCTTCTTGTTCAGAATTAGCGAACGAGAATCTCAAGTCATTCGAAGTAGAAGATTTAGGAATTGTTTTATCATTTTCTAAGCCCAATTGATGATATTCAAAATGCTGTGTTTTTCCCAGTGTCTCTACAGAAATAATATTCTGGTCATAATTAAAAGGCCTGGAACCCACTCTGCTCTTCAAAGCAAAAACAAATCATACAACGCGATATTATGTTGATATGACTAGTCTACTCTGATAGATATTGTACTGTAATACAGAGCTGAACCCCCATTTCATTTCATATCTGTAATTCAGTTTCTATATAATGTGAGCCACAGTGACTCTGGTATATGGAATTATATTACACAGATTTTATGGACATTTCTGTCATAAGCATTCTTTGGACCATATCTACATTTTGATCGTTTAATCCTGGTTAATATGTAGTCAAACTATTTACCATCTAATTCAAGAATGAAAACCGTAAGATAATCTGACTTGAATTCAGTCGGATTAACACTAGGTCCACTTTAAGTATGTTACTATATTTCCTTTTCATCATGTCTATGTACTGTTCCTTGCCAGACCAGCAGTCATGTACCGCCGACTGCAACCGGGATCACACCTGGGAAACCGTGCAGTTCCACCAGAGCATATCCAAGGATAATATCAGCCAGTGAATACTTCGGTCCGCTTGTGGTTTCGTTTCGTTTTAAGTTCCCAAATAAACTTAAGCAAAATTCACTAGAGCCGATCAACTAATAATATCCATATTCTTTAAGTGTCATTTAGTAACTGGGTAGATACATAAACTACATGTATAAACATACGTATGGAAAACAGCTACTGATTTATTTCTCTGTCATATCTTGGTATGTAATAAGTGTCATATCTTGACTTCAAATAGATTCTAATACTTTTTATCATATCTTCAGCAATGATAATTAATTCATAATTTGATCTACATTTTGACACTACCTTCGTGGCGAATATTTGATCTGCATTTTGAAAAGATCGCCTATGGCGCTGTAATATTTGGTAAGTTGATGTTCACTCTTTGTGTCTACATTATGCATTCATAGACTTTGTAATTGTGTGTAGGGATCCGCGGTGGCTCTGCGAGTAAGACGCTGGCTCGCTAGACTAAAGGTCTCCATCAGGCCCGGCTAAGGAGGGGGGCTTTAGCCCCCCCAAGCTCCCCCCCCCCCATATTTTGGCCGCAAACGCAAGTAACTATTCTATTAAAAACAAAAAGGTTTGAATTTAACATAGAAGTGAGTAGAAGTGAGACTTCTAGAATTTCAGAAGAAGAAAAACTTGTCATGCTCTATACCAGGGGCGGATCTAAGAATTTTGAAAAAGGGGGCGCCGCAAAATGAGGGCACTGACCGCGGAGACGGGGCACGCCGCTGAAAGGGGAATTTTTTTTTTTGGGGGGGGGGGGGGGGAGGTCCCCCCAAGGAAATAATCCGTCATTTCCTTGCATCTGTAGCCATTCCAAGAGCTATTTGGCTGATATTTTCGTCAAAGTAAACGTTCGGAACTCGTTGAAAAAGAGCCTTAAAATCGACCCAAAAAGCCAGTTGAACATGCGACTCGAAAATTGTCAAGGCGAGCGAGGCATTATGATGGGAAAAAAAGACGAATCTATTCCCTAGCCACTTCACTATTTAAGCCTTGTAACTTGTACTTTGTACTGTCCACACATGAAACAATGCTATATCAAGTTGCACTCATGCGCGTCGGTGATGGACATGAGTGTATTCGCCGCCGATTTCACAAGTTGTCTGTCTATAGTCACTCTATAGGATAAGGGCACCGTCAGCTAAACAACAAGAATTCGTTTGAAAGTGGAAGCATTAATTAGACCAGACTGGTGTGTTTGAATCGATGGTTAGAGTCATTTGGGATCCCTGCAACGGGTTGGGAACGGACATATTTGGGTCTGAGAAAAGGCACTTTGTTTGAAGAGGAACTGAATATTGGATATTACCAGGATTTATTACTGTACAACAACTTGATAAACATTCATTTTAATAAAACACAATGGCTGAACAGACAGATCATGAAGTATGCAGTATTTGTTTAAATGACTTTCAGGAACCTAAAATTATTGACTGTCAACATTCTTTCTGTTACAACTGTCTAGAGGATTACGTTCACAAAACCTCAGCTAATGGTCAGTTTCCTTGCCCACTGTGCCGTCAGAATATTATTGTTCCTTTAGGTGGTATGAATGAATTTTCATCTAAGCAGCAAATGGAGAATGCCTCAACTCTACACATTCAACAATGTGACGTGTGTTTAAATATTCAAGCCACATGTCGATGTCGCGATTGTCAACAACATTTATGTGAATCGTGTAAATCAACACATGATAAGTTTGATGGTTGTAAAGGACACATCGTTGTCAAGATAGATGGAATTTCCGAACAAGGATTAAAGGAAATTACCTTTGAGAAACCAGTTTCTGATGTGAAAGAAGATATACCTGAGAATTCAAGAGGCACGCCCGTACACCCTGTAGATTTCTGTCCAAAGCATCCGAGAAAGAAAACAAAAACCTATTGTAAAGATTGTTTGGTGGCGATCTGCCTTCAATGCTTTCTCAAAGATCACAACGGACACACGTTTCTGGATCTACAAGAGGACGATGTGCGCGAACAAATCAGAGACGAACTAAAAACATTAACAGTAGAAATAGAAGAACATATCAACAAACTTCAAAATCATTTAACATCTTTACAAAGTAAATCATCTGAAGTGGAAAAAACGGCCAAAACAGCCCGTAGGAATGTTGATACGCATGTCAGAAAAATTTGTGCTAAAATTCACGAAATTGGAGAAAACATAAAAGACGAAATCCAAAAAACCTGCAACGATGAAAATGAAAAATTCACAAAGCTGATGACAGACATTAAAGGTTTAACTGAAGATTTGCAATCTGGTGTCAAACTTTCCACCAGTATTCTAGAAGATACCTCAATTGTTCAAGTTTTGGAGAGATTGCCAAATGTGCGCCAGGAAGCAGACGAATGCCGTTCCAGAAAGTTTAATATCCCAGATGTCATGTATCCATCATTTAAAGGAGGGGACATGAATGAGCCAGTTCTACGAGAACAACTCGGTGAAGTAGATATACACCATGAAACAAGATTTATTACAACATTTAATATAAATCAGTTAGAACCTGGTAATGATTTATATAGTTCTGTTACAACATTTCACGGTTTACCGTGGTTTGTCTCTGCAGAGAAAATGTTGCCTGGCAAATCAATAAAACACGAAATGTTGAGTCTTTTTCTATGTTTGAACGAAACAGTTCGACGTTCCGATATTTTATCGTGTAAAGTTGATTTCTCCCTGGAACTGATCAACCATAAAGATGAAAATAAATCGGAGACAAGGCAGCTTACATGTAGTTTAAAAATGTTTTAGGATAACGAAGGGTGGGGCTTGCCCAATTTTATTACGTGGGACATATTAACAAACCAAGACAATGGTTTTCTAGATTCCAACAACAACTTCAACATAGAAGTTATATTGAAACTAATGGATATTAAAAGAGTAAAACCCCGTCGTAGAAATAAACACTATCGTTATCGCTATCATCACTACAACTGATCTATATTTATTCAGTTATCGCTACAACTAATCTTTAGTAATTTAACTTATCTATATTTAGTAACGCAGCACTACGCCTGTCCTATATTTAGTATCTTATCACTATAACTGATTTATAGTTAGTAATTCATCATTGTAGCTGGTCTATATTAAGTGAGTCATCACTATATCTGATCTATATCAAGTAATTCATCACTATAGCTGATCTATATATGGAAATTCATCACTATAGCTGATCTATATTAAGTAATTCATCACTATAGCTGATCTATATTTATAAAGTGTTTACTGTGTTTTAGATACATTGTAGCTGGTCTATATTAAGTGAGACATCACTATAGCTGATCTATATCAAGTAATTCATCACTATAGCTGATCTATATATGGCAATTCATCACTATAGCTGATCTGTATTAAGTAATTCATCACTATAGCTGATATATATTTATAAAGTGTTTACTGTGTTTTAGATACAAATGAAATGAAATTTAATGGGCTTTAGGTTTGGATACGAGTTTCTCAAAGTAGTATGTAGATGAATACAGCCCGTATTTTGTATGTAAAAATAAACTAACCCAAATTATTTGTTATACCAGTCTCCATGATTGGTTGCTGTTTATTTAGTGGGTGCGATAAAACTTTCAAGATTTTTACACGTAGATTTAACTTGCCCGGTGTAATACCCTCGAAAAATGTGTCTACCTGTTTGGATCTTTAATGGACCAATACAAATAAATACAGCTGGAATTTAGCGAATATTTGTCAACTTGGCAATATTTGTCATAAATATTTACATTAAATGTCTTTCAGGCCCTGACACGGTTTCACCCAAGAACCCTTAACTGCAGCCCATGATACTGCCTTACTGACCCCCCCCCCCCCCCGATTGACTATACTGTACACATTGTTCAAGCTAACAAACTGTCTCCCTCAGCTGGTCAGTGAAAAGTGTCATCTTATGGATGCACACCCTGCCCGATTTCTTGATAGTTGTCATAACTCGATCTTGAGGAAAACAAAATGACAAAGTCATTATCAATTACATAGGATGGTATGGGAGAGTGGGGATCTCCAAAGAGGTCACAGGTTGGGGTTATCAAGTGTGCATAACCCCAGAGTCACTACCTGTCTTTCCCCCTCCTTATCTACAGTGGCATTGTCTCTTTTCTGAAATACCAACTTTGGCACCAGTTGTCACCTAGATATAAGTTTTATTCATAATATTCAACGAAAAGGACCGATAAGAGTGTTTATTGGTCAATAGCGCCCAAAGTATTACATTACATTTGTATCCTAAAATTATCATTTGTATGCTAAAATTATCATTTGTATGCTAAAATTACCATTTGTATCCTAAAATTACCATTTGTATCCTAAAATTACCATTTGTATGCTAAAATTACCATTTATATGCTAAAATTACCATTTTTATGCTAAAATTACCATTTGTATCCTAAAATTACCATTTGTATCCTAAAATTACCATTTTTATGCTAAAATTACCATTTTTATGCTAAAATTACCATTTGTATCCTAAAATAACCATTTGTTTGTTAAAATTATCATTTGTATGCTAAAATTATCATTTGTATCCTAAAATTACCATTTGTATGCTAAAATTATCATTTGTATGCTAAAATTACCCTCATTTGTATCCTAAAATTATCATTTGTATCTTAAAATTGACATGTGTATCGTAAAATTAATATCTGTTTTACAAATCACACCTTTGTTAACAACAGAGATCTGATTTGTAAATCAAATATTGTTATATCAGATTTGAAAATTGCATTTCTTATGAGTGCTCACACAATCAATTGTTATCTTCTTTCATTATAAATATGTATTCCAGAATTGTGACAGTCGCTCGATGACCGTAACAGTCAAAGGTGATAGTATTGAAATCATTTGCCTTCGATAAAAAAAAATAATTAAAAGTAGTCTATTCTTAGTAATTATGCTACATAAAGAGCTGTATGGTTTTAATACAGATCATGAATGTAACTTATAAATAGAACTGATATCTCACATTTAAGTAAAAGATGTGTTATATATTGACTGGAAAGTTTAAATAAGGGTAAATAAATGTAAATCTACATTGTTTTTCGTCAAAATATGAACCCCATTGCAATTAAAATTATGGGAGCAGTTTTACCCAGACAGAGGCCCCAGGACCTATTCTTATTTCAAATTCCAACTATTAAGTATTCTTTTACATGAACGCCAACGTGTTCACTGGACCTGTGTGTTTTGCCCTATCCGAACGACTAGACATTGTACTTGTTAGACCCTCTGCAAGTTTCTCGATCAACCCCGGGATCGAACCCCGACCCCACTGGTTATTGGGCCATATTCGGAAGCTAGTTTGTCTGTTTGCACTAATACAACGGAATTTTGTTAGCTACCTAAGCTACAGCGAACTCCACACCAACTAACCCCTCTGAAAGTGCACCGTGTTTTGTCTGGAGAGTGAGAGAGAGAGAGAGAGGGGAAATGAGGTTTAACGTCCACTCAACACAAACTAGGTCATTTCGGGAATAACATATGGTTTAATTTTATTTCAATAATTCGCTTGTGTGTAGGTGTCTTTAGCAGTGGGAGGAAACCGGAGGACCCGGAGAAAACCCACGAGGTTGGACAGGCGACCCTATTCCTTGTCACATACAACCGGGTATTCGAAACCACGCCAGTTGACTCAATGACAGGCTTTATGATACAGCGCACGCGTGCTAACCATTCGGCCATCCAACCCCCCTTTCTGGAGAGTAATTGTACCACGCTTAAATTAAATCAAGACCGTTCAGGGAGGATCTAGTCGGGGTGCACATAGGTTGGCCGACTCAATGATGTACGGGTCACAGATCGCAATGTACAATGACGGTCAGATCTAAATATTAAGGCCGACTGCAGATTTCGTCAAGGTCTCGAGATGTAAACAACGAGGATTGGGGCGTAGGGTAAGGAGTAGGTGTACATCTCATGACCTTGAGATCTGCAGGTGGCTTTAATTAGACCCAACCGTACAATGAAAGCTCATAGTTTTCGTTCGACATTTTCCGCTAGAAGCCCCCCCCCCCCGGCGATATCCATGTCCTTTCAATATTTCGAGACCTGATATAACAGGTTTTTAAGATGAACAAGTTGCAAGTTTCATTGTGCAGATCCACCCATAACATCCAAGATACCATACTTTATTATATACAATAATAATAATCGTTTTCTACAGTGCTGATCATTCAGTCAGTCTGAATGGTACAGGGCAGTACAAATACAGGGCCGGTGGAATCAACTCTTAATTGGGGGCTGGGGGGGGGGGGGGGATCTGCCATTCTAGGACTTTAGGCGCTTTCTGGCGAATGAAATTACTCAGCCATGAAGTGAAATTTTATTTCTTTTCTAAATCCCTTACTATGCAAGTAGTTGGGATGTTGGATTCAGGTAAGTCATCTAAGGTAGGCTATATTGGACCACATTGAAGTATCTGTATTCACGGGCTAGTCTAGCAGGAAAACACAGATAAATTTTCAAACATTCACCGAGCTCGTACGCCTTTGAATCACGGGACCATTTTATGTATAGATTTAACTGATATTTCTATATGTATCTTGATAAAAGGACAGCGGTGAAACGTGAAACACCATTCATAAAAGGCTTTAGATTACAAAAATTTAAAAATCACGTCATGCTCCATATGTATAGAGAATTTATTTATCGTTGATGTTATATATACGTGGGGGGTTGGATGCCGAATCAACTGGCGGAGTTTCGATTCCCCGGTTGTACGTGACGAGGAGTAGGGTCGCCTGTCCAACCTCGTGGGTTTTCTCCGGGTCCTCCGGTTTCCTCCCATTGCTAAAGACCGCTACGCGCAAGCGAATTATTGAAATAAAATTGAACCATGTGTTAGCCCCGAAATGACCTAGTTTGTGTCAAGTGGACGTTAAACCCCATTTTTCTCTCTCTATATATATATATGTTACAGTCAATTTGTGTAATCAGTCATTTCATGTAATGACTAAACGAATCAGTCATTACGTGAAATGCCTGTGAGCATCAGGCAATACGTGCAATGACTAAAAATTCCAGTCAATACACGAAATGACTAAAAATCATGGTCGGGGATTACGCGAAATGACTGTTAAACCTATAAAAATACACTGTAAACCATTTTTTGACGTCAAATCAAACGTTAAATCATAAATTGCAGAAAAATATGCATATAGTTGTCAAATCTCATTTTATTTCAAAAATTCTGACTGGTTCATTTCTAAAGTCACATGTTTTTGCATAACATACTGCTATGACAGCGGTTGAAGCATTTTGATTTTGATATTGTTTTTGAAACATTTGCATCTATTCGTCCCTTGAAACCTGCATCATAGATGACCAGTGTAAGTTTCTATTCTAGAGAGTTGGGCGTTGGGGGAGCTATTCCAATTTCTATAGGATGAAATTCTATAGTATTCTACTTAATTTTGGGGGGTCTTTAGGAAATAATGACCAGAAATATTCTGTAGTGCAAATCTCATAATTTTTCCTACAGATTTAAGCTATAGTGTTTTCTGTAGTAAATTCTATAGTTGTCTGTTTGTCTTTAATCAAGTTTTGTGAACAGACTGAACAGTGTCCTAATGTCTCAGTTTCTTGTTAATACTAACTTCTATGAAGTTGTTATACATGTACATTGAATTTGAATCATTAAAATTCAGCCATGAACAAACAGTCTTCTCTTGGATTAACTTAAATCAATCCGTTAGCTAACTGATAAGGAAATTTAACGGATCGTTAACAAACGACACGTTAGCAAGATAAGGATGGATAGAGAACAAGCCAAAAACAAACGCGATTTTTTGTACAATCGGGGGCAATAATCCAGAAAGTTATGGCCTGAAAAGTGCAAATATCGAAAGGGGCCGAGATCTTTGGGATATAAAGATATGTTTTAAGTTTCATCAAAATTGGATAAAAATTGTGACCTCTAGAGGCTCCACAACCCTCGTATTACACACTTCTACACAATTTGCGTACAAAGAGCGGACATTTTGTCGGGCAGTTTCATTTCATTTTTCCCGAAATTCGAATTTAGCCTTCTTTATTGTTGGATGGTGATGTATTTAAATGGTTTTTAAAATCGGAAAAAATTGTGACCTCTAGAGAATCCGCAAGCTAAAAATGCGATTTTTTTCGAATAATCAGGGGCCATAATACAGAAAGTGAAGTTCGGTATCCGCGATTTTTAAAAAGAATCAAGATCTTAGTGTGTAATGGTGATATATTCACACGTCTTTTTTAAATCGGATAAAAATTGTGACCTCTACAGGGGCCGCAAGCTAAAAACGTGATTTTTGGTTCAATCAAGGGCCATAATTCAGGAAGTTACGATCCGATATGCGCGAATATCAAAAGTAACCAATATCTTTGGGTTATAAACATGTATTACATGTTTCATCGTGGGTTTTCTTCAGGTCCCCCGGTTTCCTCCCACTGCTAAAGACCCCTACGCGCAAGCGAATTATTAATATAAAATTGAACCATATGTTAGTCCCGAAATGACCTAGTTTGTGTCGAGTGAACGTTAAACCCCATTCTCTCTCTCTCTCTCTCTCTCTCTCTCTCTCTCTCTCTCTCTCTCTCCCGGCAGTTTTGGCCCGATTTTCACAAAATTCTGACCTCTAGAGGAACCACAAGCTAAAAACGAGGGGCGGCCATTTTGTCTGGCAGTTTTGGTCCAATTTTCATGAAATTCAAACTCAGGCAAAATTACAGTGTAACGGTGATATATCCAAACGTTTTTTTTAATCGGATAATAATTGTGACCTCTATAACCTTTAAAATGAACAGATGTGTCCATCAGACAATGACAACATTGTCCTTTTATGTGTTAGGCCTACACATATTGCCTGATTTGCAAAATCTGCAATCAGGCATTAAGTGTAAAAAGAAGGTAGGAATTTTAGTCATTTCGTGTAATGTCTGGATTTTTCAGTCATTACACGTATTGCCTGGTGCTCACAGGCTCTTCGCGAAATGACTGATTTGTTTAGTCATTACGTGAAATTACCGATTACACAGGTTGACTGTAACATATTCATCGTCTCCTTTGTGGGGGGACACCGTAGCCCCCCCCCCCCACACACACACCCCACTCCGCCGCGCCTGAAATAATGATGTTGGACTGAATACGTGGTTTAACATACACTAATGTGTACGGCTATGTGATTACAAATAATAATGCAAGACTGAATATATATATATGGCAGTGATAGTAACAGTCACTTCAATGTGCGTGTGAAATAGGTTTATTTGATATCGCCGAACAAGAGAGATTACAGATACATGGTGATTAACGTGAATGCTCGTTCACCATACTGTTTAACATAAAAGACACGTCGTCTCCATCGTACGTAGATATAATGATGTTAAATATCTTAAGTGAAAGTGAAAACAGATTATTCTCGCTGCTGGTGGAGGCTCTTTGAAACGTCAATAGTACGTATATTGAACATTTATACAAATTAGTGTCAAATATTATTTTGTGACCTGATGTTATAGACTGAAAGAAAAGGACATAGACAGCATACCGCCAGGTGTATGGAAAGAAATGAGGCCATGCTTTATTGTGCAATTTAGCTATCAACACAGTGATAGCTAAATGGAGAAGAAAGGGCAGGATATTGGATATTACCAGGATTTATTATTGGACAATAACCGGATGAACATTCATTTTAATAAAACACAATGGCTGACCAGACAGATAAGGAAGTATGCAGTATTTGTTTAAACGACTTTCAGGAACCCAAAATTATTGAATGTCAACACTCTTTCTGTTACAACTGTCTAGAAGATTACGTTCACAGAACGTCATCTAATGGTCAGTTTCTTTGTCCACTTTGCCGTCAGAATATTAAACTTCCTGCAGGTGGTGTGAAGCAAATGGCAAATAACTCAACTCTACAAATTCAACAATGTGACGTGTGTTCAAACAATCAAGCAACATGTCGATGTTGCGATTGTCAACAACATATATGTGATTCATGTAAATCAAAGCATGATAAGTTTGTTGGTTGTAAAGGTCACCTTGTTGTCAGCGTAAATGCAATTTCAAAACAAGACTTACAGCAAAATAGCACTGAGAATCCAGACGCAGGTGTAAAGGAAGACATTTCAGAGCAATCGAGCAGGAAGTACATTCACCCTGAAGATAACTGCTCAAAACACTCCGAAAAGAAGATTGAAATCTACTGTAAAGATTGTTTGGTGGCGGTCTGCTTTAAATGCTTTGTCAACGAGCACAACGGACATACATATCTGGATCTACAAGAAGACGATGTGCGTGAACAAATCAGAGACGAACTAAAAACATTGAAAATAGAAATAGAAAAACATATCAACAAACTTCAAAATCATTCAACATCTTTACAAAGTAAATTATCTGACGTGGAAGTAGCAGCCAAATCGGCTTGTGAGAACGTTGATACGCATGTTAGAAACATGTGTGCTAAAGTTCACGAAATGGGAGAAAACGTAAAAGCAGAAATCCAGAAAACATACAGCGATGAAAATGAAAAATTCACAAAGCTGATGACAGACATAAGCAATCTAACTGAAGATTTGCTATCTGGTTTTAAATGTTCCACCAATATTCTAGAAGATACCTCAATTGTTCAAGTTTTGGAGAGATTGCCAAATGTGCGCCAGGAAGCGGACGAATGCCGTTCCAGAAATTTTAATATCCCTGATGTAATGTATCCATCGTTTACAGAAATGGAGATAAATGAAAGAGTCCTACGAGAACAACTCGGTGAAGTAGATATACACCATGAAACAAGATTTATTAACACGTTTAATATAAATCAGTTAAAATCTGCTGAAAGAGTATATAGTTCTGTTACAACATTTCACGGGTTACCGTGGTGTGTCTATGCATCTAAAATGTTGCCTGACGAATCAAGAAAACATGAAATGTTGGGTGTTTTTCTATGTTCAAATAAAACAGGTCCACGTTCAGATATTTTATCATGTCAAGTTGATATCTCCCTGGAACTGATCAACCAAACAGATGAAAACAGATCGATAAGAAGACACGGTACAAGTAGTTTAAAAGACTTTCAAGATAGTCAAGGGTTGGGATGTGGCAATTGTATTACCTGGGACATATTAACAAACGAAGACAGTGGGTTTATAGATTCTAACAACAACTTATTTCTTTGTTGTTCAGATTGTGTTGATTTCCTTTTTAGGCCAGGAACTTGTATTCAAGAGCTACTCAACTTCGTTGCCATTGGACAATTGTGCATTGAACGACGGACTTCGATTCTTGAAATGACACTATTAGAAGACGTCTGTGATGACATCATACCCTGTTCCAGGTCTATAGTACGGTGGTATTTGTTCTTAAATATTTGGATTAATAACTCGATTCATCGGAGTGGTTTATCTGGTTATCATTTTTAAAATAGAAATTGGTGACAACAAATCAATGATTGGAGTAATAGTAGGTCTCATTACACCCCCCACTGTACGTTCAGGAACCATCCTATTGACTCCTTGTCGAAAAGTTTTCAGTTCAGAGCTGAACTAATGGCAAAGCAGCCATTGCATCGAGTACCCTGTCCAACTTATTAATTATTATTGAAGAAAAATCCTGATAGCTGAGGCTACTTCAACTGAGATGAAAACAGATGACACAATTCCCAACTGGGGTTCCGAGTTTTAGAAAATCACACAATTCTGATTTTGATTCTGCTACTTTTGTGTGTCTAGTTTTCAAACTCAAACTGCAGTTCCAGAAAATTCGCTCCATGTAGATTCATGTTTGGGCCAAAAATGATACCCCCCACCCAACCCCAGGAAAATCGGCCCCTTACGCCTATGGTTATCGTTTCTACCAATAACTGACAAGGACAGATCAGGACTGATAAGAGAGTTGTTTGGTCATTAGCGTTCAATGTTTTGCATCAAGTCACCGACAAGGAATGATATACATATGCAGTTGTCGGCCCTTGTCCGTGATAAGTAGGACCAATTAGTATCCTTGTCTGTCAGAAACTGGATAATTAGCAGGCATCGATATTTCCGCGCACATGTAGCCAGGCCGGGCGGCGCCTGCGCCCGGCAATATTTTTTGCCGCCCAGCACAAAGAAAAAATCGAAGAAAGCCGCCCAGTCGTATTTAAACCCCTTCGTCCTTCTCTGTACACAAACTCGGCGCTCGAAATTTACCACGGCAAAAACGGCAAAGCCATGATAAAAGCCAACGTACGTACGTAAACCATGTCACGGCACAATTTATTATTGTGTGCCGTAGTAGACCCTATCATCCCAAATTAGTTTAAAGAAAGATGTATTGGTATTTTGTTTATTTAGACTTAGAAGATGTGTAGGCCTTGGTCTATTCATTTTACAATTAATCTACGGTCTTTATAATTGTTTATTTGCCGTAAATAGGTCACCCAGACCAATTTACGGCACTCCAATGTTAAAGGTTTGAATGTCGTAATTGTCCAACACGTGCCTGCAAATTTTGACGGCGTTTCTGCCTGACCTGATTCTCATTCCACCGTAATAATAATAATATTCGTGAGACACGTACAACAACTTTACAAACAAGTCAAATAATACAACGTGTTTTAATTATCAATATCTACCTGTTGTCATAGTTCGTTGTACTCAAATAAAAGTAATAAAGTAATATTTGAAAAAAAAACCAACAAAACAACATATACCGAAAGGTCCTCAACTTATCTATCCAGAGAAACAGAGTGGGGCGGGACAATTTAATGCTCGGTCGGGTGGTGTCAAAAAGTTTTTAGATCCCTGTATCATTGATGAAAATTAAGTGAATTTGTTAAAATTTGAATATATAAATGGAAATTTGATTTGCACTGAACCAAATACAAAAGGCAGCAGATGCTCTGAAAATACACAAAGAAGGGTTTAATTTTCATAAAAGACCACGCCCCCCTCCCAAAAATTTTTTGGGCTCGCTCCGCTCACCAAATCATGGCTACATCCCTGTGTTTCAGTATGACCCTGCAGGCACATTTTCAAGTGTGTGCGCAGGCACACTTAACTTTTATAGAGCCCTGATAATTAGTACCACCAATTGTAGATATACCGGACTTCTCTGTTGTGTTTCTTTGTGTACCTAACCTACAACCCCAGCGATCTAACGAGTAAATCGTACATGAGTGAATTAAATAACATCGTTTTTTTTTATTATATAAAAACATAACTGTTGAAGATCATTATAGTTGAAGAGTTGTGTCCCTTGAATATGATAAAACAGTTTATTGAGACTGATGAATGAAATGAAAGGGAGTTTAACGTCCTACTGTTCTGCTCCTAACTAGGCTAATGAAGACGGGCAAACGCCATACAGTGTGCTATGAGAGAAATTTTGCCTGGACAAGGATCTATTACGTGCATGCCAATGTGTACACGGGACCTCGGTTAGTTTGATAAGACAGGTGTGGTCGCCACCGCCTGGACGATCGAGTAATATAGATAAGCGGAAGTTATATTCATTTCCAGCGAAAATGAAAGTGAAAGTAGACTATTCTCTGTACCAGTAGAGATTCTCGGTAACGTTCATAGTATTTATATTGAACATTTATACAATTTAGTGTAAAATATTATTCTGTGTCGGGATGATATAGACTGAAAGTAGAGGATATAAACACCATACAGCCAGCAGTGTGAGAACGAAATGAAGTCATGCTTTTTACAGCTATCAACAAGGTGATCATTTATGGGGATAGACTGTCTGTAACAAATGTTTGTATGGAAAGATAAGGGGCTGAATATTTGATATTGTCAGAACATTTTACGGGATAATAACTTGATAAATATTCTGTCTTAGCTTATTTTAATAAAACATAATGGCTGAACAGACAGATCGTGAAGTATGCAGTATTTGTTTAAATGACTTTCATGAACCTAAAATTATCGACTGTCAACATTCTTTCTGCTACAACTGTCTAGAAGATTACGTTCACAGAACATCAACTAATGGCCAGTTTCTTTGTCCAGTTTGTCGGCAGAATATTATTGTTCCTTTAGGTGGTGTGAATGAATTTTCATCTAAGCAGCAAATGGAGAATGCCTCAACTCGACAGATTCAACAATGTGATGTGTGTTTAAATATTCAAGCAACATGTCGATGTCGCGACTGTCAACAACATTTATGTGAGTCATGTAAATCAACGCATGATAAGTTGGCTGTTTGTAAAGGACACGTCGTTGTCAAGATAGATGGAATTTCCGAACAAGGATTAAAGGAAATTACCACTGAGAAACCAGTTTCTGATTTGAAAGAAGATATATCTGAGAATTCAAGAGGCGCACCCGTACACCCCGCCGATTTCTGTCCAAATCACCCGAAAAAGAAAACAAAAACCTACTGTAAAGATTGTTTGGTGGCGGTCTGCTTTAAATGCTTTCTCAAGGACCACAACGGACATACATATCTGGATCTACAAGAAGATGATGTGCGAGAACAAATCAGAGACGAACTAAAAACATTAAAAGTAGAAATAGAAGAACATATCAACAAACTTCAAAATCATTCAACATCTTTACAAAGTAAATCATCTGAAGTGGAAAAAGCGGCCAAAACAGCCCGTAGGAATGTTGATACGCATGTCAGAAAAATTTGTGCTAAAATTCACGAAATTGGAGAAAACATAAAAGACGAAATCCAAAAAACCTGCAACGATGAAAATGAAAAATTCACAAAGCTGATGACAGACATTAAAGGTTTAACTGAAGATTTGCAATCTGGTGTCAAACTTTCCACCAGTATTCTAGAAGATACCTCAATTGTTCAAGTTTTGGAGAGATTGCCAAATGTGCGCCAGGAAGCAGACGAATGCCGTTCCAGAAATTTTAATATCCCGGATGTGATGTATCCATCTTTTAAAGGAACGGAGATAAATGAGAGAGTTCTACGAGAACAACTCGGTGAAGTAGATATACACCATGAAACAAGATTTATTAACACATTTAATATAAATCAGTTCAAATCTGATAATGATTTATATAGTTCTGTTACAACATTTCACGGGTTACCGTGGTGTGTCTTGGCACAAAAAAAAGCGTCAGGCGATCTAGGCTTTTTTCTATCTTTGAACAAAACACTCCGACTTTCAGATATTTTATCATGTCATGTTGATATCTCCCTGGAACTGATCAACCATAAAGATGAAAACGGATCGTTGACAACACACGGTACAGATAGTTTAAAAGAGTTTCAAGATAACCGAGGGTGGGGACGTCGCAATTTTATTACCTGGGACATATTAATAAACCAAGAAAATGGTTTTCTAGATTCCAACAACAATTTCAACATACACGTTATATTGAAACTAATGGATATTAAAAAGAGACAAACATTGTTGAAATATAAATAATTATAAATCTACTGTTTAATTAGCAGAAATATAATACATGTATATATGTGTATCAATACTAACTAGATTGTGTTGATTTTATTTTTTTAGACCAGGAACTTGACATGTTTTGGATATGAGTTCTCCTGAATTAATATATTATAGATGAATATAGCCTATATTTGTTTATGTAGAAAAACAAAAGTCAAGTAAAATCTAATCAATAAATCTAAAATAATTTGTTATAAAATACGATATTATCAGTCTCCATGTTTGGTTAGTGTTTATCTATAGTGTGGTCAGATAAACTTTCATCATTTTCAAACTAAGGGTCCACTTGATTTAGTTATAGTTATAAAATGGCCATTTCAAATATTATAGACTACAAGTGGTAGACTAACGCCACCTGGCCTATGTTACTCCCCGGTCCAAGTTACCCCTATACCCGAAATTTCAGACTCGGGGCTGATGTAGTGTAGCCACCAAACCCGAACAGACTGTTAAACAGACAGACAGACAACCGACAGTCACAAATATTAGTATAGATTACCTAAATAGCGCTTATAGTTTTAATCTGATATCTACAATAAAACTGTTCAGTCCTTGTGATATCTCAATTTTAAACAAACATTATACAAGAGCTAAATCTGTCCATTGCAGGTCTTTCTTTAGGCCTAAATGTTATCTATATTATTAATTAGACATTAATTAATTTATCCAGAACATAATCAACTCTTGATGTCATCCCTAGCCTGCGATATTTACTGGATTAGTATCCTATTTGCTGCTCAACTGTCATTCATGATTAAATCATGAAATGGATAATCGAGACTATGTTTTTTTTTTTTTTATCATACGGACTTCAGTAATGATGATCGAGGCTAGGCCGAAAATTTAATCGCTAAATTCTCGGTTCAGAGTGGATCAATTTTACTGAAATTATCAGCAAATTGCCTTTACAGTATCTAGTTTTTAACTATTATAGTGAGAACTACCAGCTCTTTATCTAATCTCCCATAATGTATCTTTAATAAGAAAAATGCCGATTGGTATTTGGCTGTGTTGTCACTTTAACGTGATGTATTTAAAATAATAATTAATATTTGTGTGTATTTCTGATATCTGCCACTTGTTGAAATTATAACAGATTAAGCTGATTTCCTTTTCCTTGACATAGACTGTTGATTTTAAGGCTCTGTGAACTTTTTTTCACAAGTCGTGAACGCGAATGTCTGAGAATGGCTCGGTAATTAAACCCAGTTGTTATTGATCGGAATAATGATGAATTCTATTTAATCAGCTAAACGTAGAAGCGTGATAATAATATTGCAAATACGTAAATGTTTATTTATTCATATTGGCTGGAATAATGGTGAATTCCATGGTAATAAATTGCAAATAAATGTTTATTCTTGTCGATTGTTATGCTTATATTTGTCTATGAAACATGTAGGAGTAGGTTGGGTCACGAGCAATTCTCAGCACTGGGGCAACTGTGAACCGCGGTTGCTCAGTTAATGAGACTTGTTCACTAACCAGAGAGAGAAATGGGGTTTAACGTCCACTCGACACAAACTAGGTCATTTCGGGACTAACACATGGTTCAATTTTATTTCAATAATTCGCCTGCGCGTAGGCTCTTTAGCTGTGGGAGGAAACCGGAGGACCTGGAGAAAACCCACGAAGTCGGACATGCGACCCTACTCCTTGTCACGTACAACCGGGGAATCGACACCCCGCCATGGTTGACCCAATGACAGACCGTATGATACAGTGCAGCACGCACATGTTAACCATTCGGCCATCCAACCCCGCCTGTTCAGACTCGACTAATGACGACAGACACACCATTCGAGGGTGCTAAGGTGAAAATTTTGCCCAGAAAGTCGCACTATATAATGGCCTGCTCTTATTTTAAATTCCAACTTTCATGGGTTCTTTCTTGTGTGCACCCCAACAACTTGACAGTGCCCTTTGCCAGGCCCGCCTGCCTGCACCACTGACAAGGGGGAGCCATTCTATAAAAATATCATGAACTGTCTCGACCGACACCTGTGGGCTGGAACACAAGACTTTATTTGAATTTAAACATTCATTTGTCTAACTTGTGCAGGACTTTTAGAAATGTTTGATACCGGGCTTACTCTTTAAAATTAGTTGTGGGAATTTTCTATATTTAAAATAATCATTGATCGATAAAAACCCATTCAGTAATTTATTTTTAATTTGGGGCTGGTGCAGAAAAATAGGACATTAAACCACATTTTATTTAAATTTAAATTCGAAGCTGAAAAATAGGTTGTAAAACACAATTATATTTAAAAATAGAGATTAGTGCAAAATCAAAAAAGTAGGACATTAAACTCCATTCCATTTAAATTTGGGGCTAGTGCAAAAAAGTAGGATGTTAAAAAACCGCATTTAATTAAATTTGGGGCTAGTGCAAAAAACTAGGATGTTAAAAAAACGCATTTAATTAAATTTGGGGCTAGTGCAAAAAAGTAGGATGTTAAAAAACCGCATTTAATTAAATTTGGGGCTAGTGCAAAAAAGTAGGATGTCGTAAAACCGCCTTTTATTTAAATTTGGGGCTAGTGCAGAAGAGTAGGATGTTAAAGGCCATTTTATTTAAAATGAAGTGAATCAGTTGGTAAAGAAAGTATTTATATGTTTATCATGTGAGAGTTATTGTTATAGATTTATTTATATCATGACAGGAAATAAAACAGGTTGTCTAGTATTATACTAATACTATATATACCATACTTATACTGACATATATACATATTACATACTCATGTTGTCACAGGATTCTAACCACAACTATATATAGAGTCAGTCTGTCCAACTATAATATGTGACAAGGAGTAGGGTCACCTGTCCAACCGCGTGGGATTCCCTCACACTGCTAACAGAATTATTGAAATAAAATTAAACCATATGTTAGTCTGGAAATAACCTAGTTTGTGTCAAGTGGACCTTAAACCCTCTCTCTCTCTCTCTCTCTCTCTCTCTCTCTGCAGGTCTAAGGAAATTTAGTCTTCCAAATTTTACCACTACATATATTTTATTAATAAAAAAAACATGACGGTGTAGAATTTCAATGACAAATCTAATATATTATATTCAATAATGTTTACATTTTAGGAAATCTTTCAATTTTCAGTTTTTCTGTTTGTACAGTTTGTAATTTGAAGCAAGAGATTTGAATTGATTGTTTTATTGTCTTTATGTTATTTTAGAAAAAAAAAAATATAAAATTTTTAAAATATGTAAATTATATGAAATAATAAAAAGTTTACAATATATTTTAGAAATATTTAGATAGTTTAGTATATTGAATATAAAACTTGTTTACCAAAATACTCTAAATGCCATTTGGGGAAAAGGAACAGTCTATATTTAGTAACTAAGGAATACCAAAAGGCTCATATAAAAGGGAATTCCCCATTGGTGTTTACCGTTTTTGGGAAACAAGTTCGTCACAATTAGTATGTAGTGAATATAGCCTATATTTTTTTATGTAGAAATAAGAAGTCAAATAAAATTAATCAATAACCAAAATTGTATATTAAATATTATTATTTTTTTTTAGAAAATACAATATTTTCAGTTTCCATGATGTGTTACTGTTTATCTAGTGGGGCGAAATAAAACTTTCAAGATTTTTCAAACCTAGATTTTACTTGCCCTCGGAAAGTATGTCTGCTTGTTTAGATATATTAAGTACCAGTGCATATAAATGATTCCCATTACCGACAATTTGGCCTCTCTCCAAGTTCTGCAATAGGCCCTGACACTACTTCACCCAAGAACTGCCCCCCCCCCCAACACTACTTCACCCAAGAACTGCCCCCCTCAAGCGGCCACACCACGCCCCCACCCATGAATACCATATTCTCCCGTGCAATGATAAGAAAACAGGGGAATATTAGTAATGATGTTACACTGAATTATATCTGAGGGGTATTAGCAGTCAAGGGAATATTTGCTGCTGATCATTTGGACGATCAAGTAATATAGATAACCGGCAATCGGGAAACCTCGGCAGATTCCGGTACCCTACATCGTAGAATCTGCTGAGGTTTGCCGAATGAGATAACCGGAAGTTACATATTTCCAGTGAAAGTGAAAGTAAAAGTAGATTATTCTTAGTAATGGTGGATACTGTTTGTAAAATCATAGTACTTATATTTGACAATTTTTGTTGATATTGTAGTCGTGTAAAATATTATTCTGTGTCGGGATGTAATGGACTGAAAGTAAGGGACATAGACAGCATACAAAATGAAATGAGGTCATGTTTTTGGCTATCAACAAAGTGATCTTTCACGTGTATAGACTTGAATATCCTGTTTGTGTTACGTGTTTGTTTGAAGAAGGGCTGAAAATTGGATATTACCAGGATTTATTATTGGACAATAACTTGTTAAACATTCATTTTAATAAAACACAATGGCAGAACAGACAGATAAGGAAGTATGTAGTATTTGTTTAAATGACTTTCAGGAACCTAAAATTATCGACTGTCAACATTCTTTCTGCTACAACTGTCTAGAAGATTACGTTCACAGAACGTCAACTAATGGTCAGTTTCTTTGCCCACTTTGTCGACAGAATATTATTGTTCCTTTAGGTGGTATGAATCAATTTTCATCTAAGCATCAAATGACAAATGACTCCACTCTACAGATTCAACAATGTGACGTGTGTTTAAACAATGAAGCAACATGTCGATGTCGCGATTGTCAACAACATTTATGTGATTCATGTAAATCAACGCATGATAAGTTGGCTGTTTGTAAAGGACACGTCGTTGTCAAGATAGATGGAATTTCCGAACAAGGATTAAAGGAAATTACCTTTGAGAAACCAGTTTCTAATGTGAAAGAAGATATATCCGAGAATTCAAGAGTCGCATCCGTACACCCTGCAGATTTCTGTCCAAATCACCCGAGCAAGAAAACAAAAATCTATTGTAAAGATTGTTTGGTGGCTGTCTGCTTTAAATGCTTTGTCAATGATCACAATGGACATACATATCTGGATCTACAAGAAGATGATGTGCGAGAACAAATCAGAGACGAACTAAATAAACTGAAAGTAGAAATAGAAGAACATATCAACAAACTTCAAAATCATTCAACATCTTTACAAAGTAGATTATCTGACGTGGAAGAAGCAGCCAAATCGGCTTGTGAGAATGTTGATACGCATGTCAAAAACATTTCTGATAAAATTCACGAAATAGGAGAAAATATAAAAGAAGAAATCAAAAAAACCTTCAACGAAGAAAATGAAAAATTTACAAAGCTGATGACCGACATTAAAACTCAGACTGAAGATTTGCAATCTGGTGTCAAACTTTCCACCAGTATTCTAGAAGATAATTCTATTGTTCAAGTTTTGGAGAGATTGCCAAATGTGCGCCAGGAAGCAGATGAATGTCGTTCCAGAAAGTTTAATATCCCGGATGTGATGTATCCATCGTTTAAAGAAATGAAGATAAATGAGAGAGTTCTACGAGAACAACTTGGTAAAGTAGATATACACCATGAAACAAGATTTATTAACACATTTAATATAAATCAGTTCAAATCTGCTAAAGTTGTACATAGTTCTGTTACAACGTTTCATGGTTTACCGTGGTGTGTCGTGGTACAGAAAATGCCGACTATCGATCCAGGCTTTTATCTACGTTTAAATAAAACAGGTCGAAGTTCAGATATTTTATCATGTCAAGTTGATTTCTCCCTGGAACTGATCAACCATACAGATGAAAATAGATCGATGACAAGGCAGCTTACACATAGTTTAAAAGAGTTTCAAGATAACGAAGGGTTTGGATGTGGAGAATTTATTACCTGGGACATATTAACAAACCAAGGCAATGGTTTTCTTGATTCCAACAACAACTTCAACATACAAGTTATATTGAAACTAATGGATATTGAAAAGAGACAAACATTGTAGAAATATAAATAATTATAAATCTACTGTTTAATTAGCAGATATATAATACATGTACATGTATATATGTGTGTCAATACTAACTAGATTGTGTTGATTTCATTTTTTTAGACCAGGAACTTGACATGTTTTTGACATGAGTTATCCAGAAGTAATATATTATAGATGATTATATCCTATATTTGTTTATGTAGAAAAACAAAAGTCAAGTAAAATCTAATGAATAATCTAGAATTATTTGTTATAAAATACAATATTATAAGTCTCCATGTTTGGTTAGTGTTTATCTATAGTGTGGCGAGATAAACTTTCATCATTTTCAATCCAAGGGTCCACTTGATTTAGTTGTAGTTATAAAATGACCGTACCAAATATTATAGATTATTTAAATAGTGCTGATTTTTTAAAATCTATTATCTAATATAATACTCTTCCGTCCCTATGCTATCTCAATTTCAAAAATGAAAATGCCAATTGGTTTTCGGCTGTGTTTTTTTTTAAAGCGAGGTATTTAAAATAATAATGCTTATTTATGTTTGTTTCTGATATATTAGATATTTTTGACATATTTTTTGAAATCATAACAGATTAATCTGATTTCCTTTTCCTTGAAGATCTTGACATAGACTTTTTATTAAAACTCTTTGAACTTTTTTCACAAGTCGTGAACGAGAATATCCGAGAATAGAACAGTATTTAAACCCAGTTGTTATTGATGAATTCATGAATTATTGATGAATAATGATGAATTCTATTTAATCAGCAAAAGGTAGAAGCATGATAATTACAAATACGTAAATGTTTATTTATTCATATTGGTCGGAATAATGGTGAATTCCATGATAATAATATTGCAAATAAATAAAGGTTTATTCTTGTCGATTGTTATGCTTATATTTGTCTATGAAACATGAAGGAGTAGGTTGGGTCATGAGCCAGTCACAGCTGGTAAGACTGACCAGAAGGTCCGGACTCGATCACGAAAGGTCCTGGTGATTGTCTAGGTTGATTTGCAGGAAGGAGATTCTAGGCAGGAAGACCGTCTAGTCGCCTGGATGGGACGAAAAACCAAGGTCCCATGTATACCTTGGAATTCGAGGAAGAGAGGAATTGTCCGCGCATATTTTCTTGGTAGCACACTGCATGGAGTATACCCGTCTTTATTATCCCGGTTGCTGCTGAAGAGGGGGGGGGGGGGTAAACCCAATTTAATTTCCAGAGGATTGTCTTTTAAAATTAATGCTGTAGGTCGTTTACATCCTATGGCATTCTGACCACGGGTTAGGGGTCAGTTCATCTCCACGTATCAATCCCATACCATTATCACCATGTTTTTCTTTTGTCCGCCACAGCCACACCCCAGTGTGGAATAATCTATAATACACCTTACGAAATAAAATAATCATTCTTAATGTATATGAGATTTATTACATGCGGTGATTGAAAATAAACATATTTATCTTTTACATAATGCACCCATGTGGTGATTTGTAATAGACAGATTTATCTCATGGTAATTACTGTGTAGATTTAATTTTAAAGGCTAAGACCAAATCGGCATAAGCCATACCCATTGCAATAACATGTATATAAATGGAATATTTAGTTATTCTAAATAAGACATGTTTTGCTGTAAATGATGACTCTTTACTGCACGGAAAGTATGATTTATTTAAAAAAAAAAGTATAAGGGGGGTAACTCCTATCTAGCTAATGGGATGCAGACCACAAAAGCCATTCGAATGACTTGATTTAATGTTCGTTCTTGAGACAAACCTTTTATGAAGTTGACCATGGTCATTTTCAGATGCACAAATTTGAAATTACCTACCCGACATACACGAATATTCCCCAGAAAATTTAAATTTTATGCCTCGTTTTTTTATTCTATCACAAAAAGCAATTGCATTTCTGCTCTTGCCTCAAAAATAAACTTTTAAGATGAAATGACCAAAAGTGATATTTTTTCTTCCATAGTTGGCACTTCTGAGATTTCAGACTTCTCCAATAGTAAATTGCGAAATAAATACTTTTAAAGATATACATCTCGTCGATTATTATAAAATCTAGAGATAATAACATTAATATCCACATCTCCTGTCAAATTCCCACGCCAATATTTTATGGATAGAGAAAACTAATTTGAAGTGATAGTTTATAATCTGGTGATTATTTAGAATATGTATAAAGATAGTTGGAACTGGATATAAATAGTTGTCATACTATTCGATTCTCCCAATAGTTCGTCCTTGTCTATTCACGCAATAATTTTTCTTTGGATATTGACCAATAAAATGGCCGTATCAAATATTATAGATTATCTAAACAACGCTTATCGTTTTAATCTACGTTTCCAAAACCCCTTAAAACCGTCCTTTTCCAGAGTGCCTTCAAGTGTTGATTTATATATTGAGTGTTTTATATGTGCTACAATCGCTTGTCTCTGAGTGTAAAATGTATTATGTTTGTGTATTTTTCGATTTTACAAATTATATTTGTAAAGCGCCACTGAAAAACACTTGCGTTGGATATTCGGCCCTATATAAATGATAAATTATTATATTATTATTATTAACCTGATGTCTACAATAAAACTGTTCCGTCCCTATGTTATCTCAATTTTAATAAATAAAATAATAATCTGCGTGTATTTTCGATATGTTTGATATTTGACACATATTCGTTGAAATTATAACAGATTAAAGCTGGTTTCTTATTCCATGAAGATGTTGACATGTTAAGATCGTCTTCTTGTTCAGAATCAGCGAACTAGAATCTCAAGTCATTCGAAGTAGAAGATTTAGGAATTGTTTTATCATTTTCTAAGCCCAATTGATAATATTCAAAATGCTGTGTTTTTCCCAGTGTCTCGAAAGAAATAATATTCTGGTCATAATTAAAAGGCCTGGAACCCGCTCTGCTCTTCAAAGCCAAAACAAATCATACCACGCGTTATTATGTTGATATGACTAGTCTACTCTGCTGGATATTGTACTGTAATACAGAGCTGAACCCCATTTCATTTCATATCTGTAATTCAGTTTCTATATAATGTGAGCCACAGTGACTCTGGTATATGGAATTATATTACACAGATTTTATGGACATTTCTGTCATAAGAATTCTTTGGACCATATCTACATTTTGATCGTTTAATCCTGGTTAATATGTAGTCAAATTATTTACCATTTAATTCAAGAATGAAAAGCGTAAGATAATCTGGCTTGGATTCAGTCGGATTAACACTAGGTCCACTTTAAGTATGTTACTATATTTCCTTTTCATCATGTCTATGTACTGTTCCTTGCCAGACCAGCAGTCATGTACCGCCGACTGCAACCGGGATCACACCTGGGAACCCGTGCAGTTCCACCAGAGCATATCCAAGGATAATATCAGCCAGTGAATACTTCAGTCCGCTTGTGGTTTCGTTTCGTTTTAAGTTCCCAAATAAACTTAAGCAAAATTCACTAGAAAAGACAAAGCCGATAAACTAATAATATCCATATTCTTTAAGTGGCATTGAGTAACTGGGTAGATACATAAACTACATGTATAAACATACGTATGGAAAACAGCTACTGATTTATTTCTCTGTCATATCTTGGTATGTAATAAGTGTCATATCTTGACTTCAAATAGATTCTAATACTCTTTATCGTATCTTCAGCAATGATAATTAATTCATAATTTGATCTACATTTTGACACTACCTTCGTGGCGAATATTTGATCTGCATTTTGAAAAGATCGCCTATGGCGCTGTCGTATTTGTGAAGTTGATGTTCACTCTTTGTGTCTACATTATGCATTCATAGACTTTGTAATTGCGTGTAGGGATCCGCGGTGGCTCTGCGAGTAAGACGCTGGCTCGCTAGACTAAAGGTCTCCATCAGGCCCGGCGAAGGAGGGGGGCTTTAGCCCCCCCAAGCTCCCCCCCCCCCAATATTTTGGCCGCAAACGCAAGTAACTATTCTATTAAAAACAAAAAGGTTTGAATTTAACATAGAAGTGAGTAGAAGTGAGACTTCTAAAACGTAGACTTTCAGAAGAAGAAAACCTTGTCATGCTCTATACCAGGGGCGGATCTAAGAATTTTGAAAAAGGGGGCGCCGCAAAATGAGGGCACTGACCGCGGAGACGGGGCACGCCGCTGAAAGGGGAATTTTTTTTTGTTTTTTTTTTGGGGGGGGGGGGAGGTCCCCCCAAGGAAATAATCCGTCATTTCCTTGCATCTGTAGCCATTCCAAGAGCTATTTGGCTGATATTTTCGTCAAAGTAAACGTTCGGAACTCGTTGAAAAAGAGCCTTAAAATCGACCCAAAAAGCCAGTTGAACATGCGACTCGAAAATTGTCAAGGCGAGCGAGGCATTATGATGGGAAAAAAGACGAATCTATTCCCTAGCCACTTCACTATTTAAGCCTTGTAACTTGTACTTTGTACTGTCCACACATGAAACAATGCTACATCAAGTTGCACCCATGCGTGTCGGTGATGGACATGAGTGTATACGCCGCCGATTTCACAAGATGTCTGTCTATAGTCACTCTATAGGATAAGGGCACCGTCAGCTAAACAACAAGAATTCGTTTGAAAGTGGAAGCATTAATTAAACCAGACTGGTGTGTTTGAATCGATGGTTAGAGTCATATGGGATCCCTGCAACGGGTTGGGAACGGACATATTTGGGTCTGAGAAAAGGCACTTTCAGCAGTAAAAAAAGGGCCTCTGTATACTGTTCTCAGGGTTAAGAGACCCGCGGTTGCGAGGGTCGCGATTAGATAACTGAACGGTCGATCTTTATTTCAAGTCCATCTCATGTCTGTTGTATCTATGACATATTAGGTAATTAGAAAAACGACGGGATAGAGTTTTATTTATACTCTATCCTTGTGCCCCTTACCCATCAAATAATTCACTGCTATTGTCAGTTGAAACAAGGGGTTGCCATGCAAGATATGTCCACATTTTGTAAGAAATGGACGGGGAACGATCAAGTAATATAGATATTCGGCACTCGGCAAACATCAGCAGATTTCGGTACCCTACATCGTAGAATCTGCCGAGGTTTGCCGAATGAGATAACCGGAAGTTTTATATTTTCAGAGAAAGTGAAAGTAAAAGTAGATTTTCTTAGTAATGGTGGATGTTGTTTTCATAACATCATAGTACTTATATTGGACAATTATTGTTGATATAGTAGTCGTGTAAAACATTATTATGTGTCGGGATGTAATGGACTGAAAGTAAAGGACATAGACAGCATACAGCCAACTGTGTGAAAAGAAGTCATTGCTTTAAAGTATTAGTATACAATTTAGCTATCAACAAAGTGGACGTTCACGTGTCTAGACTTGTATATCTTGTTTGTGCTACGTGTTTGTTTGAAGATGGCTGAAAATTGGATATTACCAGGATTTATTACTGTACAATAACTTGATAAACAATCATTTTAATAAAACACAATGGCTGAACAGACAGATCATGAAGTATGCAGTATTTGTTTAAATGACTTTCAGGAACCTAAAATTATTGACTGTCAACATTCTTTCTGTTACAACTGTCTAGAGGATTACGTTCACAAAACCTCAACTAATGGTCAGTTTCCTTGCCCACTGTGCCGTCAGAATATTATTGTTCCTTTAGGTGGTGTGAATCAATTTTCATCTAAGCAGCAAATGGAGAATGACTCAACTCTACAAATTCACCAATGTGACGTGTGTTTTAATATTCAAGCAACATGTCGATGTCGCGATTGTCAACAACATTTATGTGAATCGTGTAAATCAACACACGATACGTTGGTTGGCTGTAAAGGACACATCGTTGTCAAGATAGATGGAATTTCAGAACAAGGATTAAAGGAAATTACCTTTGAGCAACCAGCTTGTGATGTTAAAGAAGATATATCTGAGAATTCAAGAGGCGCACCCGTACACCCCGCCGATTTCTGTCCAAATCACCCGAAAAAGAAAACAAAAACCTACTGTAAAGATTGTTTGGTGGCGGTCTGCTTTAAATGCTTTCTCAAGGACCACAATGGACATACATATCTGGATCTACAAGAAGATGATGTGCGAGAACAAATCAGAGACGAACTAAATAAACTGAAAGTAGAAATAGAAGAACATATCAACAAACTTCAAAATCATTCAACATCTTTACAAAGTAAATTATCTGAAGTGGAAAAAGCAGCCAAATCGGCTTGTGAGAACGTTGATACGCATGTCAGAAACATTTGTGATAAAGTTCACGAAATGGGAGAAAACGTAAAAGAAGAAATCCAGAAAACCTACAGCGATGAAAATGAAAAATTCACAAAGCTGATGACCGACATTAAAGGTCTAACTGACGATTTGCAATCTGGTGTCAAACTTTCCACCAGTATTCTAGAAGACACTTCTATTGTTCAAGTTTTGGAGAGATTGCCAAATGTGCGCCAGGAAGCGGACCAATGCCGTTCCAGAAAGTTTAATATCCCGGATGTAATGTATCCATTGTTTACAGAAACGGAGATAAATGAGACAGTTCTACGAGAACAACTTGGTAAAGTAGATGTAGATACAAGTATACACCACGAAACAAGATTTATTAATACATTTAATATAAATCAGTTCAAATCTGCTAAAAATGTATATGGTTCTGTTACAACATTTCATGGTTTACCGTGGTGTGTCTTGGCACAAAATTATCCGCCTGGCGATCCAGGCTTTTTTCTATGTTTGAACAAAACAGGTCGAAGTTCAGATATTTTATCATGTCAAGTTGATTACTTCCTGAAACTGATCAACCATATAGATGAAAAGAAATCGATGACAAGACACGGTACAAGGAGTTTTAAAAACTTTCAAGATAAGCTAGGGCAAGGATTTAACCATTTTATTACCTGGGACATATTAACAAACCAACAAAACCAAGACAATGGTTTTCTAGATTCCAACAACAATTTCAACATACAAGTTATATTGAAACTAATGGATGTTAAAAGGGACTAACGTCTTTGGAATATAAATAAATCTAGCAGAAATATAATGTGTGTTTCTTTGTTGTCAGAGTCATTAGTAAATAGATTGTGTTGATTACCTTTTAGGACCAGGAACTTGTCCCTAAAAGCTACTAATTTTCGTTGTCATTGGACTTCGATTCTTGAAATGATACTATTAGAAGACGTCTGTGATGACATCATACTCTGTTCCAGATCTACAGTACGGCGGTATTTGCTCAGAAATATTTGGATCAATAACTTGATTCACCGGAGTGGGTTATCTGGTTATCATTTTTTAAATAGAAATTGGCCAGAACAAATCAACGATTGGAGTAATGAGGGCACGCTTTCATATCTCCAGAATCCATTGTTCTCATTTGTAATGAAATTAAACGAGGTTTAGCATCCTACTATTCTGCTCCCACTGGGCTAATGAAGATGGGCATATGCCATATGGCCTACTCTTATATAAAATTCCAAATGCCAAGGGATCTTTTTATGTGCATGCCAATCTATACACGGGACCTCGATTTTTCATAACCTCTGCATCCAGTACCATGTCACACTTATTGATTATTGGAGAAGAAAAAATCTGAGGCTACTTCCACCACGGCAAAAACCTGGCTGTTGGAACAAAATGGTCCCTTTATACCCATTATAGGGGGGGTTGGATGGCCGAATGGTTAGCACGTGCGCGCTGTATCATAAGGCCTGTCATTGAGTAAACTGGCATGGTTTCGAATCCCTGGTTGTACGTGACAAGGAGTAGGGTCGCCTGTCCAACTTCGTGGGTTTTCTCTGGGTCCTCCGGTTTCCTCCAACTTCTAAAGACACCTATGCGCAACCGAATTATTGAAATAACATCAAACCATATGTTAGTCCCGAAATGACCTAGTTTGTGTCAAGTGGACGTTAAACCCCATTTCCAAAAAAAAAAAACATTTATACCCATTATATGTCCATATTTAATATTGTCACCACCTATGAATATTTTACAGGTCACAGTTCCTTACAAGTTTTTTTTTCAAATTTGTATTAATTGTTAATTCATCAAAAATTACCTTAAGCCAAGTCTGAACATTTATCCTCAATTATAAAGTGTTCGGAAAGCTGTGACAGGCAGACGGACAGACAGAATGGTAACAACAAGTATTATTTAACTGTGGAGGGCGTGTAAAAAGTAAAAAAAACAAATTGTTCATTTAGTAGTAAATATTTCTTTATTTGCCTTCTTCAACAATTAACAAATATATACAATAATATATAAATCAGCACCCACAATTTATAATCAACAATTATATATTATACAATAAAGATTATAGAGCAGCTTGTTAGCTGGAGCACTCAGTGTTATACAAATTGATTATCATCATTATTATTATTGGTCACATAAGACAAACAATATGGAGCAGCTAGTTAGCTGGAGCATCCAGCCTTATACAAATTGATTATTATGGAGCAGCTTGTTAGCTGGAACACTCAGCCTTATACAAATTGATTATTATTATTATTTGTCACCAGGCAAACAATAAAGTTTATCAGTTATATAGAATCGACCATTCCTTGATGTTTAAATAGATAAAGTTAGACATAAACCTGCTTTATACTGACCTTTAAAATCCTGTTGAACCAGGGTATTATTCTACTTAATATCGACCACCAGATAATTTGTCTGGCTAAAGACAGGGCTTGTCAATTATGGGGTGTTTAACATCCACTCGACCCTAACTAGGTCATTTCGGGACTAACATATGGTTTAATTTTATTTCAATAATTCTCTTGCGCGTAGGGGTCTTTAGCAGTGGGAGGAAACCGAAGGACCCAGAGAAAACCCACGAGATTGTTCAACCAGGGAATCAAAACCACTCTAGTTAACTCAATAACAGACTTTATGATCTAACCTGCATGGGTAAAACCATTCTTCCACCCAACCCCCCATAATCATAAATAGCACTCAAAATCAATCTGATAACATAAATTATAATAAAAAACACAACATGTATACAGAAAACGTAAAAAAACAAAACAATATCAAATAAATGCTGATGATGAGTTCAACTCATTATTACATTCATCTTAATTTAGGCCTGTTTGATGCAAAAAAAATAAGAATAATCCCAAATTTGATTTCATTATTAAATTGAATAGATATTTGTGTACCTGTAATTAACCTATTTTGAGCAGCAGGTATCTTAAAAACATATACAAATTACAATACATAAATATCTTCCGGGTGAATCTACCTGGGTTTAAACTCAACTGTCCCTTCATTCTACAAACTGTAAAAACAGCCTGTTTTTTTAAAATGAATTTAATTTGCGATGTTTCATTACGTTATTTAAAATGACTGATAGTCAAATTCTGAAGTGGAAGCCCTGCTCCCATGTGAACCTTCCAGCTTCCAGAGATAAATTCGTCCTGAATAAGAAATGCAAGAAATAGTCCAAATCATTCTGAGAATATGAAATACCCCAGGTCTTCCATAAAATTTACCCGGAAATATTAGGCCTGTCTAGTCTAGATATATTAAAAGACATTAATTGGAAGATAAATACATTAAAAATGTTAAATTTAAATATTTCAGTGTTCAATGTCAAGTTACTATGGCGACCATGGATTCCTCCCAATTCAAAATACAATCATCTAAATTATTAAATTACAGAGTCTATTTATTAATGGGGCTACTGATATTCCTCTAACAGAAAACAGAGGTAAACCAACCTAATTAAAATTTCTGAGTGTTATTTAACGGATTGTAATCCCCATCCAAACTACGATATTTTGAAAGTTGAATCTCTACAAGGAATATCACTTGTTTTCTTAATTCAATGATAAATAATAAATATGAATAACTTTTAGTCTGGGTGCGATTGTTCAAAAAATATAAATGATATCCACATCTTTTATTAAACAAGACAATCAACTAAATTTGAAAAAACAATTTAGTTTTAATCCAAAATAAATCCATAATTAAGCATCAAGGGTTAGGGTTAGGATTGAATTGAAGCCATGTCTTGTATGCATAACATATTCCCATTCCCATTATCAATAAAATATTGTTTATAAAAAAACATTTATGATCTAACTAGTGCATGCACTCAACCCTGGAGAGAGAGAGAGAAATGGGGTTTAACATCCACTCGACACAAACTAGGTCATTTTGGGACTAACATATGGTTTAATGTTATTTTAATAATTCGCGTGCGCTTAGGGGTCTTTAGCAGTGGGAGGAAACCCACAAGGTTGGACAGGCGACCCTACTCCTTGTCACATACAACCGGGGATTAGAACTCAACTCTGGAAGCCATTTAACTATTAATTCTATACAAACAAAATTTATATGTGAGCATCAAATATTTTTCCATGTCAAATACATGTATTACATAATTTATAATCTATAACACATGCAGTAGACCACTCAGCCAATCAACCCATCATTATGTGTTTGATTATATGAAGGAATCAGTCACAATCAAGGAATAATCAGAGGTATACAGAAACAGTATTATAGTTTCAATCTACACTAAAAGTTTCCCTGAATCAAATTTCACTTTCGGACATTTTCTAGAGCTTCTCCCAAAGCTCGTAAAACCAGGCGAATATTATCGGGTGTTGCATTATAACCCATAATACCAATTCTCCACACTTTTCCTGCTAACTGACCAAGACCACCAGAAATTTCTACACGATAACTAAAAAAAATAAAACAAGATTTTACCACACAAATCTAGTTGGAACTATATTATCTTATACATTATGCAAGAACTAAATCTGCCTATTGCAGATCTTTCTTTAGGCCTGAAATGTTTTATAAACTATTAATTAGACAGTAATTAACTTATCCCAGCCATAATCAACCCTCGATGGCATCGGATTTCTCCGATATTAAATAGATTAGAACAGAACAGTCATATTTTGATTTAAGCTAAAAATGGGGGAGCGAGACTTAGCTTCGAACATCCAGTTGAAAATTATTGCACACGACTTGTCAAACATTCAAAGGCTAATATCTTCGCTCGTAATAGAGTAATTTGAATGAAATTTTCAAATTATTCATTTTACATTATCTATTTTCGAACTATTATAGCAAGAATGGCTAGCTCTTTATCTAAATCTTACATAATGTATCTTTAATATATCAATACTATCAATGTAAAATAAAAAATTATAGCTGGCAAAAAATCAATACTAGCAAGCAATTAATACCAACTTCCTCCATGTCTATGATCTTTTCAAATAAGATGGTAATTGCAATCTTGTGGCTATCTTATTTCTGAATTTGTTATATGCAAAAAACCAATATTTTAAAAATAACAATTTTAAAAACATAGATGGGGGGAGGTCAGGACACCTAACACCAGCAGCATATACTAGCTCTACCATTATTGTCGACCAATCACACAGAACATGTTTTTTAATTACCGACGGAGATGACCATATTATACATCCACAGTACATAACAGTTCTTATCAATTTCAAATTGTATTTATTTCATTATAAATGGTATATTTACTTTTTCATTGCGTAATCTGCGACATCCTTCCAGTTGACCCCTTCTGGTACTTTAACGGCTGTTACACATGGATTACGTTCTTCCTATAATATATAAATCATAACTTGAACAACATACAACGAACAAAATGGAGTTTAATATTTTGAGTTAGGACTGTATCACTAAAGTGTAGTTGATGCTTACGGCTAGCCATTGGATCCATTCACTTAATCTGATACATACGTTTGTTGTTTGGGATGTCTGTATTAATGTCCTGTCTGTAGACTGGGGAATTTGGCTCGGAAAACAATATGTTTCCACATCCTATACTTTATTCTAACCAATTTTATTGCACCAACTGGGCTAATAAAGATGGCCATAGGAATTGTGAGTACCCGGTACACAAGATGGAACCATCCTGGACAATCCTGAGGAATCTTCTCGGACAACACTAGTATCATTCTGATTTTGCCATTATGGCTCATATTGACAAGAAACCAAATATGGATGCCACCCACATGAGTCTCAGATTAGTAATATTTCTCTTGTCATGTAATTCTGAAAAGTGTTGGTAAATTACCTTATTTGGAACCCAAAGTTCAAGACCCAACTTTTCTACACCAGTCCATAATTGTTCAGCACATTCTCTGTTATTCTTCCAGCTTGCTTCTAAACCCTGAAACAATATAAACATCATAATCTGTTCATTTATACATTCAAAGCTAACTCCTAAAAAACATACAACAACATAATCAATTCATTATTATAACTTTTTTTTATTATGACAAAGTGAGAAGATAACCTATTCTCTCTTCTCACGATAGCGATTTTTAAAGTGTGTTTTAAGGTGACTTTCTGAAATGCAAGGACTTTTTATTTTGTGTTTTTACTTATTTTCAAATAATTTAATTAAATTAACCGGTCCATAATATCATATTTCATGTATTGGATGTTAAATCTGTAATAAACAACAACATCAATTCAATTAATCATTAACTTCCAACCCCTAAAACAACAACATAATCTGTTCAATTAAACATTAAATTCTAACCCCTAAAACAAACGGGGTGTTCCCACTTAGCCGGCAGGCTTTGATGTCAAATTTTGCCGCTAATCCAGAGTTAATCCTAGAACAATGGTGTTATAAACTATAGTCCATATCTTTATAAGACTAAAACTGTATTGATTTTAACAAATTTAACTTTTATTAAATAACATTAAATAGCTTACACATATAAAAATATATTGATTTTAACAAATTTAATATTTATTAAATAACAATAAATGATTTACACATATAAAAATGCATTACAATTTACACATTTAACTTTTATTAAATAGCATTATATAATTTATAAATAAATGCCTTACAACATAACAATCATTTTACAGCCCCACTAAATAGGAAATATTTGTTCCATACCGATTTACACTTAAAGAGCCATTTAATAACTGTGTTTTCCAATGTTCAATTCTTGTATCAAGTTGTCGATATTTCTTAACTCGAGGCCTTTTGGTACCACCAAATAATATCATTAACGCTGAACACTAGTGAACAGTTCTTGAGTGACTACTTTTAAACAGACTATAGTTTTAAGATCAATCAAAGGATTAACAGTCTGCCGGCTAAGTGGGAACACACCAAACAAACAACAACATAATCTGTTCAAATAAACATTAAATTCCAACCCCTAAAACACCCAACATTAAATGAAATGAGGTTTAACACAACATCATAATCTGTTAAATTAAATTCTAAAAAATTATAAACCTCTACCTGAGTCTTAATCCTAAAATTGATAACATTACAAATCAATGTTTTTGATAAAAGAAGATATGTACTGTTTTGTTGGCTATATATATATAGACTAGTATTTTTTTACGTAATGCCCTTCAGATAAGATATAATAAATAAGGTGTCATAACCATGATGTAAAATGAGCGAAATTGCCCCAATAGACACTTAATTCTCAAAAAATAAGTACTTATAACTGGTATTCAGGGGAGATAATAAGCATCAATATCACTTTATCAACCTTCAGAAAATGAAATGATGGTTAAACCAGGTGCTAAGCGAGAGGGATGCATAGACAAGCGTTGCGTCCTGGTTTAGAATTTTTGCACCCCCTCGCAAATGACAAAAAATCATGCGGTTTCAATGCAGTGTTTTCAACATTATAATAATAATACTTAACCAGTATCAAACATATACCGTTTGTCAGACCATATGCTACAAATTGATTCTAGCATGTATCACAAAGCCCGGTAGCACTGGGAGGGACTATCTTGAGTAGAAATTAAAAAACATTTCTCTCTCTCATAACAAAGAAAGGAAATGGGGTTTACTTTTCAGCACCAACCATGCTTATGAAAGAAGTAATAATTAAATACACATACCATTTCTACGAGTCTAGCTAAACCTTCTCTAAGAGCGTAAATACTACTGACAGGTGCTGTATGATGATATCTATAAATATATTATAAAATCATTTACATAGAACCTTTTTAATTTAATTAAATCCAAGCCAAGAGATTATCTATTTAATCCTTGATTTATGATATAACACTTGTTGTAATGTTACAGTATAATAAAGCAAGTGATTGTATCGATACTAAGTGTTCTAGTATTAAATTATCTATCACTGATAATATTATTGTTTTTATTTCTTAAATACTGGTAAATGTAAAACAATCAATCAATTTGAGTACAATTTAGCCAACTTCCCACTTTAATAGAGAGAGAGAGAGAGAGAGAGAGAGGGGGTAACGTCCACTTGACACTAACTAGGTCATTTTGGGACTAGCATATGGTTCAATTTTATTTCAATAGTTCGCTTGCGCGTAGGGGGTCTTTAGCAGTGGGAGGAAACCGGAGGACCTGGAGAGAAAACCCATGAGGCTGGACTGGCGACCCAACCCCTTCTCTCGTGCAACCGGGGAATCAAAACCATGCCAGTTGACTTAATGACAGCCCTTATGATGCAACGCGCAGGCGCTAACCCTTCGGCCATCCTACTCCCCTCATTTTAATAATGGTGTTAATTATTTTCTTGTTGTAAATATATTATGAATAGTGCATACCACAGCATAAATTAGTTTCTTACCTCCTAGGATTCTCATCACATCCCCAATAATTAGCCAATTCACCAGCATCAAAATAATATGAACGAACCTTTGTTTTACGATTTAATACTTTTTCTCTGAAATATAAAACAACTTTTATTATTAATTTCTCATAGGATGAAAATACATATCCTCCAATGCGAGTTTTATAATAATAACCAATTTACGATGAAACGCAATGATCAAGTAAGCTTCATTTAATTAAAATGAGATACAGGTATATTCTGGGTCTGAAAATAATGATCAACCAATTTTCCATTTGGTTTATAGCTTTTAGACTGGGATGCTTCATTAATAAAGATGTTTTGAACAGTTCCTGACATATATGTACACTCTTTGAGTTGGAAATGTCCAATTTCCCTAGTGTGAGAGGTTAATCTTGTCATACCATGCATCAATTTGTTCACACACAAATTAAGATATGGCATGCTACTACTATACCCCCATCTACTTTTTGTAAATAAATGTTTATAATAGACCTAATTTTATTTTTTAACGGACGATTCTAGAAAAAAACTTGACGTCCAATTGGGCATATTCCCTTTTGGACCTTTGCCAACTTGGGTAGGACATGTTCATACAGATGATGTGAACTTACTTGGCTTGTGGTGAGAAAGCTATAGGACTTGTACCTGGTGGTGAACTTACCTGGCTTGTGGTGAGAAAGCTATTGGACTTGTACCTGGTGGTGAACTTAAAACTTTCTGTGATCCAGAATATATAACATCAATACCTGAAAATATACAAATCACATTATATGTATACAGTGATATCAGGTAGGTTTAAATATAATGTGGGCATTAGCTTTAAGTTTAAGTTTAACCTCATAACAATGATACAATGAAATCTTCCCTTCATCTCACTCTTTCTCCCAAACAATAAAACTCATTCTTCCTTCCATGAACATGGCCACAGACCAACCTCACAATCCTCCTACTGAGAAAGTCAACTAAACAAAAACTTATGCCATATTATGGGTGTCAGCATCATGTCAGAGAAAGGAGGTACAGCTACCAATATATGTTTTATGTACACTTCCACAGACTTATTTTATCACATCCAAAAGGTCATGACTAGGTTCATTCTACTTGTTACAAGAACACTAGATAACACTTGTTATAGTCTCATAATAAACATACCCCATTTATCCATATACATTGGTACTCCACCTAATGCTGCTACAGAATCTACTAACAACAAACAATTATACCTGTAAATATAAATACAGGTATATAGTTAAATTACAGGTATGGATATAGTTAAATTACATACCTGTAAATATAATACAGGCACCTGTAAATATAATAAAGGTACCTGTAAATATAAAACAGGTATATAGTTAAAATTACAGGTATAGATATAGTTAAATTACATACCTGGAGAAAAAAAACAACAAATGGGGAAAACCTGGAGGACCTGGAGAAAACCCACAGGTTGGAAAGGCGAACCTACTCTTGTCATGTACAAACGGGGAATCTCCGACCTTATGATCCAACGTGCACGCGTTAAACCACTAGTGCCCCGCCCTCATAAGAAGAGAACGTGAAATGAAAATGAAATGAAATGGGGTTTAACATCCTACAGTGTGCTATGAAAGAAATTTGGCCCAGACAGCGGCACTACGGCCTACTCTTATATCGAATTCCAACCACGTCAGAAAATCTTGGTAGAAGAGAATGTGAGCAACCACTAGATCTGCATGGTGCTAAAAACCGACCTCTTCATACTGGGTCTGATCAATTCTCATGTTTGCTCTGGGCCCTGTTTCACAAAAACTTAAAACTAAAATCACTAAAATAGATTTTAACTAAAATCAAACTGAAATTTTAAATTTTATGCGTTTCACGAAGATCGATTGTAACTTAAAATGCAATTTTAATTGATTTTAGTTAAAATTGCTTGCGCTCGCGCAGTGCACAATTCCGGTGAGGGCACTTAGGGTGTAAGCATACACGCTTCGGAACTGAAAACTGTTGCCAGGTTGAACTAACCGTTACAATACCAATAAGGAGGGTTTCATACGTTGTAACAATGTCTGCACATGGTCAGTCAATCGTAGAGAGACGAAATAAATAAGTTTATTGCGTGTTATTAGTTTTGAAATGTATCAGTTGGTTGGCCTTGAACTTGCATGTCGCTTTCGTGACAATGGCATTTGATTTACTCGCAGGCTTCAATGGAAATAATGCGTACTATCGATAAACTAAATCGCTTGAATTTTGCAGTTTTATGGTATTTTGGATAACAGAAACTATTGAGAAATTGTCACAAATATGTGATATTTCTAACTCAAACGATTAATAAAGTATTGTTGATTTTCAAAAGTATTTAATAACTTTTTAACTAATGCACGAAATAACCAATGTTCCGATGCTTAGATTTGAAATTTCAGTCCCATGGACCCTTTCAATAATAATTTGAAAATGCTAAAGTGCCACACTCCTTATTGGATTTTTCCCCCAATATAAAATACCCTTGGCTCCTATATAAATCATCATAACCCCAAAACCATAAATACTTTGCATATGGCGTATCTAGTATTATAGGACTGATGGGGTTTCGATTCCCCAGTTGTACATGACAGGGATAAGGGTCGCCCGTCCAACCTCGTGGGTTTTCTCCGGGTCCTCCAGTTTCCTCTAACTACTAAAGACCCCTACACGCAAATGAATTATTCAAATAAAATTGAACCTTGTGTTAGTCCCGAAATGACTCTCTCTCTCTCCCCCCCTCTCCCTCTCTCTTATTTTTGGTCTATTAATTATTTGCAAATAGTATAATTTATACTTGAATCATGGTAATATATAAAATAGTAACAAAGAGTTTTGTTTACTGGGGTTTTGAGGTTTTTTTTGTGTTCTTGGGGTTATATTGCTTATATTGCCTTACAATAAAATAAACGGGTGGGCCGCAGCTATATTTCCCATGCAATGAAAAGAAATTGAATGAAAATTATTTTTGTGAATGATAGTATGTTGAAATTATATAAACAATATTATCATTATTCCAAATATATCTATATGTCGCAATAGTTCTCACAGCGTAGCTCTAATCAATGTTGATTAATGTTGTGATTTTAAGTTAGGAGAGGGTGACGGCTGTCCTAAGTTAAAATTGATTTTAGTTAAAATTGTCCCTAAAATAGTTTTGTGAAACGCCACAATTTTAAGTTAAGATACAATTTTAACTTACAATATTATTTTAGTGGATTTTATCTAAAATGCTTAAAATCGTTTTGTGAAACGCATCTAACTTAAGTCAGGATGGAATTTTAGTTTAAGACGATTTTAAGGAGTTTTAAGTTTTTGTGAAACAGGGCCCTGGTCCTGAATCCCATTCGCAGGCCTGTAACTAGTCAATTATAAAAACAATAGATATACATTGTCCGTCAATTTTACAGCACCCCACCCTTCTCGTCGCTCTGAGCTAGTTATGGCTCTGCCCATTGAGACTACTATAGCACTGTCCCTGGTCAAACAGATACAGGAAGGAACCTACCTATGACAGAGATCACCCAATCCTTCTAATGGCTGAGCAGTAGCACCAGAAGATTCACCATGAGTAATAAATAATATAGATGGTTTATATTTCTTTAAACCCTATAATATAAATAATATATCATTATACACCTGTACACACCTGGACCACACCTGGACCATACCACCAACAAACACATTCTCTATAGTTCTACATATGGCATGGCATGGCATGGCATGGCATGGTATTATAAGAGGGTTACACATAGGCAGAGCCGTTCCCAATCCAAATTTAGATATTTGATGAATATAAAAATATTGTTTATAAAAAAAAATAATATCAGTAACTGGTTTATATTTCTCTAAATGTAGTAACACAAAACTGTCAAATTTATACATGACCTTGTTTGTTTCCCCTGGCAACCAGACACAACTAAAATATCAAAACGCACAATGTAAGGCAGGTATAAATCATGTCCGCATTATAAATGTGAGCCCCACAAATTATATTAATTCATCAAATCTTCTTACCTCTTCTATTTCTGATAGATTAAAAACTTGTCCCATTGGTCGAATCAACTTCTCTGGTACAGAACCTTTTATATAAAGCAAAACAAAATAAATTATTTTACTCAACTGTTCTTGTTTCAATTCAATATATTGTAAAAATTACAAAAAATCTTAAACTTTTGTGACGAAATGTCGAAAATCTAGGTGAAGCAACACATCAGACAGGGGTTTAACGTTCACTTGACACAAACTAGGTCATTTCGGGACTAACGTATGGTTTAATTTTATTTCAATAATTTGCTTGCGCGTAGAGATCTTTGGCAGTGGGAGGAAACCGGAGGACCCAGAGAAAACCCACAAGGCTGGACAGACGACCCTGTGCAGAAATGCATCAAAATTCATCATCTTAGATACTAACAGAAATGGTTCACCTATTTCTATGGTGGTGATTTTGTCATTGAGTCAAGCGGAATGGTTTTAATCCCAGGCTTGTACGTGACAAGGAGTAGGGTCGTCTGTTCGACCTCGTCGGTTTTCTCTTGGTCCTCCTGTTTCCTCCCACTGCTAAAGCCCCCTACGCGCAAGCAAATTATTGAAATATAACTGAACCATACGTTAGTCCCAAAATGACCCAGTGTGTATTGAGAGGATGTTACACTCTATCCCTCTCTCTCATTTCTATATTCTAAGACTATAATGTAGTTATCAATGAAAGCACCCAAAAGCTAATACAGAGGCGATAGAACCTGATTCTACTTTGCTTCACAGTTATTTCATAATAACATAAACGAGCCCCACTTTTGATAAAGAAGATGTAAAAATACTCTACCATTCCTGTCGACCATTTCAGCAAATCGTTCACCCCAGATACCATTCTGACAGACGAGAGCTACTTCACCAGGTTCCAGTAAATTAACACAAGCTGCTTCCATAGCACCATGACCTAAACACAGACAATGATATAATATTAGTAAGTCCAGGAGGACCACACCACACACAAACAAAACACACAAGACAAACCCACGGACACACAAACTACATAGACATCACTACAAATTTATGTATCAAACCATGTAAATGGGTCCAGGGGTTCACTCACAGCTGTGTAGTCCTGGGTCGCTGTACTCAAGCCTGGAAATAAGGCACCTGTAACAGACAATGTCAGGCACAGATTCAGGCTTTGTCAGGCACAAAACCTCTGGTGCCTGTCATTTTGTCCGGCACTGATTTGTCTTTTTTATTGATATTATTAATACATGTACGGCACTAAGTTGAAAATGTCAGGTAATCTTTCATTAGTGCCTGACATTTTGTCAAGTACATCTAAAACCGTTATTTCCAGGCATGGCTGTACTCCTTACTAATACAGGCTACACCCAATATTAACAGCTACATTAAATATGATTTAATGGAGGATAGGTGAATATATATATTTATATTTTGATAGTATTTACTTCATTTTGGAACTGAAAGGTGACAGAATGAATGATTGAATGAATGAAGGAATGAATTGAGCAGGGATGGATGAATTATGCAAGGATGGCTAAATGAATGGATGGATGGATACATGTAGAAACAAATGGAGAAATGGATGGGCAGATGGATTGATTGGTGGAATGAATGGGATGGATAGATAGATGAAGAGAATGAAAGAATGGATGGAGATACAGATGGATAGGGTATGGAATAGATGGTGGAAAAGAATGAATGAATGAATGTATATCAGGAAGAAGCTTACCTGTTGCTGATACAACAAATGTCCAGGTATTTTGAGTTTGAAAAGCGTACTGTAAACCTTCTTTTACTTCATCCATGATCTAATAAAAATATAAATAAAATTACTAACTTTAATATTTAATAACTATTAGCAGCACTTTAACTAGCTAACAAACAATATATATAACTGCTAGCATTATTCACAGGACTTGCCAGGATTTAAGAGAGAGAGAGAGAGAGAGGGAGAGATAGTGAGAGAGAGAGGGGGTTTAACGGACACAAACTAGGTCATTTCGGTACTAACCAGGATTTAAAGAGATCTATTAATGGAGTATGGAATGGGAAAACTATAGGTTGAAAGTGAGTACCTAGTTGGATATATTTACCATTCAATGCCAAACCAATCAATTTGTATAAGTTCTTCAGGGATAAGATAAATAAATGGCCACTCAAGTATTCTAAATGATACACTTTTTTTTAAATTTCAAAAGCTTTTGAGAAACCTAACCATGTATATATTGTTTCTATCTAAATTAGTGTTTTTCACAGAAAATAGGAAGCAATATTTTTAATAGGTGTTCCGAAGAAGAAAAATTCAATTTTGTGTGGCCTATTTAGGGTCTTGGCCATTTAATCAGGGTGCTCCCCAAGTCTACAATTTTATCATACTAAACTTAGGCTGCCTGTCTACAGTTAGCTCCGCTTGTGAACAGTCACTAAGCTAGTTGACCGACATTTTAAGTCCTAATATCCACAATCTATGTATACTTCGAGAATTTTGAGAAGTATTTATTGAAATAAAATTGAAAAGGTTTATTTGTTCTTTGTATGTATGACAGATGTGAAACGGAGTTGAGAACAGCATTACAAAATAGTATACTCCTTTTGGGATAGGGCAGCCATTTAGGGCAGAGATTTATTCTGTGTGCGGAATGCAATTATTTCAACAGTAATCAGATCACGTATAACAAGAATGCTTGATGACCTTGAATAATATAAAGATAACACACCTGTACTAGTAGAGCAGGTAGATTATTATATGGTGGGGGTTTGGGGGGTGGATGGTCGAGTGGATAGCCTGTGCACGTTGTATCATAAGGTCTGTCATTGAGTCAACTGGCTTGGTTTCGATTCCCGGCACTGCTAAAGACACCTACGCGCAATGACCTAGTTTGTGTCAAGTGGACATTAGTCTCTCTCTCTCTTTCTCTCTATCTCTCCCCCCCCTCCCTCCCCCAACCAGCATTTTTAAAGGCATCCCTCTCACCTAGTCCCTGGTGGCTATATAGTTTATATGTTTTGTCCGCTGGTTTGTCCTTTGGTTTTTGTTCAGTCCTCCTGCACCTACTACTATACAGAGAATTATTGACAAGGAAAATACTTGCTGTCAGGATCAAGATAATAAAATCTTTCTTTTATTCTTTATTAGTAGATCTAAAAATATATTTATCTATGAAATAACTAATCTCTGTGTTATCGATGTCTTACAAATATATCTCATGCTTTCATCATGAACATCATGAGTGAAATAAAAATATATGGCCATGAAAGAATAATCATCTAGTTCATTTTATCTACCTGCCTCTCTCAATACCGGTAAACATGCACTTTCTTTAAAACTAAAACACATTTATTTTCAAACTAAGATCTTTACAGAGTAAAGTTTATGCATATAATCAAGAATTTGATGTCAAGGAATTTTGGTTACATCTCAAAATAATTTTTGTCCCTCAATTATTTAATGTTGCAAAAGAAATGTAAGGGTCTATATTTACACAAATGTATAATTTGTACTTATCTCATGTCTAAACTTGAGATTTTTAATATAAAATTTTGATGTCACATTGATCTTATGCATCTCACTTCAAATATTTTACAACCGGTTTATCAAAAAAAGAAAAAAAGGTACACACAGGTACACTATTACTTTGAACAGTGGTTTTGGGTTGGATTGTATTTTTTTTATCCTACATCCAAGAAAAGGTTCTACTTAAAGTAGCTAAGTCTCTAACTCAATATCATCAAAACTTTTCGACATTGAAAACACGAATTATTTGTCAATTCAAATCAACATTGGTCTTGTCATCTTACAGGGAAAAGATGGGCTTCTGATATCCAATTTTCAAGACAAAATAAACATTTTACCATTGGTACACGAATCGTGTACCATAATGCGCTTCAGCGCCATTTGGAACAAGGGACTCAAAGAACGAGGCTAGACATATTTCACAAGTCATGTCAAATGGTGACGCTATATTCTTATCTGGAGATCATGTACTGCAATAAATACCATCGGTTTAGACTTGAATAACCAGACTCTAAAGATTGTCATTCAATTGGGACTTCTGGCGTATTTCACCGAACATAACTGATTAGAAATTACAGTAAAAACTGAAATGACTGAATGTAAATCAGTTTATATTCATTCATATTACATTATTATATGCGTTGCGACCCATTTGTGTCAATTTCTAGATCCCAAATATTAGCGACTTAGCTCCTTTAAATCATTAGTTTTGTATTCCCTAGTTAATAATTATGCATTGTATAATAATGTATCAAATATCTGCATTTGTTTGGAGCTTTTGTTTTATCCTATAATAGCCAATAAATGTTTTTATCAAAATTATAGTACATGTATTTCTGTATTTCCCAGAAAATATAATATATACATTGTTTAACAATGTATCAAATATGAGCATTAACGATTATCCGCATGTTTTTACTCTGCATATAATTGCATATGTTTTAAATCTTTTTTTTATCAAGACATTTACAAAGAATAATGGTCCATATGGCAAAATATCGTCTGCTATTAGCATAATAAATAAATGAATAAAATATATCTTACCTTGATGAATTCTGGATGAAGATGACCCAACATCGGGAGAGCGCATGCTGCTAATATTCTGGGTGGGCAGTTAGAGGGACCTGGTCCCATTAAAGTTTTGTGGGGAAAGTCCAGGGGTTTGAGGAGGCATTGAGGGGGTGCGGATACTCCTGTTGATGACATCGTTACAGCTGACACACGTGTTGACTGACGTAGTTGTCGGAGTAGATGTCGCCGTAGGCCTATTATTGATCGAAAAGTTGTGCAAACGGCTGGGGACGACATAACGACCTATATTGCTAATCTATTTCCAAGATAAATATGACAAGCTCACAAGATAAATTACACTTTTGAAGGTACAAATTCATTTATCTCCTGACCCTTGACCCACCGAGTTGTCTCCCCTAATTCTCTGTCTTGATTAACCAATAATTATTCTTATTATCTGGGAAATCACGCCTACTAAATTTTAACCGGATGTTTACGTGTGGACAACTAAAAGTGATCTTTTTCCACTAAAAATTGTTCCGTTTCATGGGAATGCTTCACGAGTGGACACGTTTCAGTTGGGACTAGTTCAACATATGGGATAATTAGAAGTTAAAAATAGATTTACTGGTATCATATTTTAATATACGAATCTTCAAGCCTGACCTAAATTTGAGGTATTACCGATTATAGACTTAGTTTTTTAGGTGTTTTTTCAGAAGGCGTTGGATTAATTTGACATCAATTTCAATTCAAGTGATTGATTATTCAGAATTGAAAAACAAAACAACCCAGAGACACAGCTGTTTGAATGACAGTTGATTCTCAATAGGGATTTTTAGAATCAAACTTAATAAAATAAATTAAGGGTCTATAATGAATACAACCAGATATTTATTTCAACATAATATTTTTTTTTACTTGTGCGGTAAGAAAGAATGATTCAGCTTTAATTCTGTTTCCAATAGTAACGCTTTTTTTAGTTATTAGGGTTTCACACTGCGTAGCTTGTGTGAAACACTATTGTTTTTGTTAAAATTATTATTCTTATTATTATTATTATTCTTCTTTTGTTTTGAGTAGATCTCAGCAACTGATTGTCGGATCGTTACGATTTCTTCGGTTTTATCGGAAAAGTGGGTGTGACTTAGAGGATAAAGCTATTTTGAACGTTCTGCGACAATGCGAAATGTCCGAAATCACCGAAGCTATCGTTTTTAGAAATATTGCGGTAATTTTAACAATAATCATTGGATTTTAACTTTCGATGCATTTTGGCATAGCCGGAGACGGGGCACATAGCTACGCTACTTTTGATTTTTGATTTTCGGCAAATCTTCGCAGATATTAGGCGCTAAATTTAGAAAATTTAAATTTTTACAAAAAACTTTTTTATTTATGAATATTTTTTAGTCGTGTTTTACACAAATATAACGAGTCCTCTGACTTGGGCAAAAATGTGAAATTTTTTTGTCTCGGTAATTTTCCTTGGCCCCCATTGGCTAATTCAGTTTTTCAGTCCTAGATTAATTATTTATTGTTCGATTTGTATAAAACAAAGTTCATATGTCCGTTGTCTCAATTGTCATTTTTTTTGTTACCAATAGTGTTATCTGTCGGCACCGGAAGTGGCGTAAATTGACAAAAAACTACAATTTTGACAGTTAGGTACCATTTTTCGAAAGCAAATATTATTTTTTTCAAATCTGGTATAACTGAAATTGTGCGCCCTTTAAAGGCGCACAAAATGTTGGGACCAGTTTTTTTAATTTCGATTCCGTTTTCGGGCTATTTCGATTAAAAGGTGAAAAAAGGTGTAAAATTAAGCTATTTACAACCCATCCAGCGTTTTCATATTTTAAAATATTACTTCGTAACTTTCATAAACTCGTAGCAATAATCTATACGGAGAGAATGTATGTGAAAATTAATTTGTAATATGCGCAGTTGCCGAGAAATGGGCAATTATGCATGAGTCACTTTTTACGCTACTTTGCCTGTAAAAGAGTCAATTATTATTCGATTTTCATAAAAGTGACACCATTTGATGTGTAATGTCAATTTTAACTAGGTCAAACCAATTTAACATTTTCAATATCACCGGAAATGACGTAATTTGGGCAAAAATTGTATTTATAGCCTTCGAAACCAGTAATTTATTCAAATGAGTCATATTTGTTATTTGTTTAAAATTTTGATATTTGATTCAAATCAACTAATACAATGAACCCTTACGATCATATAGATATCACAAAATGGTTTCTAACTTGTTCAGTTGCGGAGAAATAGGCAATTTTCAACAGGTCACTTTTTAAGGTTTTTTGTCAATAAAAGTGTCAATTATTATTCGATTTTCATGAAATTTTCACTGTGTGATACATAATGCCATTTACGATTTCATACAAGTAATATAAGATTTTCATTATCACCGGGAGTAACGTCATTTTGGCAAAAACTGTATTTTTAGCCTTCAAAACAGATATTTTATTCAAATGAATCAGATTTGTAATGTTTTTTAAATTATGATATTTGATTCCAATCAACAAATAGAATAAACTCATTCGATCATACAGATACCTCAAAATGGTTTCTAACTTGTACGGTTGCAGAGAAATAGGCGATTTTCTACAAGTCATTTTTCAAGGTTTTTGGTCTATAAAGGTGGCAATTATTATAGGATTTACATAAAATTTTCACCATGTGATGATGCTATTTCTGATTTCATAAGCCAATTTAACATTTTCATTATCACCGGAAGTAATGTAATTTTGACAGGATCACTGACATGTAGCAAATGAATTGATTGCTGGATTTGGTTGTTTATTTCATGTGTGCAATGCTTATGTGGAAACCTGTTTAACGGTTTCATTGGTACCGTAAGTGACATAAGTTCAAGGGTAACGTGGCACCGGTGAAACCCGTCATTACTGCTTCGCAGTTCTAGTTATTCTTATTATTATTATTCTTCTTTTGTTTTGAGTAGATCTCAGCAACTGATTGTCGGATCGTTACGATTTCTTCGGTTTTATCGGAAAAGTGGGTGTGACTTAGAGGATAAAGCTATTTTGAACGTTCTGCGACAATGCGAAATGTCCGAAATCACCGAAGCTATCGTTTTTAGAAATATTGCAGTAATTTTAACAATAATCATTGGATTTTAACTTTCGATGCATTTTGGCATAGCCGGAGACGGGGCACATAGCTACGCTACTTTTGATTTTTGATTTTCGGCAAATCTTCGCAGATATTAGGCGCTAAATTTAGAAAATTTAAATTTTTACAAAAAACTTTTTTATTTATGAATATTTTTTAGTCGTGTTTTACACAAATATAACGAGTCCTCTGACTTGGGCAAAAATGTGAAAAAAATTTGTCTCGGTAATTTTCCTTGGCCCCCATTTGCTAATTCAGTTTTTCAGTCCTAGATTAATTATTTATTGTTCAATTTGTATAAAACAAAGTTCATATGCTCCGTTGTCTCAATTGTCTTTTTTTTTGTTACCAATAGTGTTATCTGTCGGCACCGGAAGTGGCGTAAATTGACAAAAAACTACAATTTTGACAGTTAGGTACCATTTTTCGAAAGCAAATATTATTTTTTTCAAATCTGGTATAACTGAAATTGTGCGCCCTTTAAAGGCGTACAAAATGTTGGAACCAGTTTTTTTAATTTCGATTCCGTTTTCGGGCTATTTCGATTAAAAGGTGAAAAAGGGTGTAAAATTAAGCTATTTACAACCCATCCAGCGTTTTCATATTTTAAAATATTACTTCGTAACTTTCATAAACTCCTAGCAATAATCTATACGGAGAGAATGTATGTGAAAATTAATTTGTAATATGCGCAGTTGCCGAGAAATGGGCAATTTTGCATGAGTCACTTTTTACGCTAGTTTGCCTGTAAAAGAGTCAATTATTATTCGATTTTCATAAAAGTGACACCATTTGATGTGTAATGTCAATTTTAACTAGGTCAAACCAATTTAACATTTTCAATATCACCGGAAATGACGTAATTTGGGCAAAAATTGTATTTATAGCCTTCGAAACCAGTAATTTATTCAAATGAGTCATATTTGTTATTTGTTTAAAATTTTGATATTTGATTCAAATGAACTAATACAATGATCCCTTACGATCATATAGATATCACAAAATGGTTTCTAACTTGTTCAGTTGCGGAGAAATAGGCAATTTTCAACAGGTCACTTTTTAAGGTTTTTTGTCAATAAAAGTGTCAATTATTATTCGATTTTCATGAAATTTTCATTGTGTGATACCTAATGCCATTTACGATTTCATACAAGTAATTTAAGATTTTCATTATCACCGGAAGTAACGTCATTTTGGCAAAAACTGTATTTTTAGCCTTCAAAACAGATATTTTATTCAAATGAATCAGATTTGTAATGTTTTTAAAATTATGATATTTGATTCCAATCAACAAATAGAATGAACTCATTCGATCATACAGATACCTCAAAATGGTTTCTAACTTGTACGGTTGCAGAGAAATAGGCGATTTTCTACAAGTCATTTTTCAAGGTTTTTGGTCTATAAAGGTGGCAACTATTATAGGATTTACATAAAATTTTCACCATGTGATGATGCTATTTCTGATTTCATAAACCAATTTAACATTTTCATTATCACCGGAAGTAATGTAATTTTGGTACCGGAAGTGACATAAGTTCAAGGGTAACGTGGCACCGGTGAAACCCGTCATTACTGCTTCGCAGTTCTAGTTTTTTTTTTATTTATTGATTTATTTATTATAAATTCAGTTGTACATAGGATACCTGATTGAATGTATTTATGGTGGACACCACAGCTGGTATTATAATTATTCAGTAGACAGATACGATATGAATCGCCTGATCGAATTATACTATTCAATATACTGTCATACATGTAACATATTAACAGAACACAATATGGAAAACAGTCACTGGTTTTATTCTAAAAGCATCACGTTTCAACATTTAAAAATGCTCCTGTTATCATTATCAAGCACAAAGATTATGCACCGTACATGTGGATGGCGTATGTTTATTGGTGTGTTCATTAAGCACATGAATAAACATTAAATGTAAAAATTATAAAGTTGTTTGAATTCTGGGGGGTTGGATGGCTGAATGGTTAGCACGTGCACGCTGTATCATAAAGTCTGTCATTGAGTCAACTGGCGTGGTTTCGATTCCCCGGTTGTCCGTGACAAGGAGTAGGGTCGCCTGTCCATCCTCGTGGGTTTTCTCTGGGTTCTCCGGTTTCCTCCGACTGCTAAAGACCCCTACGCTAAAGCGATTTATTGAAATAACCTAAATGACCTAGTTTGTGTCGAGTGGATGTTAAACCCCATTTCACTCTATCTCTGTTTAAAATCTCATATTTCTGTAAGTGTAATTCGATCACATCAGTCCATTACAGATACTGTTTTTCTCCCACTGCTAAAGACCCCTACGTGCAAGAGAATTATTGAAATAAAATTAAAACATATGTTAGTCCCGAAATGACCTAGTTGTGTCGAGTGGATGTTAAACCCCATTTCTCTCCCTCTCTCTCTCCATTACAGATAATATACAGTAGAATCTGTATGAGCAGCCACTCCTATTCAGTGACATCTCCTTTTAAGCGGTCACGATAAATTCCCCCCGTAAAAATTCTATTGTTTCATCTCTTTATTCAACGGTCACTCCTCTAACGCTGCCAGCGGTCATTATTTTACTAATAAATTTAACAAAACATCGCCCATTCAATGGCCATTATTGAATGATACCATCTTGTCGTTCTTTGTAACACCCCGCTAATTCCCTGGGTAGTAGTTAATTAACTGAACCCCACTGATCAGGTAAAAAGAAATGTGAAAATAACAATAAACCCGGGATTATCTGTTAATTAACTAACCTGATCATTGTTTACATGCGTAACGAAACATTATTGGATACTGATTGAATAAAATAAAAGTACACAGGACCCTGTTTTTTTTGTACTATTCAATTGACTGACAGTGTTCCTTTCTGGGCTCTCTGTCATCCATCACTGAAAAGGGAAAATCCAAAGTTACCGATACTATCTTGGTCAACACTGCGGTCGAAGCTGAGTTCTCCTGGTAAATGAGCTTGTGTCGGCCACAAAAGAAAATGATAAAATTGACATATACATTACTGCTCTATGATGTGTATCATATCGTGACCCGTGTATTGCAATACGTGTCATATTGTGCCCCACTAACAAATTTGTGTGCCAACTAGCTGATGACCAGGCATTGCAAGGGATGAAAGTAGTACAACTCCGAAACCGGAAACAGTAGTCCACCAACGCCAACAGACCGATGTAGCTCCCCGTTCCAAGCTACCCCTATTCACAAAAGTTCAGCCTTGGGACAGACCTAGCGTAGCTGGCATCTCTGAACAGACCGACAGACAAACACGACAGTCACAAATATCAATATTAAAGATACATTATGTAAGATTTAGATAAAGTGCTAGTCATTCTTGCTATAATAGTTCGAAAAAAGATAATGTAAAATTGATAATTTGAAAATTTCATTTAAATTACTCTATTGCGAGCAAAGATATTAGCCTTTAAAGGTTTGACAAGATGTGTGCAATAATTTCAACCACCATACTGGTTGTTCGAAGCTAAATTAAATCAAAATATGGCTGAACCGTTCTAATCTATTTAATATCGGAGAAATCCGATGCCATCGCGAGTTGATTATGGTCTGGATAAGTTAATTAATGTCTAATTAATAATTTATATAACATTTCAAGCCTAAAGAAAGACTTGCAATAGGCAGATTTAGCTCTTGTATAATGTATGTTTAATATAGATAATCAATAATATACAGTATCTTTATTAGTTTGGGTAACATATTGGAGAAAGATAGTAGATCTATCTACATTGTATTACCCAGTAATATTTATTATCAGGATTCAGTATTTAACGATCACTCATTCACATGAATAAACTCTATCATTTAAAATAAGGCATACACACACATATCTATGATAAAATTCATAATTTGATATAAAACATGAATATTGTAATTAACATACATGTAAACTGATTTAATTGAGTTGAAATTTCAACTTCATATTGAATTGTTTTATATATTGATGTTTCAAGTTAACGTTGCATGTAGAAATTGTAAGGATGGAAAGACCTTTTATTTTACGGGTAGATTTTGAAATGTAATATTTAACAACCTGCAAATTTTACTCTCTTTTCAGATATATTTGATGCTAATATGAACCAGAGTACTGGATAATAGAAACTAAAGAATTGGATAATCTTATCCAAAGAACTGGATATTATAAAAAATTTATATAAAAGTATATCTACTTCACTTATTTCAGTCATGACTTCGAAAGATTCCGGGACAGGACGTAAAAGAGGACGTCATTTAGTTGAAGGAACTGGATTCGAGAGTAGTGACTATTCTCCTCATTTTCCGCTAGTGTCGTCTGTTGATCAGGGAGATTTTACGGATTTTAATGACAGTAAAGATAAAACAGAGATGTCAAATCTGAAGGGTGATTACGGCAGTATAGCATTATTGACATTTTTGTACATACTACAAGGAATTCCATTAGGACTCGCAGGAAGTATTCCAATGTTATTAACCAGTCGACATGTAAACTACAAGGATCAAGCCTTATTTAGTTTCGTATATTGGCCATTTAGCATTAAGTTGCTATGGGCGCCATTAGTAGACGCTATATACATTCCATGGTTTGGTCGTCGTAAGACATGGCTTGTTCCAACACAATATATGATTGGTTTATTTATGTTAGTGTTATCCTATCATGTTAAAGATGTTATGGGCGATGGAGACGATGAAGGTCGTGTGAATATTTTATTGTTGACTGTCGTATTTTTTATGTTGAATTCTCTGGCTGCCACACAAGATATAGCTGTTGATGGCTGGGCTCTCACCATGCTCTCTAGGTAAGTTACATGTAGATAACTGTAACCCAGGTATCATTTAATCTTGTGTATCTAGCACCAGTTTTCTTTTACATTCGTTTAATAACAAATCTTTGTTTAAAAATTCATAAAAATCGTTTAAAATCACCAAAAATCATCTAATTTGTACTTGTGTCCAGTTTAAAGCTGACTGATTAATTTTGATAATGAGTGTCCAATTTACAAGTATTTAATTTCCTGACCACTGTTCAATAATTAATCATACATCATAATCTATTGGGTTGTTTATTTTTTAACAGTGATTGAGAAATTAAACACTTGTAAATTGGACACGCATTATCAAAAGTACAAATTAAACGATTTATGGTGATTTTAAACAGTTTTTACGAATTTGGATTCAATCCCTGTTGTGAGCGTATGTGGCGTGAAGAAGATAGGGGCACCTTCTCAACCTCATGGATTTACTCCGAGTACTCCGGTTTCCTCCCAACGGAAAGACCCCTGCGCATGCTCTTAAGGTAATAAAAACGAAAATAGGACAACTTGTCTGCGATATCACCTTCGGTGGAAGCAGACGTTAAACACGAAGAACAACAACAACCCCATTATGTGTAGTAGTTGAGGTTTTCATATTTGACAGAATTCTACCTCAAATAACAATGTCCCAGGTTTAAATCTTGGCAGGAACTGAGAAGAAGCGCTAGAATTTTTCCATCCTGGGCCTGACAAGTCAAGTGAGTCTGATCTTACTAATATGACATAGAAATCAGAGATCCATTTGCGTACATTGACATGGATGTAAAAGAAGCCTTGTCAGTTAGAAACCAAAGAGGACTAGGTAGAAATACTGCTGCCTATGCAAAATTCTCCTGTAGAAATTATGATAGTTTCAGAATGACTAACTGAGATGTTAAGACGTTAAAGTCCATCCTTGGTGGGGTTGGATGGCTGAATGGTTAGCATGTGCACGCTGTATCATAAGGTCTGTCGTTCAGTCAAACGGCGTGGTTTCGATTCCCCGGTTGTACATGCAAGGGGAAGGGTCGCTTGTCGAAGCTTGTGGGTTTTCTCCAGGTCATCCGGTTTCCTCCCATTGCTAAAAAAAAACACCAACGAGCCAGCGAATTATTCAAATAAAATTGAACCATATGTTAGTCCCAAAATGACCTGGTTTATGTTGAGTGGAGTTTAAACCTTCCCTCCTCTCTCTCTCCCCCTCCTCTCTCTCCCGCCCCCCACCACCCAGTCTATTTTATTCCATTGTTTTATACAATTTTTATAACTTAAAATATATTTATTTTACTTTCAGGCGTAATGTTGGATGGGCAAGTACATGTAATTCTGTCGGACAAACAGCAGGGTATTTTTTAGGAAATGTTCTGTTTTTAGGCCTAGAATCTGCTGATTTCTGTAATAAATATTTACGTTCCGAACCGCAGAAAGAAGGGATCGTTACTTTAGCAGGTTAGTTTTTAATTTAATTGGTGAACATGAATGACCATCTGATTTGGTTGAAGCAGCTGGGGGTTGAATGGGTGAACACATGCACTTTAGATCATAAGATCTGTCAATGAGTCAACTGGTGTGGAGTTTGATTCCGAAGTTTGTTTCGGACAAGAAGTAGGACCGCTTGTCCGACCTCGTGACAGTTGGAATTCACTGAAGATTAGGTGAACAATGGGTCAGTATTTCCGTCACAGTGTATGTCTATCTTCATTAGCCCAGTTGGTGCAGAAAAGTAGGTTGTTAAACCCCACTTTATTTCATTTCTAAGAGAGAGAAAGAGAAATGAGGTTTAAGTCCAGTCGACACATACTAGGTCATTTCAGGACTAACATATGGTTTAATTTTATTTCAATAATTCGCTTGCGCGTAGGGGTCTTTAGCAGTGGGAGGAAACCGGAGGACCTGGAGAAAACCCACAAGGTTGGACAGGCGACCCTACTCCTTGTCACGTACAACCGGGAATTCGAAACCACGCCAGTTGACTCAATGACTTGCTTTATGATACAGCGCACACGTGCTAACCATTCGGCCATCCAAACCCCCTTTCATTTCTAAGAAGAGTATGCATACATCAGCGTCGCTCATTATTTGCAGCTACATGTAAATGGTGGGTCCCAAAATTTTCTGTTTTCTGCAGAATGTCCAACCACTACATGTATATGTATTGGGAACTAGACCATGTACCACCATTGGACAAATTCAATTTTATAATTTTTAATATACCTACAATCCCATTCTGTTGTTGCTGTTTTCTTGTATGTTTGTTTATTCTTTTCAGGTTTTCTGTATTTCTGGGGAATTATCTTTTTTATAACAACAACATTAGTTATGATAATCAAACGAGAACGAATGGATCCTGATGTCGACCCAGAGATGGGAATTTTAGAAACGTATAAAATATTATTAAATGTCATCAAATTACCATCTGTACTGTCATATACCGTTATTTTACTCACATCTAAGGTAAGTAACAAATTACATTGGTTCCCTCATATACAGTTATTTTACTCGCATCTAAGGTACGTAACAAATTACGATTTTCTCGGTAGTGCACAGTGGCTCAGTGAGTAAGCCACTAGCTCGCTAACCAGGAGCTCTTGGGTTCGTCCCGATGTTGGTTTTTCCTTGTCATATGTACGGGACAGAGTGGCACAGATGGGACAAAAAATCGACATCCTGTGTACATATTGCAATGCAAGTAAAAGAGCCCTTGACAGTTGGCATTTGAAAAAAGAGTAGGCTGTAGTGACACTGTTCGGGCCAAATTTCCCTGATAGTAAACTGTTTGGTGTAACCATGTCTTCATGAGCCCAGTCGGTGCAGAACAAGGACATAAAACCCCAATCTTTTCATATACTAAGATATTGTTACATGGGCAGTATTAGCAAAGCCAAATTGTCCAAAACAGCTGTAAATCCACCATATTGTCTTTTAAACATACATTATGCAAGAGCTAAATCTGCCTATTGCAGGTCTTTCTTTAGGCCTGAAATGTTTTCTAAAGTATTAATTAGACATTAATTAACTGATCCAGGCCTTAATCAACTCTCGATGGCATCAGATTTCTCCGATATTAAATAGATTAGAATGGTTCAGCGATACTTTGATTGAATCAAATATGGAGGACCGAGACTTTAATAGCTTCGATCAACCAGTACGGTGGTTGAAATTATTGCACACGTCTGTCAAACCTTCAAAGGCTAATATCTTCGCTTGATATAGAGTAATTTGAATGAAATTTTCAAATTATTCATTTTACATCATCTACTTTCAAACTATTATAGCAAGAATGGCTAGTTCTTTGTCTAAATCTTACATAATTTTATCTTTAATTCTACCTGTCTCAGTTGGACAAGTAATAAATTGTAGATGTAACGTCTATATTTTACTTTTACAGGTAGCATTTGCAGCAACAGATTCATTAACAAGTTTAAAATTAATAGAATCTGGGTTTCCAAAGGAACGTTTGGCAATATTTGCCATTCCTATGATACCCATACAGATTATTCTACCTATTGTTATTAGTAAATTTACAGCAGGTCCACGACCAATGGCTGTTTTTCTTAAATCTATACCATTCAGGTACAGTAGTAGCTTTTATCTAATTATTAATGGGGAATATGTATTAAATGCCTGAAGATGTTTTGATGGAACTGAAAGCGCTAGCCGCATAATACTGTGTTTCTTTCTCCTCAAGCTGCATTACTTTGTTTCACGGTAAACGATGAAAAGATAAAAGGTATGCCGACACAAACTGATTTCAACACTGGTTTAATAACATATTAATGCATCCGTCTTGGGACTATTCATAAATAATGTCATTGCATAGAGATGGACACCATAGTATATTTATACATATTTACATAGTAACACTATATTGGCTGTTGTTGCATAGTACATAGGTAACTAATAGAAAACATTGACATTTCAAAAGAACATGAAATTCACCAATGTTATTCTTGTTGTATTTTCTTTCTTTCAGAATTTTATTAGGTGTTTTCTATGCTGGTCTTGTTTATCTATCACAATACGCCCAGATTCAACCAGGAGAATTCGCTCTTTATTTCTATTTTATATTATTAGTATGTTACGCTTTACATCAGGTAGGTAACATTGGATTTTATATAAAAACGAGCAACAAAATAACCGTCTTCATTAGCCCGATCGGTGAAGAAATGCAAGACATTAGACCCCCACCCCCCATTTTATTTTACAGCAAAATGTTATTGGCAGTATTAACTGAAATGAAATGGGGTTAAAACATTTATTAGACGTTTATTCACAAGCCTATAATCAACACTCTAGATCAGCAGTTGAGTTATAATGAGATATAATGTTGAATATTACAGGTGTTATAAATAATGTTGAATATTACAGGTGTTTGTGTATAGTATGTTTGTAAGTCAAATGGCATTCCATGCTAAAGTCAGTGATCCATCTATTGGTGGTACTTATATGACTTTATTAAACACAGTGGCTAATCTAGGTTAGTAATATTTAATTGTTTACGTTTCAATTTGAGCTGTACAGGGTTTTTTTCTCTACGTTTTTAGCGGGGATAGTTAGTTAGCCGAAAGGTTGAACATGTAGATCATAGTGTTTGTCATTGAGTCAAGTTTTATGGTTTGGATTTGTATGTGTTTTGGAGTAGGGTCGCCTGTCCATCCTGCTTGGACCTCGGGACTTTTGAAGTGTCATTCAACTTTGACAATATTGGGGGAGCCACAGTGGCTAAGTGGCTAAAACACTGGCTCAGTAGTCTGGGGGTCGCGGTTTTGGCAGAGAAAGTTCATCAGGATTTTCCAGCATGGTTTCCCCTAGTCAGTTGTGCAGGATGGAACGCCGGACAACAAGGACGAAAAACTGTGGTCCTGTGTACACATTGGCGTGCCCGTAAAAGACCCCTTGACAGTTGAAATTCGATATAAGAGTAAGCTGTAGGGCCGCTGCCCAGATAAAATTTCCCTCATACAATGTAGCACACTGTATGGCGTATGCCCGTCTTCATTAGCCCATTCATTTCATATCACAATATTGTAGTTTACAAGTGATTTAGATTCCTCAAAAGAAGCTCAGAGATTTTCAAGCCATAGATCAATTTCAAAAACATAACACAGGATTAGTACGTTTGTAGGATTAAATTAAATTAATACACACATTGGTTTAAAAGTCACTTTGTTCCCTATACAGTACAACCCATTGTCCAACAGTACAACCCATTGTCTAACAGCGGGTTGGGGAAAGTGGCATGCACGTTAGATAATGAGTTCTGTCATTGAGTTCCCCGAGTGACTTCAGTTTCACACTTGTACGTGACAGGGAATGGTGTCGCCTGTCCAACCTCATGGGTTTTCTGCGTATCCTCCCGTTTTCTCCCAATGACAAAGACCTATTGTTAGTCCAGAAATGTCCTGGTTTGTGTCGAGTGGACACTAAACCCCATTTCTCTGTGGTGGTAATTATTTAATTACATTTATTTATTTTCAGGTGGTAATTGGCCGGCAACGTTAATGCTATGGTTGGTTGATTTAATCACATGGAAGTCATGTGACGGGGGCGTCGGTGATTGCTATATCAAGGGAGATAATGTAAGTAAAAATGTTCATCAATGAACAGACACGGAAGTTGGGGTTTCAATATTTATCAAGTGCTAAAGGTTTATAGTTGTTCCCGGGGGTTAAATGGCCGAATGGTTAGCGTGTGCGCGTTGTATCATAAGGTCTGTCATTGAGTCAACTGGCGTGGTTTCGATTCCCCGGTTATACGTGACAAGGTTTTCACTGGGTCCTCCGGTTTCCTCCCACTACTAAATTATTGAAATGAAATTGAACCATATGTTAGTCCCGAAATGACTTAGTTTGTGTCGAGTGGACATTAAACCCCATATCTCTCTCCTCTTATTCATAGTGCACTGTATGGCGTATGCCCTTCTTCATTCGCCGAGTCGGCACAAAAGAGTAGGACGTTAAACCCCATTTCTGTTCCTTATATGGAATTGTTTTCAATTGTTGTTTACTGATATTAATGTGGTTATTTCAGACGTGTAAAGAAAATGGTGGTTCGTGTGTAACGACAGTTGACGGTTACTATATAGAAACTTGTCTATGTGTTATGATTGGATTGCTCTGGTTAAAATGGAGGAGTCGACGTCTAAAAGAACTTGACGCTTTAGACGTTAGTGCCTGGAAGTGTGATTACTAAATCTCATGAATATGCATAATGCATCCATCTTTTAAGACTTTTAAACCAGTCATCCTCGGACCTGATTCTCAATGGTTGGAAAAGAGGCGAATATTTAGGACTAGTGTTGAGCCGGGTTTCTCAGAAGATTTGCTGTTTTAACAAGATATTCAGAAAAACATGGGTCCAGAAGTAGTTAAAGACAATTTTAGTCCTGATCTCAATATACGGAAATATGACCATAGAAAATAATTTATTAATAAGCATAAATACAAGAAATTCTATTAAATCATAATTATTTGTGAAAGTTACATTTTCAGAATATTTCAGCCATTTTTTTCAGAATGATATTTTCACAGTAACTGCCAAACTATGAAATAACTGAACAATTTAATTATGAGATGTACACCCTCACAGAAATTCAAATATGCAAAATAAATCAAACAATATTTGGATATTTGTGAGTGGAACTCAAATTAAATGCAGTATGAGTTATTTCAATAGGTAAAAAACCCCAAAAACCCCAAAAATAAATTCAGAATAGTTAATTTCATTTCATTTTGTTTTATATTTAAATGGAGTTTGTACATATGTAATCAGTCTAAAAAATAAATTGTTGCATGATATTGTTGCGTATTGTTGTATTTGCTGAACTGCTAAGAGAAAATGAAGATGTTTTAAAATTTTTGATTGTTTAATGCCAATTAAAAATGTGCTGGTGGTACCCCCATTAAAAAGAAAATATAAAAATTAATGTTTGTAATTTTCCTTTGAAGCTAGCCATAACTATGTTCTACCGTTCTGATTAATGTTAAGATTCAATTATTTCTGTTCATTGTGTTCCTTTATCCAGGACAGACTCCAAATCGTGTATTTCGCTGAGAACTTCTGTGAGAGAATCCATGCACCACCACTGATTAAATATAGGGCCGATATTATATTTATGAACTAATTGAAGTTTAAGTTTATAAGTTTAATTGTTGTTACGTCTATATTATTTTGACCAACAATAGTTGTTTTTTATTTATGAGACAATCTTTCATTGAACGAGTAACACTTCTAAGTGGATACCCAAAATGGAGAGAGAGAAATGGGATTTAACGTCCTCTCAACACAAACTAGGTCAAGTTGCTACCATAATAAACAATCTATGTTATATCTTTAAGGGGGTTGGATGGTCGAATGGTTAGCACGCGCGCGCTGTATCACGAGGCCTGTCATTGAGTCAACTGGCGGGGTTTCGAATCCCCGGTTGTACGTGACAAGGAGTAGGGATGCCTGTCCAACCTCGTGGGTTTTCTCCAGGTCCTCGGGTTTCCTCCCACTGCTAAAGACCCCTAAGCGTAAGCGAATTATTGAAATAAAATTAAAAACCATATGTTAGTCCCGAAATGATCTAGTCTGTGTCGAGTGGATGTTAAACCCCATTTCTCTCTCACTATATCTTTAAACAAGAAAACTTCGCACAGAATAAAATATTTTGGAAGAAATTTTTAATATATTCATTTTTCATTATCTATTTTTTAACTTTAATAGCAATAACAGCCAGCTCTTTTACTGGCATTTAACATTTGACTTCTAATACTAGAATACTTGGTATAGATACAATTCCTATGTTTATTACACTGCAGGGTATTATCCAAACAGATTAAAACACACATCCTATTTCGTTTTTATAGTTCAATAGTTTTATTGGTCTGTACTACACTAGGATCTGGAAAAGTTGTTATATAACCTGCGTTCTGGATGGCGTAAAGGATTAGCCAAATGAAACAGTCTGTTACGGTGACTTCTTGGCATGCGATGCACGGAGCTGTGGGTAAACCACTAGAAACATCAACGCTGATTGATTAATCAATGTTTGATGTCATAGAGTCAAAAGCCACTCATGTGACCCCTGCCACGACCTCCCACTACAACCGGTTAGATCTTCATGTACTGTAGGCCATCGAAAGTATAAAAAAACAAAACAAAATTTAGATCTGTATTTTAATCAGATTGAGTTTTATCACGATTTCACAAATCGTTTTCCATTTACGAGCAAAAAACCCCAACTAACTTAAGTGTGAAAACCACTTGTTAAACGTTGTAATAAATGTATTGATTGTATCCATATTCTCCTACTATTAATTATTTTTTATTCTGACATATTCAATTATATTTCTTTTACATGAAGACATCAAATTGAAATATATATTTTGAAAAAAGACAAAAATAAAATAATAATTTCTTATATTTGTTGTTAATGGTGTTTTGATTAACAGGGCAGGCTACGGAAGTTATGATTAACAGGGTAGGCTATGGAAATTATGATTAACAGGGTAGGCTATGGAAATTATGATTAACAGGGTAGGCTATGGAAGTTATGATTAACAGGGTAGGCTATGGAAGTCATGATTAACAGGGTAGGCTATGGAAGTCATGATTAACAGGGTAGGCTATGGAAGTTATGATTAACAGGGTAGGCTATGGAAGTCATGATTAACAGGGTAGGCTATGGAAGTTATGATTAACAGGGTAGACTATGGATGTTATGATTAACAGGGTAGACTATGGATGTTATGATTAACAGGGTAGACTATGGATGTTATGATTAACAGGGTAGACTATGGATGTTATGATTAACAGGGTAGACTATGGATGTTATGATTAACAGGGTAGGCTATGGATGTTATGATTAACAGGGTAGACTATGGAAGTTATGATTAACAGGGTAGACTATGGATGTTATGATTAACAGGGTAGACTATGGATGTTATGATTAACAGGGTAGACTATGGAAGTTATGATTAACAGGGTAGACTATGGAAGTTATGATTAATGATTAACAGGGTAGACTATGGATGTTATGATTAACAGGGTAGGCTATGGATGTTATGATTAACAGGGTAGACTATGGAAGTTATGATTAACAGGGTAGACTATGGATGTTATGATTAACAGGGTAGGCTATGGATGTTATGATTAACAGGGTAGACTATGGAAGTTATGATTAACAGGGTAGACTATGGATGTTAAGATTAACAGGGTAGACTATGGATGTTATGATTAATGATTAACAGGGTAGACTATGGATGTTATGATTAACAGGGTAGACTATGGAAGTTATGAAGTTTCTATGGTAGAGAATATTAACGGCATTTCAAACTCACTTCGAAAGCGATCAATGTAAGAATTAGTTAACATACAAAGTCTCTTTAATTTTCATTGTGCATGTTTCGGGGGTTGGCTGGTCTAGTGGTTTAACATGTGCGTGTGCAATCACAACGTCTGTCATTGAGTCAAGTGGCGTGGATTCGAATTCCTTGAATATGACCGTAGGCCTATTCTCAGGTTTCCTCCTATACTGCTAAAGACCCCTACACCCAAGCATTGTTGAATTATATTGAACTATATGTTACTCCTGAAATGACCTAGTTTGTGAAAACTTGTAGGGGAAACCGGGGCACATTGAACCAGTTTTTTCACATACATGGTTGTCCTCCTTCCATATCAAATGTTTTTATTAGAAGATCTGTTTACTTAATTGTATTGTTTGAAGACATATCATAGTTGCTATTGTGTATCAGATTCAATTCAATTAATTTTTAACTTTTTTAAAAAAACACATTTTAATCCACTTGACCGTAATTGTTCAATGTACCCCGCTGTACAAAATAGTCGGGGAAGGTTTAACCACATAATGGGGCACATTGAACAGTGGTAAAAATTCCATGTTAAACATAGATCGGAATTTGGATCACAAACCTTGTCACTTGTTTCCTAGTGGTCTAATGAATCTGCAAACAATCCATGTTTAGTTAAGAACAAATATCCACAGATTTGACATCCGTGCAACGATCGATACAAGCAGGAGTCCGGTTTCCCTAGGCTCCTACAAATCGCCGTAAATTGCACTTAAGTTGGCAGTCCAGTGGGATAGTGGGATCCCAGTCAACTTTTGCCGTGAATCAAACCAACATTTGTCCAATATTCTGTCTAAATTTGGACAGCCTGATTTGCTGACAAGCGACTCTTAGTCAGGGAGACCCATTGCGCCCATGTATGTGACAGCCAAGTTTCGAACACTGCTCCCATGAAGTTTTAATTCCTTTTATATGACAGGCCTACTGAGTTGGATCAATTGATATTCTAATATTGTTTTTATTTTCAAAGATATTACAAATTATCAAATGATATATAAACTATAATGCACTGGGGTACATTGAATCAGTGGTTCAACATACCCCATTGACAGTGGTTCAATTCAATCTGCCACATCACAGTTTTATGATCAAAATTTTAAAAAATTCAAAATGGATCAAGCCCTTATTTATCTGGATTGTAGATATGAACTGATTGTAAGTACAAGAATTTCCTAGGCTGAACAAATCATCAAATGATATATAGTCTATAATGCACTGGGGTACAGTGAACCATGGTTCAAAGTACCCCATTGACAGTGGTTCAATCTGCCCCATCACAGTTTCATGATCAAAATTTTAAAAAAATTCAATATGCCCTCTGTGGATCAAGCCAGTGACCGCCCTAGACTCTTAAAACCTTTAGCCAAATTTTTAGCCAAATCAAAATTTTATTAGCCAATTCAGAAAGTTTTAGCCAAATATTTTATATCATTTTTATTCATATGTTTGTTAATTAAAAATGAAAATAAATGTGTGTGTGTGTTAGTTGTATTTTACGTCCGCTTCCACCGAGGTGATATCGCAGACAAAATAAATGTTTAATATGTACTTTTATTTTATGATCAGTGTTATTCCACTGGCTAGTTGTTTTTACCTAAAATGATTGTAAAATCATAAAATAAATAGAACATTTGTCGTTTTGTTGTGAATAACATATTTTATTTCATCTCTAAGCAAGAAAACGTTTATATTTTCACTCATGCTACGCATTCGTGAAAATATAAGTTTTCTTGCTTCTCGATGAAATAAAATATGTTACTCACTCTAAATCGACAAATATCCTCTATATACAGTACACAAGAATATTATTTTATCTCCTTGTTCATGCAAAAGTTCACGTTATTGAGAGAATGAATGCAGATAACAAAAAAATGTTTATAGGACGTACTTCACAGTCACATGATTTAATTTACTTCATCGTCATAACAGAAAAGACACGACGATTCTTTTTAAGACACCGCTGATTTGAAATTTATGTCCGGTCCATCCATTTTTATAAGCATGAGGTCATTGAGGGTTAGCTCGACGGTCTCGGTTAAAGGTCTAATTTTTGTCCACATGTTGATGAAGCCAACGAAGGACTTGCGTCCGAGATGACACGCTCACTCACGGAAGTAGATTCTGGACTAACAGTAGTCGTAGGAAGGAAAAGGGAATCTATCCTTATTTTGGGTTTACTAGTATTAGTTGTCATTAATGTGCGTTTTATTTATTTGCTGCGTAAGTAAAGAAAACTTGTAGTGAAGCGAATGTAAACAACGCAGTGCCACACAAAAGGGGCGTAACTGTGTTTTATAGTCTCCAGACTCGATCTTTCGGTCGTTTTAATGCGTAATAGTTGTAATATTGTAAATTGACTGATTTGCGACTTGTAAGATTGAGACTAGAGTAATTAATGTACTAAAAATAGACACTCCATCGAGTCGATCGAAAGAAGCGTTTAACGAGACGATTTCAAGTTTAATATTAGCAGATTTACGAAATAACACTCTCTAAAATTCATTCGCCAAATATTTCGCCAGTATCATCACTTTATTCGCCAATAAAAATAATTGTCGCCATTGGCGAATTGGCGAATGTCTAGGGCGGTCACTGGATCAAGCCCCTGTTTATCTGGATTGTAGATTAGACATATATGAACTGATTTTAAGTACAAGAATTTCCTAGACTAAACAGTTAACAAGTATGGAAAATGATAAGTGGAAGTAGTGCATTTTCACTTTTAAGAGCTCTTTTGAAAAAATCATTGCCTAAAAAATAATTGACAGCATGTTGCTACTGCTTATTGATGGGGAAATAGGTCTAAGAAGTTATCTCACTTCTGTGTAGTCTTGGGTTGCCTAGTATTATTTATAAAGGATATATCCATGGTGGTTCAATGTACCCATATGTTCAATGTGCCCTGGTCTCCCCTAAATGATACAGGACAAAAATGAAATGAAATGAAATGAAATGGGGTTTAACGTCCTACTGGGCTAATGAAGACGGGCATACGCCATGCTATGAGGGAAATATAACCGACTCATATATCGAATTCCAACTGCCAAGGGATTTTTTAAGTGCATGCCAATGCATACACGGGACCTCGTTTTTTCGGACCATCCAACCTGCATCACTGACAAGGGGAAGCTACGCCAGAAAATCCCAATGAACTTTCTCGGCCAATAAGGCCAGGGATCGAACACGCAACCTGTCTCACCCACTCAGCCACCGTGGCGGGGTTCCTGAATCCTGATACAGCACAAAGTTTGGGCAAAAATTGTCTATAATGTAGGTTGTTAATTTTCTTGTTTTACAAGCAAACATGAAATATCTCACGAAGCAAATTTGCTTTAAAACGAAACAGTAATACATATTTTACTAAGTTTCAACAAATATTATTATTATTATGATTTCAATCAAGGGGAGATAACTCTCTTTTTAAATAGAGTTACATCCCTTGAACAAGACTGGGGGTATATAGACGTCATTGGGTGGAACATGTTGAACTAAGAAGCATGGTAATAATCTGTGAAGAAATGGCAGTAAAAATCCAAAGTACAGGTAGTAATAATGATTCTATATTATTCTATAGTCAGTTAAAGGACAAGTCATGGCTGAACTAGTTGAAGCGTATAACAGATCGATTGACTAATACTTTGCTCTGATGATTAGAATTAGAATTCGAAATGTCTTGTGAAAAAGTGACTCAAAGTCGTCAGCAGAGACGAGTGGAGTAGGCCGAGCCGTATATGGTATACACGTATTGTACAGTCAGAAGGTATCATATTTACATTTAAAGGGATAGTACAGTCAGAAGCAATATTTACATTTAAAGGGATAGCGTTTTATATTTATATTTTATAATAAAATGTACAATTGTTAATGCAAAATTGTCAGGGGGTGGGGGTGGGTGGATGGCCGAATGGTCTGTGGCGTGGTTTTGATTCCCCGGTTGTATAAGCCTATAAGGTTCATGGTTTTACGAGACAAGGATTAGAGTCGCCTGTCCAACTTGTGTTTTTTCTCCAGGTGCTCCGGTTTCCTCCCACTGCTAAAGATCACCCCTACGTGCAAGTGAATTATTGAAATGAAATTAAACCATATGTTAGTCTCAAAATGCCATGGTTTGTGTTGAGTGAATGTTAAACCCCATTTAATCTCTCTCTCTTTTGTGCCAATTATTGTCAATATCATTTGTAATTTAAATTGTCAAAAATGCCCCTCATAATTTAGTATTGAGAATATGGTATATAAATTATGGCCATCGGTTGAAATAATGGTAGGTTTGGGTAAATCGTGCTACCCCTCCTGATAATGACAATTATTTGTAATGATAATGAGGCCCCTTGATGATCGAGGCAAATTATCGCAGAAGTCAAATGGGTTTTCTACGGGTCCTCCAGTTCCCCCCACTGCTAAAGACCGCTACGCGCAAGCAAATTATTGAAATAAAATTGAACCATATGTTAGTCTCGAAATGACCTAGTTTGTGTTGAGTGAACATAAACCCATCTATCTCTCTCTCCCTCTCTCACTCTAACATTAAACTAAGTTTTTTTCGGCTTTTATAATTCTCACAGCATTTATTTTTATTCTTTCAGAATATTGAAGAAAAAAAGAATGGATGATAAAATTGATTTTAGAGTTGCATTAATTGTTCGTTTCATTTCTTTTATTTTATGGATGGGGTGTGGATAGAATGTGGGGGAATTAACTGATGCTCAAAATGAATGTATGAGGGTTTTTATTCCTATTCAAACACCTGAACTTATATATATTATAGTTTAGGGCATGGGATCCATGTCAGACTTATATATCGGTCAAGACCTAGGGCTGTGGAAAATGACTGTAACTTCATCTGACCTATTTAAATATTTTTCAATGATGATGAAATGGCTTCTCAAATCGTAGATAAATGTATACTTGCAAATACAAAAGTACAAAATTTTTAGTTTCAACAACAGTCCTGCACCACTGACAAGGGGGAGCCAATCTGATCAAAATAAAGATCTATATTTTTTTTTTTTTTTTATACTTTCGTTGGTCTCTACTACATGAATATCTGACCCGTTGTACTGGAAGGTCACATCACGGTCATAGTAGTGACTTTTAACCCTATAGTGTCAGACATTTGATTAACCAATCAGTGTTGATGTTTCTAGTGGGATACCCACAGTTCCGTGCACCTCATGCCAAAATATCTTGCCGTAACAGACTGTTTCATTGGTTAATCCCTCACATCATCCAGAACGTGGGTTATATGACAAGTAGAACAAAATTTTGAACAATGAAAAATGAAACGAAATATGATCTGTGTTTTAATCAGATTGAGAGGGGGAGGGGGGGGGCAGATTGGTGAACCTACCCAACCTACAGCAGGATCAAACCTGGGACCCCCTTGTTAGTGAGCCAGCCCCTTATTCACTGAGGCACAGTTGTGGCTTCTTGGGTTTAAGAATAACTAGAAATGTGTCATGCGAGCAAACAAAAAGCTCTGCAAGTCCGTACTGAAAATAAATTCAAAACAAAATATTAATTTTAAATAGAAACAGATTAATTATTTTGTTTTTATTATTTGTTCAGGCAGGTGGAGCTGCTGGGACTTCAGCTGATATAATCTTGTATCCATTGGATACGATCAAGACCCGTCTGCAGAGCCAAAATGGTTTTATTGGCTCTGGAGGTTTCCGTGGAATATATTCAGGCTTATTCTCTGCTGCTCTTGGTTCCGCACCAACAGGTAAAAAACTAAATACAGTCAAGTTAATGGTGACGAGTGAGGGGGGTGGGGGAGGGTATACGAATGGTGAGCATGTGCGAGTTAAATTGTATCATAAAGGTCTGTCATCGAGTCAACTTGTGTGGTTTCGATTCCACGGTTGTGCGTGAAAGGAGTAGCGTCGCCTGTCCAACCTCGGTGTTTTCCCTGGGTTCTTCGGTTTCCTCCCACTGCTAAAGACCCCCTATGTGCAAGTGAATTATTGAAATAAAATTGAACCCTATGTTAGTCCAGAAATGACCAGGTTTGTATCGAGTGGATATTAAACTCCATTTCTCTCCTCCCTCTCTCTCTCTCTCTCTCTCTCTCTCTCACCATTATCAATTAATCATAACATTCACTAAGTTTATTAACTTCAACATTTCGATGTGAACGCTCTCACCATTATCAAACACTGATAACATTCACTACGCTGTGTATAATTTATTTAGCCTTTTTTTTTACAGCTGCCTTATTTTTCTGTACATACGAATCAACCAAATATGTTACAAAGACTGTGATTGGTCCAACATGGGAACCGGTTGCTCATATGTCAGGAGCAACAGTTGGGGAAATTGTAAGTAGTAGAGTTACTCCCCCTTTCATATCTAATCATTTTGCTTTAAACTATTTCTATATTTGAATGAGCTCCATTTCATTCATCAACCTGTTTGGCTCATGTTGGCCCCACCCCACCCTCCACTCATTATCAATCATTCAATGTTTTTAAAGTGTTCTTACCTCAAGATTGGGGGGTTGGATGGCCGAATGGTTAGCACGTGCGTGCTGTATCATAAGGCCTGTCATTGAGTCAATTGGCGTGGTTTTGAATCCCGTTGTACGTGACAAGGAGTAGGGTCGCCTGTCCAACCTCGTGGGTTTTCTCTGGGTCCTCCGGTTTCCTCCCACTGCTAAAGACCCCTATGCGCAAGCGAATTATTGAAATCCCTGCTCACTTCTGACAGTATGTCATAAATAAAAGAGCAACCATGGTAACTGTGACATAACTATCAAATGATTTCAATATTGAGGTGACAATCGCCCAAGGGTTGATGGTACTGAATCTCTAGTCAATATTAAATCAGTAACCATAGTAACAATGATGGTATTGAATCTCTAGTCAATATTAAATCAGTAACCATTGTAACAATGATGGTATTGAATCTCTAGTCAATATTAAATCAGTAACCATAGTAACAATGATGGTATTGAATGTCTAGTCAATATTAAATGAGTAACCATAGTAACAATGATGGTATTGAATCTCTAGTCAATATTAAATGAGTAACCATAGTAACAATGATGGTATTGAATCTCTAGTCAATATTAAATGAGTAACCATAGTAACAATGATGGTATTGAATCTCTAGTCAATATTAAATGAGTAACCATAGTAATGATTGGCGGTACTGAATCTCTAGTCAATATTAGACATACATACAGAGCTAAATCTGCCTATTGCAGGTCTTTCTTTAGGCCTGAAATGTTATATATAAACTACATGTATTAATCAGACATTTATTTACAAAACAAGACCATAATCAACTCTTGATGGCATCAGATACTCAAGATTTTAACTGGATTAGAATGGTTCGCCATTTAAAAATTTAATTTAAAAATGGAAAAGCGAGGCTAAGTCTTGAATATACCAGTGCCCAGGTTACCACAATGCACACATCTTATCAAAACTACAAACCGTGATAACTTGGCTCAGAATGAAGCAATTTGATTGAAATTTTCAATATTTTCATTTTACATTACCTATTTTTGAGCTATTATAGCAAGAATGGTCAGTTATTTATCTAAATATTACATAATGTATTTTTAAATGAGTAACCATAGTAACAGTTGATAGTACTGAATCTCTAGTCAATATTTATTTTTAGGCAGCATGTTTATTACGGGTTCCTGTAGAAGTTGTAAAACAACGAGCTCAAGCCACGTCTGGTATTTCATCACTCTCATCTTTAAGAAAAACCATAGCAACCGATGTAAGTTGAATTATATTTGGTGAAAAATACAAAAACTAGTCCTAAATATTAATCACGTAATCCCAAAAAAATAGAGAAACAATGTGTGTGTGTGCAAACTGAAATAATCATCAGAACTGAAATTTATACACAGTGTTTGATATGGTCCAGATCAAGTTTATACATTTACTTCAACACACACTGTAACCAAGGTATCTTTTAATCTTGTGTATCTAGCACTAATTTCTTTCACATTCGTTTAATATCAAATCTTTGTTTAAAAATTCGTAAAAATCGTTTAAAATCACCAAAAATCATCTAATTTGTACATGTGTCCAGTTTAAAGTTGACTGATTAATTTTAATAATAAGTGTCCAATTTACAAGTATTTAATTTTCTGATCAATGTTCAAAAATTAATCATTATACATCATTAATCAATTGGGTTGTTTATTTTTTAACAATGATTGAGAAATTAAAACACTTGTAAATTGGACACTCATTATCAAAATTGAATGGTCAGCTTTAAACTGGACAGAAGTACAAATTAAACGATTTACAGTGATTTTAAACAGTTTTTACAAATTTTTAAACAAAGATTTGATATTAAACGAATGTGAAAGAAATTAGTGCTAGATACACAAGATTAAACGATACCTGGGTTACAGTGACAACACAAGGTATATATGTATATAACTATTTTTCAGTTAAGTGTCGAGTGGACAATAAACTCCATTTCTCTCTCGATCTTGAGACTACACTGTCCTCCATTCACATTATTACCTTTTCATTATCTATGTTTTAACTATTGTAGCGAGAAATGTCTGGTCTTTATCTAAATCTTACATGTTTAATTCTATTTGTTTTATCATTCAGGGTCTTTCAGGTCTTTATAGAGGTTTTTTTGTAACCGTTTCTAGAGAAATACCATTTTCACTGATCCAATTTCCACTGTGGGAAATATTTAAAGTAAGTTCCATCAGTCAACCAACCTCGTGGGTTTTCTCCTGGTTATCTATCCGGTTTCCTCCCTCTGCTAAAGACCCCTACGCGCAATCAAATTATTTAAATAAAATTGAACAAGTGCGTTTGTCCTGAAATGACCTAGTCCTAGTTTGTGTCAAGTGGAGTTAAACCCCATTTCTCTCTCTCTCTTTCCATCTGTCAAATGTTTCAAATTGAATTTACAAAAAAATTTACTTCTTAAAGTTATTTCTACTGCTAGGTATTGATTACGCAAATCCTGAAACAGTGAATCATGCGATACATAGTGCCAGGGTTGGTGCTAAATAATAAGGCCAGCTCAATTTTATCGTGATAGGTCGGTCAGGAGATGTAAACAGAGTTAGCGCTAATCCCAACCCTAACCCCGAACCTAGCCCTAATGCTAACCCTAACCTACAATCTCGCCAACAATCACGTGCCCTAACCTTATTTACTTCTCAATGACCTTGACAAAAATTGAGCTGGCCTTAACAAATAGATTTAGCCATTGTGCCAGCACTAGTTGATTGTATTTAAAGATACATTCCTGTGTACAAACTGGGTGATTTAATGGTATATATGGACTAAAAACATATTCAAACTAATTAATTTGTCATAATTTTGCTTCAAATCCTTCTCAAACATTGTAATTGCCAAGGAATCCCCTGCTATAAAACTTCGTTCAAATCGGGTCATGTGACTTACATCTCTCAGACGTCAGAGGAGATTTCATTGCATACATAAGACGATGTTGTCTTTAATCGCTTACTATTTATTACAAATATCGAATCCTAATTAAATTCTTGGATTATCCACTACCCGCGTCGTTTTCCCTCATTTTTATCTCAAAAAGTGTTGTACGTCTAACTCTTCATAAAGTTTATCAACTTGTACATCAAGCGCTCAATGTTCAGGTGTGACCTTTGATATCACGCGTGCAGAAATTCCTAATCCTCGGGCTGTCCATTAGGGGAACCCTTACATTTTTGTCCTGTATACGCTCCATGAGTGTTTTTCGGAGAATCCAGTATTTTTCTAGTAAGATTGGATATCTCTACTTTCCATATATACCAAAATTACCATACTTTTATTGGAAATAACCACCCAATAAATACTTTTCTGGGAACCCATCTTTAATGTCTACTATGAATGAAGATAGAAATTTGGGTGTTGGGTGGTTGAATGGTCTCGCGTGTGTGTGCTTTAGATTAAAAGATCTGCCATTGAGTCGAGTGAGATGGTTACATGACAATGTACGTGACAATGAGTAGGGTAGCCTACCCAACCTTGTGGGCTTTCTCTAGGTCCTCTGGTTTCCTCCCATAACTAAAGACCTGTATGCTCATGTAAATCATTGAATTTAAATTGAACCATGTTAGTCCAGTTTCTCCGTTGATCTTTATGTTTCCGTCTCTCTCTCTGTTGTAGAAATCGTGGAGTAATAAACAACAACAACCAATCAAAGCATGGCAGTCATCTTTATGTGGTGCAGTAGCAGGTTTCTTATTTTACCTTATTTTACTTTTCTTACAAGATACTTCCCTTGTACAAACTCAATGATTTGATGATATATTTGGACTAAAAATATATTCCAATTAATTAATCTATCAACTAATTATTCTTAATTCCTTCTCAAAACCTTATATTCACGAGGAAATACCCCTAGCCATAAAAATCTATTAAAAGAAGCCATGTTTTTGTGACATGACTTTTCTGTCACTGTACCTAGCAACGGGTGCAAAGCCGAAGGAGAAATCATTCATATAAAAGACATTGTTGTCTTTAATCGCTATTTATTTATCATACATATCAAAGCCTAATTAAATTCTAGGATAATCCACTGCCCATGTCTTTTTCCATGGTTTTTATCTCAAAAACTGTTGTACCATCAAGTTTATCAACATATACATCAAGCGCTACTCAACGCTGAGAGATCAGGCAATCTTCGCATGCAACCTTTTGACGTTACCGAGCAGGCAGCCCTTGATCATCAGACCACCAATTAGTGACACCTTCTCATTTTTGTCCTGTGCATGCTCCATGTTTGGTTTTTTTCAGGGAATTCAGTATTTTTCTAGAAAGATTAGGTGCTTCCACTGCCCATATATATCAAAATTGCCCTACTTTATTGGAAATGTATGTATTTTTAAGGTGGAATTGCTGCAGCATTAACAACACCTTTGGACGTAGCAAAAACTAGAATTATATTAGCACAGGTGAATATATCTATATATTGACGGCTACACTAGGGCTGTCCCGAGCCTCAAATGTTGGGAATAAGGGCTGGGGGAGTGACATATGTGTCAGAATTATACTATTCAAGAAAGTTCTGTAATGCATCCTCTCAGGGCTCCGCCCGTTGAACGCCAGATAAACTGCTAATCTTTTTAAATACCAACCATATTGTAATACAAATCTAAAACCTCCTCGGTTGTTTTAACAAGCAATTAACAACTACAAATATTCCAGTACTACTTTTTCACTTGGACACTCTTTGGGTCTCAATTTTTTTCAAATTTTAAAAACCTATAAAATATATCACAGTTTCACCACAATGATGGATCAGTTCGAATTTCATGAAAATCGGATCAAAACTGTCTGACACAATGACTGCAATCCTGGTATGGAATACATGTACCTTTCACTACCAGGTACTTCAAAACCTTGGCTGAGTTTGATCGTGAACATTTTATGCTTTTAGACTAAGTATAGATAATCAGTTTGATTGCTCGATACTTTTGAAAAAGATAACTGTGCAATTAATTAATATGTGTCATCTGGGGACGTCAGCCTCACTGTCGGCTTGTTTTTATTTAACACAGTGGTAGTATTGTTTCTTACTGTTTTACAGTATTTTTATTTATTTAATAGAGTGGTAGTATTGTTGCTAGTGGTAACATAATGGTGGCATTAAAGGAAGTCTATTTACAAAAAGGTTTTACTGGGTAAGTTTGGTGGTTGTTTTTCTCCTCATTCTCCGGTTTCCTCGCACTGCTAAAGATCCTGATGTTCAGGCACATTATTGACATGAAATTGAACTATAAGTTAGTCCCAAAATAACCTAGTTTTTGCTGAGTGGATGGTAAACCCCATTTCCTTCTTCATTCCCCCTTGCAAGTGGTACAGAAAGGATGTTCAGATACAACAACAAACCTGAGGTCCTGTGTATACATCTCTCTCACTGTTTCGAATATGCCGGGCTTCATTAGCCTATTTGATGAAAAACCCGAGGCCCCATGTAAAAGAATTCTCGACAGTGGGAATTCAATATATGAATAGACTGTAGCAAAATATCCCTCATACCACACTGTATGGCATATGCCCGTCTTCATTACCCCACTCGGAGCAGAACAGTAGGATGTTAAATTTCATTTCTTTTAGGGGTGCCCCAATGTGTACACAGGACCATATTTGGGTTTTTGTTTCCCATCCAAACAACTAGATACTAACCCTTGCCAGGCCCTCTGTCCTGCAGCACTGACAGGCCCTCTGTCCTGCACCACTGTGTGGTGTTAAACCACATTTCATTTCATTTAAATGCATTCTGTATCTTCAGGTTATGGGCGGGAGTGGCACCAAGAGTAATGTGGATTTCTATAGGTGGCGCTGTATTTCTTGGTGTTTACGAGAAAGTTTGTATAGAAGCTACAAAATATTATTCTTGATGATTTATCTGTTGTGTAGGACAGTTAGAAGAAACATATAGGTACTATATAAAATATTATACTGCACAGAAGAGATGTGATTTCGCCGTATACATTCCGGACCTGTCCTACTCTATATTCCAAACGTCCTACCAGGTATATGCCCAATCGGACATCAAGATATCTGCCAGTGGACACAGTCTACGGCAGCTGTATATAATATAGAACTAGATGTGTATATATGTACAGTGTAAAATATAGTACTGGACAAGAGAGACTATAGTTTCCCTCTGTAGTGTGTATAAGTACAATATAATACTGGACAAGAGAGACTATAGTTTCCCTCTGTAGTGTGTATAAGTACAATATAAAATGCCAGACTGGACAAAGCAAGTTTTATGTGAATAACGCTACTGAATTGGTTGAGTTAACTGACTTTATAAAATTATTAGAAATAAATATTAACACAGTGAGAGATAAATCCAGCAAGATGAAATGGCCGTGAAGCTGATATCCCCAACCTGCCTCCAGAGGTTCAACACTCTGTCCCAATTGGAATCAAAGTTATCGTCTTCAAAAGTCTCAACCAATGAAATCGCTTAGCGTTAACGGGAAAAAGATTATCATCTAAATCAGTCAAGACATTCACCTACACCGATAATGAACAGACAGACAGGTAGAGGATAATAATTCTAAAGTTTCTGTTATCACTTCATTTGTTTTCATGTTTGGGCAGTTGGATGGCTGAACAGTTAGCGCATGCACATTGTATCATAAGGTCTGTCATTGAGTCAACTGTTGTACATGACTGACAAGGTGTAGTGTCGCCTGTCCAACCTCGTGAGTTTTCTCCGGGTCATCCAGTTTCCTCCCACTGCTAAAGATCCTACGCGCAAGCAAATTATTGAAATAAAATTGAACCATATATTAGTCTCAAAATGACCTAGTTTGTGTCAAGTGGATGTGTTTTCATGTTTAATTATGGACTGTGTAGGGAGTAAACTGCCATTGCGGATACTGCATCACATAATGCGTTCACAAGTAGACTAATGAAGATCTAATTAATGTTAAACATGCATTATGCAAGAGCAAAATCTGCTTATTACAAGTCTTTCTTTAGGCCTGAAATGTTATCTAAATTATCAATTCGACATTAATTAACTTATCCAGACCATAATAAACTCTCGATGTCAAGGCTAGCCTTCGATGTTGGCTGGATTAGATTCCTAAATGCTGCTAACGGCCATTGATAATTAAATAAAAAAAGTGGATAATCGAGACTATGCTGTTTATATTAATGATTTTAGTAATGATGACCGAGACTATGCAAAAATTTCACCCGTTTCTTTCTCGGCTCATAGTGGATCAATTTGACTGAAATTTTCAGCAAATTACCTTTACACTATCTAGTTTTTAACTATTATAGCGAGAATTGCCATCTCTTTATCTTATCTCCCATAATGTATCTTTAATATAAATATTCTTTGATGAAAAGTCTTTTCAAAATATTATAATGATGATGATGATATATATGATGTTTAATGATGTCTAACGTTGTCTAACGATTAACTGAAAAATACAAATATAAATTCTCTCAAAAATAACAGTAAATTTCAGCTAATAGACTACCACTGATAAATATTCTAATTACAACTAACACTGGCGGGTAATAAACTGTTCAAGCCAAAGGGATGGGGTTCAAGATACAAAGACATGGGGAATATTTGATATAAAGGCTTTACTTAGTATAAAACCACCAGGTAAATAAAATATAAATGGAAAATAGCATACAAAGAATATAATTACATAAATCATTCAACTCTTAATAAGAAGACTGACAGTTCAAAAAGTAATTAAAGGGAGACAACTAGCTTTAAATGATCAGTGTAAACAATGCTTCCATGCCATGACAAAAATGCAACAGAGATACGACTGACAAGCCTGATATACAATATCAATTAAATAATACAAATGATACAAATACCGTGTTTTATGCCCCTAAACTCTCTAACACTGGCTGAAAATGACAATATACTGATAAAACCATACTGGTTGGTACTCGAATGACAACAATATTAACTGACAACCACGAGACCAAAATGACTGCCAAAGTTACAATTGCATGGTGCGGTTTTCTTTTAGCGGGAAAATAAGAGTCACATGACTCTTTGGGTAATCAAAAAATCATGAATATAATTAATAATGAGACGAAAAATAAAAAAATAATATTAAAATTAAAATGAACAATAAAAATTACTTTTAAGGTTTTCTGGCCATAACACACCGGCCTCCTAATTGTATCGGGTAAATTTGATCTTTGCAGACGTCCACCAACCCTTAACAGATCATTTTATAAATATGGGTCTAACTTTAAAAATTGTACTGTCCTTCTTCAAATTTAAAGATCTCTTTAATTTGCTGATTTCTGATGAAAAATGGCAATTCTGGACATAAATTAAAATTCTTCTTTCTGCTTCTTTTAGAGATTCAACTGATAAATAGAGAATCTCCTACCAGTCTTTTTTGATATCAAAAAATATCAACACAAGTTGATAAAGTAACAAAAAACGAGGAGATTTTATTTATCACCCAATCCCTTCTTACATGCACAAATAGATAAATATAATTCTTTGCTGTAGATTTCACTTTTACTGAACATTACCGCGTAGTGATACATCATTTTTTTGACAGCAATTCAACCATTGCAAAGTCCTTTATATTGACCCAGTGTTTCCATCAAGGTCAACTGAATAACAATAGTTCATTTTTAATAAAAAAAACAAAAAAAAACTTACTTTTAATAAGAAATGAACTGTTCTTTGAAAATAAAAAAAAAGTAGTTCCTTTTCAACTGACCAATCAAATTCATGTGACACAAGCGATATCTACTGTAGAATGTATTATTGGGTGATAAAGATGAAATCTCATTCATTTTATTATCAGGTTGATTAATTGTTTGTTTAGAATCTGTTTGACGTTTTCTCTTCATATGATTTTGAAGATTTTTCAACCAATTAAAATCCATGCCATGGTCTTCTTTAACTTTAACAATGTTGAAGGATATTCAAATAATCTATGCATGATGTTATCCTTATTAATGTCAGTTACGACAATTTGCTTCTGAGTATTCTTAACTTCATTGTCAGGAAGAATCAAGGGTGCTGCTAAACCAAGTGGATCGTACACTGAGCATATTGTGCTGAGGATACCTCTTTTAGTTGCTGGTTTCTGTTGTATGTTGATTTTAAATCCTAAACTGTCATTCTATGCTGACCAGTAAACTCCAAGCACAGTTTCTGTGGGGAGATCATCAAAATCGAGACTCAAATTTCAAAGTTCTTTGGCTTGATCCTCTATTGGTATTTTTCTAGAACTTTTCTGCTGTTAATCATCCATTTTGATAACTGAAATCCACCATTATGACAGATGTTTTTTAAATCATTTACTAATGCAATGGCTTCTTATTCAGTTGGAACGGATTTCAAACAGTCATCTACATAGAAATTTTTAAAGATTGTTTGAGCTGCTTCAGTGTTTAAGTATGTCTTAAAACCTCTAGCTGTTCTTTGTAATGCTGATATGGCACAACTAGGTGAAGATGTTGCCCAAAATATATGAACTAACATTTTGTAAACTATTGGTGGCTTATCAATATCACCATTTGGATACCATAGAAATCTAAGGAAATTTGTGTCTTCGTATGCTACATAAACCATATAATACATAGAAGTAATATCTGCAATGATGGCAATTGGTTCTAGACGGAATCTTAATAATACACTGATTATTTTTACTGGTTAAATCAGGACCACTTAACAACATCTGATTCAGAGATATGCCTTGAAACTTTGCACTTAAATCAAATACAACTCGGATTTTCTTCTTACAAGGATGATAACAGGCGTGATGAAGCAAGTACCATATTCTACCATTATCTTTATTAAGATCTTTAAGATCTTATGTCTTCCATAAATTTGGTATAATCTTCTCTGAACTGTGGATTTTTAGATAATTTCTTCTGTAAATACTTAAGTCTCTGTTCGGCTTGTAATCTGTTATCTGGAAATATAATGTTATTATATCTAAAAGGTACATTGATTTGATAATGACCATTTTTTGTGTAAATTATAGTAGAATTTATCTTATCTAAGAATCTTTTATCTTCTACGCTGTTTTCTTTTTTGTCTTCTGTCAGTTTTTCAGGAAAGTCCATGTTGATGGCTTTAGGTACCAGTTGTTCTAACTGTTCTGTTTCATTTATGACATTTACTTCACAGCGATTTGGGAGCCACGGTGGCTAGGTGGTTAAGACGCTGGCTCACTAGCCTGGAGGTGGGTGTTCGATCCCTGCATTGGCCGAGAAAGTTCATCCTGATTTTCCGACGTGGTTTCCCCTTGTCGGTGGTGCAGAACGGAGGGCCTGACAAGGACAGCTGTCTAGCCCTTCGGATGAGACGGGAAATCGAGGTTGTGTGTATACATTAGAATGCATGTAAAAGATCCCTTGGCAGTTGGAATTCGATATAAGAGTAGGCGATGGTGTCGCTGCCCGGGCAAAATTTCCCTCATAGCACACTGTATGGCGTTTGCCCGTCTTCATTAGCCCAGTATAGGAGCAGAACAGTAGGACGTTAAACCCCATTTCATTTCATTTCATTTCGCAGGGATTTACTATAATTGTGTTGTTCTGAACTTGGTTAGCTGACGATTCTCTTATTACGTTCCATACAGACCATCCTAGTTTTGTTCTGGATGCGTGAGGACTACAAGAAGGACCTCTAATAACTTCCAATGGGGTATAAGCATCAGGTATGTTGTTTCCAATTAATAAACCTATCTCAGCATCTATTTCTGGTATGTTGATATTTTGTAAATGTTCCCATTTCTTAATATCTTCCTGAGTTGGAATGGATTCTTTAGTAACTGGCATCTCATCTTTAGTATAAACTGTTGGTAAAGGAACTACATTATTACTATTGAGATCCAAAGCTTCTAAATTATGCAAGACAAAAGTCTGTAGGCTGAAAGGCTTCCCCATTGTTTTTAAAGATATTCTTTTCAGACTGCTAGTAATTCCTAACTGTTTCATCAGTTTGGTGGTGCAAAATGTAACACTGCTTCCACTGTCATGGAAAGCATAAGTTTCAAATGTTTTTGCACTGTTTTTAACTTGAACTAGAACTGGTTTAATATTCATTGTGCAAAAAACGGCCTCCGTATGAAGACTCCATGCTGTACTTTGTTATGGATTTCTATGGCTTTCGTCAAATTCAACATCATGAAATATCGTTGGATGTCTTCTCTCATATATAATACAAACTTCCTTTCTGCGACAAGTTGTTATACCATGGCCTAACTTTAAACAACCATAACATAAAAAATAAGGCTTAAGAAAAGCTTTTCTGTCAGCACATGGAGTTTTGATGAATTTATTGCATTTTAGTAGTGCATGGTTATCTTTTTTACAAAATATGCATGGTGTTTTCTCTGTTACGTGTGGTTCACTAAAATGTTGACCTGCAAATGATGAAAGTGGGTTCTGCTTTGGTCTTGCAACAGGTTTATGATATTGTGTTGTCTTGACTGATAAAGCTTCTCTACCATAAATTGGATCGTTGGCCTTTTTAGCTTCTCGTTTTATAAATCTAACTAAATCGGCAAATGTCACAGGTTGATCATCGTCATAAATGCTATCTACAATGTTTCTCCACTTTTCATGCATGTAATATGGAAGTTTTTGAACTAACTTGGTCATGTTTGCTGGATATTCTAAAATTTTAATACTCTGAATGTTATTAACAGCTTTATCAATTTCTGTATGGAATATAGCGAAGTTATCTAAGTCTTTCGGTTTATCAGGACGTATGGATGGCCATTCAAGTGCTCTCTTTGAATATGCTGATGCAATGAATTTGTCGTTTTCGTACCGTTTTTCCAATTCTTCAATTGCAGCTGGAAACCCATATTGACTGTCAAGATGACTATAACCGCTAACAATTCGATTTGCTTCACCTAACGTGTATTGCTCTAACAAATTCATTTTTTCATTTGTATTATCTAAAGTCTCACTGATGAATTTTTTGTATGTCATCACATCACCTGCAAATTTTTTAATGTCACCTTTAGGTTTCCTTAATTCTTTTACTGTCAACATCATTTCTTCCGTTGTCGTCATTGAAGCGGAATGTCTCACTGGATCTATGTCTTTTAATTCCTTAGGGGTAAGGCTGGGAATCGATATGAAATTTCAATATCCATTATCGGCAAGAATTTGTGAGCGATTATCGATAATATCATTTCTCCGGAAAAATCCGAACTTTACCGACCTGTTATTTGTGTTGATCGAGTTACAGTAGTGTTATTATCCTAGTCTATTAATGTAAAATAATTACATGTAGTTGCTAAATGTAGGACTAACTTGAGTATTATTCTATGTTTTGTTCTTGATTCATTTGAACCTTTTTTTATTCCAATATCTCCGATAAATACAAAGACAATACATGGTTTCTCTTTGCAAGTGACTGGCGATCACACAGTGTTACTAATAATAGAATAAAATATAATAGAAGGCGTCTATTGATTGGACAATAAAAAAAATAATTACGGGCTTTCAAAGCTGACAATGACAATATACTGACAAAACCATACTGGTTGGTACTTGAATAACAATATTAATTGACAACCACGAGACCAAAATGACTGCCAAAGTTACAATTGCACGGTGCAGTTTTCTTTTAGCGGGAAAATAAGAGTCACATCACTCTTTGGGTAATCAAAAAATCATGAATATTATTAATAATGAGACGAAAAATGAAAAATAATATTAAAATTAAAATTAACAATACAAATTACTTTTAAGGTTTTCTGGCCATAACAGACTGCAACATTCTTTGTTTGGAGCCGTCTATTGTCTAATATCAAGATGATCGAGGAGATGCATATTTATTTTCCGTTTGGATAGTACAGTAGGAACATGTCTGTAGACACAAACCATTACATCCCCAATATCCATCTTTACGACCAGTCAAACAAACACCATTTAATTGTCGACATGTACCATTACAGGTAGAACATGATTCTTCACACACATCACCATAGTAACCATCTTTACACCGGCACATTTCCCCGTTTTGGTACTATATTTACCATCCTTACAGCTATGGTCACAAGCAGACTAACACGAATCACCATAACCATCTTTACATCTCCCTGTTTTGGCGTCACACGTACCATTCTTACAACTGTTGCTACACAATCCTCAAATTTTCTCACAGGCGTTGTTGAAGCAGTTCGTTGAACATCTTTGGTTACAAAAGCCATCAGGACAATTTTCTACACATTAACAATATTAAAAACATATTTATATTTGTATTTTTTGTTTAAAAAAAAAAAGATTACAATTAAGTTTAAAATACCAAAGAAGTCACCGTAGCTCAGAGAGTAAGGTGCTGGCTCGCTAACGAGGAGTTCCCCCTGGGGCATCGGAACGTAGGAGGGGGGGGGGATTGTCCCCCGGGCTCCTTTCGCAATACTAGGAAAATGTTTGACATTCTGGTACAGAAGAGATGAAATCTGGTGTCTTCTGGTCAGTTACCATTTAAACAGAGAAGAAAACAAGAATATATTTGGTGCAATAGTGAGACAAGTGTCCCCTGCTTTTGAAGGCAATGGGCATTTGCCCACAGAGTCCCGCTATTCCGGAGCACCTGGTTTCAATCCCGGTGTTGACCGAGGAAGTTCGGCAGGTTTTTACTCCTCAAAATCAATAACATACTTTTTATCTCTAAAACAAATAGCTCGCTATCCTGGAGGTAAAAGTTCCTTTAGCAGTTTGAATTCGATACAAGAGTAGGCGATAGTGCCGCTGCCCAGGCAAAATTTTCCTCATAGCACACTGTATGGCGTATGCCCGTCTTCATTAGCCCAGTATAGGAGCAGAACAGTAGGACGTTAAACCCCATTTCATTTCATTTTCTAAAACAAATAAATATTACAAACATCCCACGGATGCACTGATTCATATTAATATCCTTACCTGGGAATATTTGTATCTCGCATAGATTCAGTATTGCTGGTGTTCCTTTTACAGATATAACAGCAAATTTACCAGAAAAGGATGGTACAGCTGGTTGATTACATCTCTCTATGGTATAAACAGATTGTGCTGTTGATGTGTGATCTTTATAACATGCTGTAGCTGATGTAAATCCTGCTTCATCACAATGACCACTAGAACTCACTCTAATTTCAAATCCGGTTAGTCTGGATGCTTTGGAAACAAAGCAGAAACTATCATTATATTATTTCCTGGGCGATTATAATATTTGATCAAACCCACAGTATGAAAGAGAGAGAGAGATGCGTGTGTGTGTGCGTGTGCAAACTCATGATCAGTCATTTGATATTGGGCAGGTGACCCTACTCCTTGTCATGTTCAAGTGTGTGATTGAAACCAGGCCACTTGACTCAATGGCAGTCCATATGATCTATAACGCATCCCTGGCTTAAGCTGTGGGAGGGACCCAGAGAAACCCCAGGTGGTTGGGCAGGCGACCCAACTCCTTGTTTTGTTCAAGTGTAGGAACGAAACCCCGCCACTAGACTCAATTGAAGATCATATGATCTGTAACCCATCCTTGGCTCAATGTATATTGTCAGTTGTGAAAGTGAATTAGATTAGATCTTGAATAATACCATGGTCTACTCTGTTGAATATCTTCATACTGTGAAGAGGGTAGCGCCAATCGCCCTACAATACAAATAAAACTATGATAAAATTAACAAATTAAAATAAACTCAGTAAGGCGGGGCGCCCCCTAGAGGGAAAGGCTAATAAAACTTTAAAGTAATGAATCAGGGTGTTAGCGTAAAAATGTCCCCATAGAGGGTAACGCAACACACCCTGAAACTCAACGAAATATTTTTTATTCTCTCTTCTCGACTTAATAAGTATTGATTGTAGATCATATTAAGTCATCATATATTTATTATTGTATTTCATTAACTCCAAAAAAATATTAAATGTATATTATATTAACTTACCATTAATGTAATTCTTGAGTAATTTCTCTTCTTTCATTTATTATTCTTATTTTATTATTTGTTTATAATTCATTGAGCAATTTCTTTTCTTTTCTTCCGCTTATTATTTGTTTATAATTCATTGAGCAATTTCTTTTCTTTTCTTCCGTTTATTATTTGTTTATAATTCATTGAGCAATTTCTTTTCTTTTCTTCCGCTTATTATTTGTTTATAATTCATTGAGCAATTTCTTTTCTTTTCTTCCGCTTATTATTTGTTTATAATTCATTGAGCAATTTCTTTTCTTTTCTTCCGTTTATTATTTGTTTATAATTCATTGAGCAATTTCTTTTCTTTTCTTCCGCTTATTATTTGTTTATAATTCATTGAGCAATTTCTTTTCTTTTCTTCCGCTTATTATTTGTTTATAATTCATTGAGCAATTTCTTTTCTTTTCTTCCGCTTATTATTTGTTTATAATTCATTGAGCAATTTCTTTTCTTTTCTTCCGCTTATTATTTGTTTATAATTCATTGAGCAATTTCTTTTCTTTTCTTCCGTTTATTATTCTTATTATTTGTTTATAAGATATAGAAGATTACCCGTTAAACTCGGTTGAACTTGACCATGTTTGTTTACGGAGGGCCACATTAAAGGAAGCTGAAACAAATGATGAGAAAACTATACTTAATCATTTGAACTATATCATTTTTTATGACATTTCTTAATAATTGGTAAAACTGACGGATTTAGCATTGCGTTCAAAATGGATTTCGCTACGGACATCCATACGACTTCACGATGTGGTCGATTGGTACCAAAACTCAGAAAAACCGAGTTGTTCTAAATACGTGTTTATATAGCAGAATACATCGCAAATACAAATATTACAATTGCTATAGTCTAAAGAAACTCTAAAAAAAATGTCTCTCGCTCTCCGGCGCCGGTTGATATGTAACTCACCGTTCTGAGCGGGTAGGCAGTTTACCCATCCCTCATGAATAAAAAAAACCCTGAAATAATAGAAAACCCGCTGAGATTTCCTACCAAGGTTAAGGGGTGTATGTGGCTATGTGATGTGCTCTGATTTCTGAAAAAGTGACCTAATTTTCGACAAAGTGCCCTTGATACTCAATGCCATCATATCCCCATTGTCCTTATCACAACACTGTTCCCTCTTTTCCTGCTGCCCTTTCCTTCTTCCAAACAGTTCCAGTAATGTCAGAAACTAATCGCGCTTAATGTACAGTTAAGGCTGCTGGTGATCGATTTATTGTAGCTGGTATCCAATTTTCTGTGATTTTGGTTTCGATTTTAAAAGGTTCGCAGTTTGCACCTCACGTATAGATGATTTTCTCCTCAGATTGAGGCCATTATATTTTTCAGTGGATACGAGGATGAATTATAGTTATTTTGGAAAGAAATATAGGTCAATTTCGGTTTTTCCAACTTTTTTCGGGATCTGTCATCCAATCCAACATGACCGGATACAACAGTGTGTTCACCAGGCGGAGGGAAAGGAACCCCAATGTCCAAAGGGCCCCCAAATTAGTTCTAAAATAATAATTTATGATTTGATTTATTATGTTGTGTCAAATAAATCTATCTATCAATCATACTGAAATGCAGATTCTCCTGTAAAATAAGCTTCACATACCACCCCTTCCCTTTTATAAACCATGTCACCGGGAAAAATCTAGCCTTCATAAAGATGCACAATAAAAATGTATAGCCGGCATTAAGCCGTGTTCAAACGTGTGCACGTATCCTTGTCGAGCCGGTTTTATCTTAAAATTGTTTATCCCAGTAATTTCAAACCAATTGTAAATGGAACAGCCACATTGATAGTATAATTAGTAAAGTATCTAAATTAGTAAACTGCCTACGCTCCTTGAAATATCCTTAAACAGAAAATCGCTAAACACCTTATATTCTTCATTCATTCTGCCGCACTTTGACTATGCCGATGTTATCTGGGACGGGTGCACTGACTACTTATCTAATAATCTCGAATCTCTTCAGCTTGATGCACTACGCACTATTTGTGGGGCGGTTAAAGGTACTAGCCACGCTTCCCTCTACGCGGAAACTGGGTTTATTCCACTCAAAGAACGACGAAATCGACACAAATTAAAATTTCTATACAAAAATATAAACAACCTGACCCCTCCCTATTTTAAGAATCTCATAAATCTGGAACCAACAAATACATATTCATTTCGAAACGAAGATAAAATTAAAGAAATTCGATATCGTACTGAAATATTTTCTAATTCATTTATTCCATCCAACATAAGAGAGTGAAATAAACTCAGCCTCCCTGCTAGAAACTCAAGAACCCTTAAAATATTCTCCGACCATCTCTCCAAATCAGATATAAAAATTCCATCTTTTTACTACAACGGTCAGCGGAAACTCCAGATAATCCATTGTAAACTTGACTCCGATGTTCTAACCTACAGGGCCACAAATACCTCAGACATGTTGCTGACAGCCCCGCATGCCTCTGTGGTCACATTTTTGAAGATCCTAATCACTACCTCTTGCAATGCCCCTTACATTCAAATGCACGAAAGGAAACTATAGACAAATTACAACACGATCATAAAAACATTGACTATCTCTTGTTCGGGTCCACAAAACACTGTACAGATGTAAACAACAATATTTTTAATCAAGTCCACAAGTTTATTGACATGGCAAACAAATTTTAATCTTGCTTATTAATTGTTTTAATTTACAATATTAGTTTCAAATTTACGTGATGATGTAACCTATAATATATATATTGTACATTGCCATCCGTCTCATGATATATGTATTTTATATGTATGTGTTTGCCATTTTAACTGTGTATGTACACCCATTTTGTACCTTTGTTTTAATATTATGTATGTATATTATCTAGAGAGAGGGGTTTTACATAGGCTAAGCCTGTTCCCTAATCTCATTCAGACAAACTGAATAAAATATTGTTTATAAAAAAAAATCCCAGTATCTAGTTCTTTTCTTCTATCTGTTAAGGGGGTCGCGTTGGCTACCGAGAAAGTACCGTTGACACATTGGCATTCACGTAAAAGAACCCTTAAAAGATTGTCCGGGCAACATTTCCCTCACAGTACACTGCATGGCGTATGTCCGTCTTCAATATTTTTTTGTTGTTGTGAAGATGAATTTACCGATTCCTGATGACCTGTGAGTGGCATACAAAGCGCTGAAGAAACGCCGGGGATTTATACTTATCAAAAATAAAACAGCCAACAAACAATTCTTGGTGTACCCAGACCTTAAGGACCAACTCGTGTCTTCCTATACAACTGTTGTAACTATACGCATTAGTGAAAGTTTTATGCAAACCGGCCTATTATAAGCATATACAGTGCATTGAACAGCTACCATTTTCTGTCAACCCGGAAAGTCCCACGTATCTAGGCGTCATACTGAATATTGTTTAATAACATTAAATTTAGATCACTAACGGTGTATAATATATGATATAATGACGACAATCTTCTATACTAATATTTGTGACTGTCTGTCTGTCTGTTCGGGGTTGGCGGCTACACTAGGTTTGCCCCGAGTCTGAAATTTAATGTGTATAAGGGTAACTCGGACTGGGGAGTAACACAGGCCGGGTGCAGTTAGTCTACCACTTCCGGTTTCGGGGTTATGACCCCCGAGCGAAGCCGGGCATTCTGCTAGTATATAATATAATGACGACAATATCCAGGTAATTTTCAAATTAGACTGAAAAATGTTTAAGAGTTGAATAAATAAACGTTCGAAGCATTGTCGCCGTTTTGGCTTCACTCCAATTCCCACATTGTCTTGACGTGGGACCCTCGCTGCTCATGTGGTACACTTTTCAGCTAATCTAGACTAGTTGGGGGCGTGGAATACCAGACCCACCATCAGAAACCCGACAGACTTACATTCTGATGATACCAGATATTGGTACACTTTTCAGCTAGGTTAACACCCTGGGCTCCCGCTCTATTCGTGGTAATGGTTGGCTATTGGCCTTGTGTATGCTAACCGCCAAAAACTGAATTTCTGAATTTTATTTTCCTAAATACATTTAGATAAATAAATAGAACTAAGACAAACTAATCAGTGAGTAAGACGTTGGGTACCTAACCCAGAGTTCCGGATTTTGGTCGAGCAAGTTCATCGGGATGTTATAAAATATTCAGAAAAAGCATTATAATTCAAAGTACTTAATTCATCATCTATCATATATTCTACTTTAATTGTTATACAGAAACATGTATTTTCACAATAAAAACAGTTTTCATCTAGAACGATTGTTGCTATTCTGTTCACCTCCCTCGTTCTTTAGGATCACTTGTCTCTATTAATTTCATGATCCTTATCTGAAAACAAAACACCAGTAATATAGACATAAAAAACTATGTCATCTTTCCAAGATCTTTTTGTGGCTAGCATTAGGTTATGTTTTAATTAGAACTACTATCACCTATTCTGTTTCAAATTCTAAATATCTTTTATCCTTGTACCTCTTTATATGTATATGTTACTTTGATTGACGGTCCAAATTTAGGTGCGGTTTCCCTATGCTAATGGTGCAGAAGGGAGGGTCTGGCAAAACAGTGACCAGTCATTAGGATGGTACTAAAATATGAGGCCCCGTATACACGGTGCCGTGCAAATGAAACCTCTGCAATTTAAATAAGAGTAGGCTGCAGCACTACTGGCAACCTCCCCCCCCCCCCACTCCCAGCACACTGGTAAATACCCATCTTCATTAGCCAAGTTGATACCCATCTTCATTAGCCAGGTTGATACAGATACATAGGACGTTAAACCCCATTTTATTTTATTTCATTACTTTGATCCTAGGGCAAATCGCTACACCATTACTTTACAATGGTTAGTCCACACCCCTGCTTTACGATGATTAGAAAACCTGACTTACTTGTACTATTTCAGCATTTCGTATTGTTGACACCAACTTGACAACCATTATGACATACGCCATCTTCTATTCTACAGCCTCCTGTATTACAGTAGGAACAAACCATTACATCCCCAATATCCATCTTTACAACCAATCAAACAAACACCATATAATTGTCGACATGTACCATTACAGGTGGAACATGATTCCTCACACGCATCACCATAGTAACCATCTTTACATCCGGTACATTTCCTTGTTCTGGCGTCACAGGAGTAGTTGAAACAGTTCCTTGAACATCTTTGGTTACAATTCGTACCGTAAAAACCATCAGGACAATTTTCTAAAGAATAACAAAATTCAAAACATATTTATATTTGTACTCTTTGTTTCATAAAGTCTGTCACTGTGTCAACTGGCGTGGTTTCGATTCCCCGGTTGTCCATAAACGCCATCGGGGCAATTTTCTAAATAATAATAAAATTGAACACATATTTATGTTTGTACCCGTGGTTTCAAAATAAATAAATCGATAACAATTAAGTTTAAAATACTAAAGGCTCAGAGAGTAAGGGGCCGGTTCACTAACCATGAGTTCCCCCACGGGTTCGATCAGGGGAATTGGAACGTATGAGGGGCAAGGGAAGGTATTGTCCCCCGGGGTCCTTTCGCAAGACTGGAAAAATGTTTGGCACTCTGGTGGACAAGAGATGAAATTATCAATAACCTTACCTGGGAATATTTGTACCTCACATAGGTTCAGTATTGCTGGTGTTCCTTTTACAGATATAAAAACAAATCTACCAGAAAAGGATGGAACTGCTGCTTGATTACATCTTTCGATGATGTAGGTTGTCATGGCAACTGATGTATGGTCTTTGTAACATGGTGTAGCTGTTGTAAATCCTGCTTCATTACAATGACCACTTGAACTCACTCTAATCTCAAATCCTTTTAGTCTGGATGCATAACCTGGAAATTTAATTTAATTTAATTTATTATTTCTTATACGCATTACATATACATCTCAATGCGTTAACAACAATGTATCAGTAAAAATAGAAATAGAACCCTGAAATAAAAACATTTGACAATTGTATCACAGTACATTTCATCACAGCACATTACATAAAAGAACAGTATCACAGCATATACATCAACCAAAGTATAACACAAAAAGATAAGTCTTCAATTTTGATTTAAAGTGGTTAAATTCAGACAAATTTCTTAATTCTGCATGTAACTTGTTCCAAAGAGCTGGAGCCCTAATGAAAAATGCCTTCTCCCCATATGTTTTTGTTTTCGGGGGTTGAGGTTTTTTTTAAGGAAATTGAATTGTCACTTCTAAGACTTATATATACTATTCAAAAAAAGTAGGGGATATTTGATTTTGGGGGCATAATACTAAAATATGAAAATGACTACGAAAAAAGTCACTATAGAACCTAACAGAAATAACATTTCCAGTTACATGTGACGCCCAAACGCACCAATAGCTACCGCATGGAATGCAGGTGATGCTTGGGATCATCATGGGGGTCCAACCCAAGATTTGCACGACTCTGACTTTGAATGTTACAGTCATTGTGGCATTGAATTCCAGGGTGGAAACATCAGTTTAATTGTTTTAGTGACCAGAAAACAAATTTTGATATGCGTCGGCTTACCCAAAATGAAAGGTTACGTGCCCTTGGCATGCTACAGATCGGCACAACACAGGCGGTTGTGGCGCGGACGATGAATGTTTCTCAGTCTGTCATAAGCAGGCTATGGTCCAGATACCGTGATACACAATCTATACAGGACAGACCACGCTCAGGTCGACCAAGGGCGACAACTCAAGCCCAGGATCGATTTATCCGTACCTTGGCCTTGAGAAATCGTGTCATCACAGCAAATCAGATCAGCGCTCGTCTTCAAACAGACACTGGTGTGAGAGTGAGTTGTTGCAGGGCGTGTTACAGGCCAGTACTACCGGGACAACATCTTGGCAGTCCATGTTGTGCCGTTCGCACGACGTCATGGCCGCCGTTTCATCTTCCAGGATGACAACGCAAGATGTCACAGGGCCAGGATCGTTACAGGTTACCTCCAACAATAGAACATCACCACATTACCTTGGCCAGCACTGAGTCCCGATCTCTCCCCCATCGAGCATGTCTGGGACATGCTTGGACAGAGGTTACGTCAACGTCAACAACGTCCTGCCAATGTCCAAGAACTTGCTGCTGCGTTGCAACAGGAATGGGACAATCTGGACCAAAATGACCTTAGACGTCTCATTAGGAGTATGCCACGTCGGATCAATGCTTGTTTGGCAAACAGAGGAGGATTTACCCGTTACTGACTTGGTTGTGATGCTGTGGTAACTTTGCTGTTTGACCCCGGGTATCATTTTACCCTTATAATGGTCAGTCTGTGCCTTACTTAGTCTAACGATCATTTGGAATAAATCGATGAATGTGAACTTCATTTCATTTTGTCATTTGTTTCTTCGTCAGTTTCATTAGGTGACTTTAATAACACTTAAAAATCAAATATCCCCTACTTTTTTTGAATAGTATATGTTTTTGGATTTACAATAATTAAATCTTTCAAGTACAAAGGTGCTGTTGTTAGATGGATGCATTTAAAAACTATACATAATACTTTGAAATCGACCCTCAATTTAACCGGTAACTAATGAAGATTTCGTAGGATCGGAGTAATACGTTCTCTGCGATCTACTTTACATACAATTCTTGCTGCAGAGTTTTGAATCGCTTGCAGTTTCTTGAACTGAAACTCATGGACACCAGATAACACACCATGACAATAATCTAGTCTACATGACACAAAGGTATGAATAAGTCTTTCTGTACTGGCACGATCTAACAAGTGTCTGATCTTACTAATACGCCACAATGAGTAAGACGCACTTTTACATATATTTGCAATATGTTTGTCCATTGTGCCTTCACAATCAAAATAAACACCTAAATTACGAACTACAGAGGCGGTAGTAATGACAGAATCTCCTATTCTGATTTGCTTTACATCATTTACACATCGTGTACGACAAAATTTTGACGAAAAACAGATGAACTCACTCTTATTATCATTCAATGCGAGAAAGTTAATTTTCATCCATTGTCTAATTTCATCTATGCAAGTTTCTATTTTGACACTGCTATCTGTATTGTTACATGTAATATAGATCTGCGTATCATCTGCAAAGATTACTGTTTTGCAGCCATGTTTAATTATGATATCTTCCAAGGGTGTAACATAAAGTGAAAACAAAATTGGTCCTAAGACCGAACCTTGTGGTACTCCAAACGTCAATGGTCGTTCATCAGACATCACCGACCCCAGCGAAATCCTTTGAGCTCTACCACAAAGAAAAGCTTCAATCCAACTGATTACATTTCCTCGAATATGAAATCTTGATCTAAGTCGATGCAAAAGGATGCTGTGGTCGATGGTGTCAAATGCAGCTGACAAATCGAGTAATATTAAAAATACATCTTTCCTGTGGTCCAGGGCCAGCATAATATCATTGTGAACTTTCAGCAATGCTGTTTCAGTTCCATGACCTTGTTTGTATGCTGACTGAAATTTACCATACAATGAATTTGCCATTAAATAATCATTTAGTTGAACAAATGCACATCTCTCCAAAAATTTATCTAAGAAAGAGCAGTTGGAAACTGGGCGATAGTTCTTTAATTCATTCCTCTCAAGGCCATGCTTCTTTATGAGAGGTCTCACAATAGCACGCTTACAATTGTCGGTAAACGTTCCTAAGATAAAAGACGTGTTCACAATCGATGTAAGTGCGGGAGCCCACAGATCAGTCCTTGTATCGTTTCCCGAGAGAGAGAGAGAGAGAGAGAGAGAGAGAGAGTTGGTATCACTCTACAGGTGAGGACATATGACCAACACTATTCGGTCATGGCATCGCTATACGGGGGCATTCTGGTGTCCCCGCGTCAACGGTTATTTTCAATCTCCGTGATGGTGTATAAATGGGTAAAAGGAGTACAAACGTTTGAACCAGGCATTCTAGTTGGAAACCGATCATGGTTATCTTGAATTTTGACATGTCTCCATATTGACAACCATTATATTTTTTAATCGCGTTTTTTATCAATATAGCCATCAAGTTACTGCTGGTTTGGCTGTTCAAAAACACATTAAAACAGTTAGTGGAATACGGTTTCATGGGTTAGATCTAGAAAAAATCGACACCATAGGTTTGTGTCAAGCTCAGTTGCCAATGTAAACAACGTCAATGTCTAATGACAGTCGAATTATGTCACTATGTTTATGTGAAGACTTACGCTAAACAAATGTCATTTTAAAGCAAAAAACGCCATTTAGCCTAAATCCCTGTAAGAAAGGTACGACATATAATACAATTGTTCCATCTTTGTAAACACAAGACGAAAACAAAATGATAAATGTAAGAAAGGTCTTAATTAGGCCCAATTTTCTACCCTTTCAAAATAAAGTGATTATTACCCTAAACACACTGAACCTCACACAAATAGGCCTAGGCCTACCCCCACGAATTTGAGATTTTCAACACCCATTTTCACATTTTTGTTTTCAAGAGAATATTTTCTTTAGTGTTTGCCTACTATACTCTATAGATTAGTTCGAGATTTATTTTTTTCGTTGTGTGTCTCTCTAATAGATTTTAAATCATGTACTAACTTTGATGATCAGTAGAGTACACTGTTCACTACAGGTGATAAGTTAGTGCTTGTGGTCAAAGGGGAGATAATTTGGTGCGATATGCATTCATTGTTGGGACATGGCCACAGATGACAATTTAATTAAATTCTACCCAATACCACTAGTTAAAGGAACGGGTTTCCTACTAGGATAGTACAGTCTTTGAGAAAACCCAATGTCTCTAGAATTAGTAGGACATGTGAGATAGGTCCCCACAGCCACACCTCCCCCATTAAAATATTATGAGAGAACCCAATGTCTTGAGTATTAGTGGGACATGTATGTGAGATTTGTCCCCACAACCAAATTCCTCCCATACATATGATGAGAGAACACAATGATTCGAATATAAGTGGGACGAAAAATCGAGGTCCCGTGTACAGGTTTGCGTGCACGTAA